CGAGATGATGCAGCCTTTGCCTTTGACAACGACCTTCTTACGCATCCGAGGCTGCGCAGGCGCTGCGCCTGGGGGAGCCAGAAATGAGTTGCTCGGAGGGTCAGGTAGTGGCTTGTTCTTGGATAGATCTTGGCTTGCCTGGAATGCATCGTTACCCGCTAGCTTGCTGGGAGTTTCATCTGCCGGCTTAGTTGCTTTCGTAGGTGTCGGTACTGGAGTCTTTTCAGACTGTGCACTGTGCCCGTTCATCTGCTGTGCAGTACTAGGACCTGATGCTGAGTTTTGCCTGACCGGGGACGGCTCAGGATCCGCATACTTGGAGGCCATCATCTTGCCGACTGCTTCTTTTTCTTCCTTGCTAAAGTGCCGCCAAAAGTCCTGCTGGTTCAGGGTCTTGTTGTTGTTTCTTTGCTTATGTCCTCTTTTCGGCGGAGGAGCAATTGGCAAATCAGATTCTCCACCTGATCCTTCTGTATCGCTATTATTATCCCGCCAGTCGTTTGTCTCGCGGTTCCAACGCTCTTCTAGGAATCGTTCAACCCACTCCTGCGAAGTAGGATTCGTGTCGGAAGCCCGGGGAGTAGTGCCGGAAGCTCGCGCTTCTTTGGTGGGCGTTACCAGATTTGGCAATCGAGATCGGATTAAGTGTTCGAGCGTGAAGCGGTTTGGCGATGCGTTCCGTTCCAAACGGGGTATTAGATGCTCGAGGTTGAATTGATTCGGCGACTCTTCCTGAAGATCTAGCCGAGATGGGAGTAGATGCCCAAGGCCAAACTGGAGTCCAGAAGCCTCTTCTTCAAAGTCGTCGCTGCCGAAGTTTGTCGAAACTTGACGCGAGGGATTGAATACCGGAGGAGGGTGTCTGTACGGACTGCCCCAGCTGGCGGTATAGTAGGACGTGTCGGTTCTGTCGTGCCTCGCAGCGTTGGAGGGAGTACGCGGGTTGTTTCCAAGTACGGAGAAGGACGGAAGTGAAGGGAGCTCTGGACTCGAATGTCCAAGAGTGCGAGCCGGTGAAGGGGCCGTCCAAGTGGGAGAGACTGCTTCACGCGCCTCAGGCGGAGTGGTCGCTTCACCAAAATGCCCTGGAGCAAATGGAGGAGGTGATGAGGGCGGATGCTGCGAGGACGAGATGGACCGTCGAGCTTGCATTCAAGGGTTTCCCACGCTGTACAGCTCGATGGGCTGCAACTCTTCTTTTTCCGTCTCGGATGCTTCGCGCGTCAGTGATGCGACAAAACTTCCGACGATGTTGAAGTCAGTGCTCGGGGCAAAGGAACGCGTGTTTGGACAGTCTCGCGCGAAGGCCGCTCGGTGACGCAGTACGATTAGAAGGTGATATTACAAGGAAAGGCTGTTGGCAAGTAGCTAAAAGAGCGACATAAGGTGGGATAGCACGATTCTGGAGACAACAGGACGAGCAAACATCCCGAGGCAGCAGCAACAACGGATGAAGAAGTGGCAGTCAAAGGCGTGCCAGTGTCGTCGACGACAAATTGTGGACACGGACAGGAGAGCAGGCGAGGCTAAAGTCAGCCATATTAGCGGGATGCTGCCAGTTGGCGTCAGGGGGCTTTGCGCCGAGGCCACATGGGAACAAAGCACGCGAATTCTGCACCCTGACGGCATGCACCAACACCAACAACACGCTCGGAGAAGTTCGTTCGCCATCGTCACTAGGCTTTCCACGTGTCTTCGTGTGAGAAATCTGCTTTTGTCCCTCGCATTACACCTCAGGGTCGTGTCGGCGCGTCCAAAGTCATCTGCTAACACTAACCACGACATTTAGACATGACATGGGTGCCTCAATGCCGGAAATGATCCTCGTAGCCAATCGCGTACCGGCACGTCATGTTTGAATGCGTCAGTAGGAGCTGGTGACGACTGGACGACAAATCTTGCTACCCCGCTGCAGACCTACCCGACCTTCCAACATTGCAGCCCTGGAGAGATTCCGTCATCCATACGCGTTGCACGTCCTCACGACATCTTCTTGGACGCGACCAGCATGATACAGCGACACCGAGAAAGGGGACCTGACTAGTGATTAGACAACGGGAGCTAATGCTGCGGTGCAAGGATAGCGATGCCTGGTTAAGCCCCCATTTCGCATGCTTCTAGAAACTCCTTCAACCACCAGTTTGCGGCCAGACAAGCCACAGAAAAAAAGCATCGTGTTCTTCGATGTTCCACCTGTAGCAGCTGGAAGTGGATGTACTGGACGGCGAGAAATCTATAAACTTGGATCTTGTATCGCCTATACACGCAATACGTGAGTGTGCTGTGAACCGTACTTGAGCTGGATCTTTGGCCAGCCTGCGTTCATCCGATCCGTGCAGCTCCAGATTTCCGCATCTTAACCCATCTTTCAGGAGCCATAGGAGGATGGCAACATGTTCATCTCAAGGAGAGGTAATGCACATGATACTCGTGAAGTCAGTACAACACACGTCTCTTTCAGGCTGTGGGGTGCTCTGTCAAAAGTCGAGAGCTCAGAATCATGGAGGACGCTATAGGAAAATAATGAATAGCCTCGTTTTTTTCTTAACTTCAAAAAAAATGGGGTGCCATGTATGCGTACCTTGATTAACGCCTTGCAAAGACAAAAGGTGTTTTGAGGGATATAGACAACACATATCACTTCGGGGGACCGCACTATAGATTGGCAGCTTGCGTACATGTCATGATTATCATCACCTAAACTTGAGTGTTGTATATAACGCCCCTATAAGGCCAGATGGAAGAATACAATGCACGTCGTTGGTGCCATACCAACATACTTCCTCCTATTCTTGAACTTTGCAACTCTTTTGACACGACCTCAAACTTTTTGAACCATGAACATCCTCTTCACGAACGAACTTCTTTGGAAGCTCTCGGCTTCAGCAGGAGTTAGCTCAGCGTCGCCCTTTGCAGCTGCCGCAGCATTCTCTTCGTCTTCTCCAATCTTCCATGTTCTCACCATCCACAAGCAGACTGCAGCGCCGATGTACATCCACCCCGTAAACAAAATAGCTCCAGTATAACTCCCTCCATTAAACGCTACGATTTCAAGACCAATAGGCTCGGAGACTGCATCCATGTTAGTAAGCTGTTCCACGCAATTGAACCCACAACTACCCAAGACTTACACGTAGTAGGCAACACAAGTACCAACCAAGTAATACTCAACGCACTCGGCAAGTCTCTCAACCCCATAACCTCCGTTGTAACTGGCGCAGCCGTTGCCCAAAACGTTCCTGCCACCATACCACCCACCAGACTGAAGAAGATTAATACCCCAAAACTCTTTGCAAAGATCCATATCAGCAAACAAAACACCCCAACAAGGAACGTCATGCTCCCCGCCATATTCAATCTGCCAATGGAATCGGAAAAATAGCCAATCGGTGGTCTTCCCAATGCTTGCCCCAGATTGAACACTGCGCCAATAATACTTCCCTGCTGCGCACTCAACCCAATTGTCCGCGCGTAACTCGGTAAACTGAAGAGTAAAACAATGTACCCCAGCATACTCAGGAACCCGAACGCCAGCAGTCCCACAAACTGCGGTTTCGCAAACAGTGTATAGTCGAAACTGAGCTGGTTGGATCCAATCTGCTTGTTTCGGTCTTTGATAAGCAGTGCGCATGCACTATTGACGACGAAAGCAATGACAGCCAGTGTGCGAAACGCCCACGGTAGGCCAATATCGCGAATCATAGCCTGGGCAGCAAGACTGTAGATAAGCCCACCAAGCCCACTCCCAGCAGCACAACATCCATTAGCGAGCGATCTGTGTGTAGTGAACCACTGCGCAGCGATGCCCACACTGCCTACGAACAGAAACCCCATTCCCCAACCAAAACATACACCCTGACTCAAAAACAAGTGCCAGATCTCACTCGCAAAACTGGCTCCGATGAAGCTCACCGTCTCGAACCCCACGCCGATAAACAGCGTGGTGCGCGTCCCCCATCTTCTCGTCGTTGAAGTAGCTACTGGGGAAACAATGAGGGCTTGAGATATGGAGAGCCCGCCAATGAAGGCGTATTGCAGAGGTGTGGCACCAGGGAAGGCGGAAGTGGAAAGGTAGTGGGCGAGAAAGACGGCGTAGGCGGAATTGAGGCCCCAGGTGTGGCCGTTTATTGTTGCGACGGCTGCTACGCATACCCAGCCGTAGCCACCATTTGGGGGTACGTCGACGATAGGTTGGCCTGCTGACGGGGCGGTGGCATCAGCTGGAGATTGAGGTGAGCCGGGTCCCGAGATGGCGTTGTTCTTCATGGCTTCGTTTCGGTTGGTTGTGTGAAGTTGAATGCTGGGCTGTGGACTTTGGTTGCTTTGGCTCTTTTCTGATGTCCAGATGCCATTCTCTGTATCCTGGTTGATTTCCTCCTCTTTCCCATGCTGCGCTATATCCAGCATCATCCTCAAACGTTCCAATTCTTGATCCTGAGTTCCCATCCCGAGCCCCTGTCCTGATTCCTGTAGCGGAAATAACACGCCAAACAGTCCTGCAGCGGCCACTCTGTCACGGTGCGACGTCACCTGGAGATCTTGAACATCAATGTAGGTGCAAAGGCCATTTTGCGAACGCGTAGAGAGGAACTAAGAGTCACCATGTCGCCTTCCCGAGGTCAAGAGGAGGAAAGAAAAGTGGAGGTTGACATCCTACGCCCTTGTCCGGAAATAAACCCATGAACAGGCGAGCTTTTACGTGACGCTCTAGACGCCACTTCCTCTTTCGGCTAGTGTAGCCGCTGATGACTGGTCGAGAGAGGCAAGCGGCTTGGTTGCGGTCATTGAGGCTTGCAGGCCTGGAGAAGGTGATGCGGTCGCCGGCATCGGCTATCGTGTTCAAGATCCGTGCCGATGATTTGGAAGGGAACTGTAGCTGTGTTTGGCATTTCATGAAAGCTTTAAACCCCCTCTCGAGTGTCATTCAATTTATTAATTCGTTACTACATAGGAGAGGAAATGCCATTCCACAATCTAAACCAAAAGGTATCATCATATCATCAACGCCCTTCCCCAATCCACTATCACGCTCCACACTGAGCCATGAATCTATACATACCATCAGAACTTTGGTATTCCAACGGCGCATGCATGTCCATTTCGTCAGCCTCACTGGTGTGCAGGCTTTCATAGTCAGATAACCAAGGATTAGGCTCCTCGGTTGCAAAGTCGTCGATCTGTTCGTAACTTTGTTCAGAATGCGTCGAGAAGCCTTCTGAAGCAGCGGGTGATGCCGAGAGCATGTGTGTCCAGTCAATGTTAGGCTGCACATGTTGACGCTCAGCAACGGGTTTCTCATAGAAGGAACATTCAGACGGTGTCTGACTGGGTGCAAATGGAAAGAGAAGCGCGATATCGGTGCCGACGAAAGAGTCAAAGTCCTCGTCTTGGTATACTGAGCCACGTGAGACTTCAAAATCGTTACATATCGTCTCGACGGTTTGCGCATCGCAGCCTGGGAAGTGAACTTTGAGCACCGAGCTCTCGTATGATATCGGAAGGTCGCCTAATGCCGCTAATCGTTGCAGATCTTTGAGAACGGCTGCAAGCTCCTTGACGGACCTTGAAAAGTCGACGGATAGAACATCGAGGAGGCCCTCGCTGTTCAGTGTCTCCTTCTCTTGTGCGAACGAGGTGAAGCCCTTGACAGCCTTCAGGGGAGTAAGAGCGGTGACGGTGGGGTTAACGTTGAAGCTGATGTAGGATCCAGGTGTGGCCTTAGGAACCTTGTTCAGCGTGCGGTTGACCTGATCCTGCAGCGCCGATACAGTCTTGAAGCGCTTCTCGCCGTTGTGTGGGTTGACGCCATCGAATTGGGCCTTTTGTCCACCAACGAGGAACGCTCTGACGGCCTGAGACACGTTGTTGATAACCTGGGCTGGAGATGCAGGGCCATGCGAAAAGTACCTTGCGCCTCCGGCCCTCCCGGAGCCCCATCCGTAGCCTCCTGCTGTTCGCCCAAGCGTGCCTCCGGTGAGGTTGGGGCGAAGGGTCGACGCAAAAGGTGCGCGGCCGGCCTGGGCGGTAACTATGCCTCCGATACGTGACTTGGGGAAGGAGGCCTTGTCGTACTTCACGCCTGAGTTGCGAGCAGCAGACGTGGTGAAGCGTCGAACAGCAGCGCTGATCTGGCTATGGGTGGTGTACCAGCGGCCCTTGCTTTGCTTGAGGTAGGCAATACGGTGGAGAGGGTGCTTTGGAGCATTTCGAGCGAGGATGGGTTGTAGTACCGCATCTGTAGGTTGTGCGGATTCTGGTAGTCGTTTCTGTACGAGTTTCGCAGCATGTTTCCAGGCGGCCCTTTGTCTGTCAATACACGACCTGATCAAATGGTACCATGAACTTACTTGAACGCTCTCGCGTTCTTGGCCACCGAATTGTATAGGTGCACCACGGCAGGTGCCATGATGGTTGTGTGCTACCAGGAGAGGAGAGTGGTGATGCTCAGAAGGATAGGGAACGCGGCGATAATGAGGCGCAGGCACCAGGGTCAATGTCGCCACCCAGCGGGGGATTGGTCCAGAACCCCAGGCGATGACGACGATCACATGCCAGCTCACTCACCGACTGGTCCGCAACCAGACTTCGTTTCAGCTATGCCAAGACTCTTCTTCTGCACAAGGATAATTCTGTATACGCAGCGCTACGAGTTGACACTGTAAATGCTTCACCCTGTATGAACGCATCACTCTGCGATACCTGCAAGATCAAGACAAGACTTCATCAGATGCATCTGCGGTAGAGCTACCAGGAACAGAGGTATTCATTTCAGTACTTTTACAACGCAAAAGCCACACTCACGGGCTTTGACAGCCGCTTTTGGTATACTTTGCCGAATGGGAACAAGGCACCTAAGCAACCCATATCCACCTGCAAGTAAGATAAGAACAGGCGTACCGCTTTGTGCCTGAGAGGAGAGAAAGCAGCCAGCGGATATTTTGTATGCTGGAGTGGATGACCATGCAAAATAGACAAACAAGAACGCCAGCTTTCAATGCTATGGAGGACCCCTAGATTCAGGAGGAAAGCGTAAAAAGCCAGATTCCTGGAGGGTATTGTGTTCGTATTGGGGACTGGTAATTCGTGGGAACATGAAGGAAAAAAACTCAAAGACGAGAGATTTCTATCGGGGAAAAACAGTTGATCGACCGCCGACCGGGTAGTAAACGCCAGAACATGAACTTTTGTCAATGTATACAGAGTCCGAGAACCCGCAAGGAGAAAATTTTGGAAGCAACAAGACCGAAGACCGCAACGAAGAGATGCAAAAACCCTTAATTCGTTATGACATGGTTGCCGTAGCCCTTGTGCAGGATCATGGCGGTGTCAATAGAGCCAAGGTATCAGCATCAAGCAAATCGTCAATTCGCTGTCGACTTTGAGGGTCCATATCACCGCTGCGATAAGCTGCTTTCAGCTGGTCGAAAGCTGGACGGCGCTCGTCCTCGGTCTTGATGAGTTCAACAAAGTCTGAAGCTACCCGCTGTCGGATCGCGCCCTGTGGCGAAAGCAAAGACTCGCCGTAAAATTCGATAAGATTGGAAATGCCGGTGTCTGTGCTCCGATGGGTGGCGTCTTCGAAAGCCAAATGGCGGAACTCGTCATACATCGATTGATTGAAATTCCGAATCAGAAAATGTGACCAGAATTGGTAAAGAACGTTCATGTCATAAGGGGTTGTGCCGAGTGGTGCGTTTGAACGCTGATAAAGAGCTTTGGATCGAAGATGATAATACGATTCGTGCGATGAATCAGAAGGGATTGTATGAACTGGGCTGTGATGATCTTTGACCCAATAGAGGCGGACAGGCGCAGACAGGGAAGTCGATTCCGAGGGGTCGGTGACGGTTGGCGGGCAATCAAGATGGCTCTCAGCGCTACTAGTAATGTGATCAGCTCGTACATCCAGTCTCTCTAAATTGCCATCTTACCCATCAGGTGTGCGGGCACCGCTAACCCTCATTTGGCAGGTAATCGACTTCTCTGGTTCATCTGGCACGCCATGTTTACTATCGATGGAGCCATTAGAAAATGTTCGTGAAACAGAAGGAGGCAACGCTTGGGTCCGTTGCTTGCGCATAACGACTGTCAAGCTGTCGAGTTGCAAGTCAGAAAATGAATCAGGTTCTCCACTCACAGCCTTTGTCGAGCTCTCGATCGGTTGACCGTTCGAGACGGCCGCATTTGGTTCTTCAACAGCCGCGCCGTTTGTCTCCGTCGGTACAGATCCAGAATCCTGGGAAACGGGATGGAAGCCATTCATCTGAGGGTACACGCCCTCGTTTCCAAATGGGCTGAAAGCTGGGGGCATGGCCGACCACTGAGGAGGCTTGGACGGGTCAAAGCTAGCAGGGTTAGAAACCTGGGGTTTGTTGAGCTCCTTAGGCCCCTCGTTCTGTGCAGACGGATCACGCTCCGCCATATCAAGAACCCATTGTGCCCAGTTGTCCTTGCGACGTAGTCGGTCTTGACCGTTCTCGGTGGTACGGTACTCGATGGAGGCAGACTGCTGGCAAACAAGCCTGATCACGTCGATGTCAGGGGATAGATTCTTGATACGATTGAAGCCAGCAATGAACTCAAGAGCGACGAATCCCTGTGAATCCATGTGACGGCGAAGGTACATGTCCTTGAGCAGGTTATCAACAGAGAAGTAGTATTCCCTAGCAAATTGTTAGCAAAGACTTTTTGGTCCAGAAATTTAGAACATACACTTGGGCAGTAATCATGGAGAAGATCTGGTACTGGTCAACGCCGTATGGACTGTACGGTAGTCCAGCGCTCATAGGTGCAGGACCCATGCCGTAGGGGTACATATCATGGCCCGTCTGAATGGGAGCCGGGTACCCAGGCTGGAAAGATTGATACCTGTATGGGTCGGTAGTCAAAGACTGTGATCGATGGCTGTTGCGACCGTATTTACCCTGAGACGCGGGGAAGAAGCTGTTGCTCTCAGGAACAAAAGTTGTGGGTGATCGTGGACCTAAGGGAAAGCTCGACGTAGAGTGTCCGTTGGTGAAGTGATGTCCATTGGTGTACGCTCCACCACGACCGCGATTTCCACGGCCGCGACCCTCGCGACCACTAGAGAAGGAGCTGAAGCGCTTGGAATGGCCATGCGCAGAGCCGTCCTGGTAGGCGGGAGCTCTGCGCTCACCATTCTCAGCAGTGTCTGTCTGCGTTCCAGCAGAACGCTCACCCCAGGTGTTATCCTTGGTGGGTGAGGATGCGCCATCTCTCCTTCGCTCTCCAGCACCGTGGAATTCGCCTCGGCGGCCCTTGTGGGGCTTGTTAGGGTACTGGCGCTGGTAGGCACCGTTTTGAGCGGGCGCGCCGGACAAGGACGACCTCCTTGGCTGCGCCTCAGACTCGGAGGATACAGGGCCATTGGCCTTAGCAGCGCTGTCTCCATTAACTGCAGGCGTCTGGCCGTTCATCGTAGGTGAGTCGGTGCGCTTCGTCTTTGGGGAAGTATCCTGTGCAGCTGACTTCTGCTCGCCATTTAGTGCCTCGGTCTGTTCAGCACCGTTGGTGCCGAAGCCAGCAGGCCTGCCGTTGCTCGGCGCTCCACCACGTCCTCCAGGTCGGCCACCTCTCCTAGCACCTGCCGCATTTGGCAGAGGTGTGTTGAACACAACAGTCGGTGTGTATGGGATTTTCACCCACTCATGTTTGCTGGTCGAAGCGCCATCCTTTGGCTTCTGCTCAGTCTTTTCCTTCTCTTGGGCCTTCTTACGGTCCTCATCGATGACGGTCTCAGGAGTCGGCCAGGATTCCTGGTCTCGGTCTGGTGGAGGCGGTAGCGCGCCCGATGATGGGGCAGCCTTGACATCCTTCTCAGAGAATCTGCCTTTGGCACCATTCCGCATGTCAACATCACCTCGGAATTCCTTTCGGCCTTTGCTTCTGCTCTCGCCATTTGTGATCTTCTCTTGAGATGTTGCGTCGCCCTTCTTGGTCTGGACTCCGTTAGGAGTTGTGGAAGGAGCGACCTTCTGCACTTGGGACTTGATCGAGTCTGCTCGTATTTTCCAGGGGTTCACGGTAGGCACAGGCGCCTCTTGAAGGGGCTTAGCCGGGACGTTCTTTGCCTTCTTGACCTTGTCAGAAGTCTTCTCGACAGGCTCAACCGACTTGTCAACAGAAGTGGAGGCCTGGGACTTGTTGTCCCAAGTGGTCGACTCAGAGGAAGCGTTTGGTATCGAGGAAACATCGTCGTCCTTGGTGACGGTTGACGAGGTGGAGGAGGCGGGATCCGGCGAGGATTCGTTGGAGGCATCTACAGGCTGTGAAGTTTTGACCGCGTTGGGAACGGTTTGTTCTATTTGCGCCTCTTGGGCTTTGGCGGGTTGCGCAGGGCGCGACTCAGACTCGACATCTTCAGCCCAGTTGCTGGGTGAGGCAGTGGTTTCTTGACCAGATGCGCTGTTGCCGTCTTTGGCTGGGGTAGCAGAGCCGGATGCCGACTTGCTTGTGGTCGCTGGCGTGGAGACGCCTTTCGCGGCTTGCGCGTATGAAAATGTAGACATGTTGGTCTGTGTGTGAGTCTCGAATAAAGTCCGGCTGCTTAGACGAGAGTAAGCGCTTAGAATCCCCGGTGGGAGCGCTGCGGCAAGCTGGCCAACAGGTGTCGACGCTGATATGTCCGGAGAGGTGTTTTTGGCCTCCCCGCACGTGAACTCTTTTGTCGCTACCAGGGCCTTGTGTTGGCGACTAAGCGATTTTGCGGCGATGCGGCTCTGCAGTGGTGGAGAGCTAGGTAGTGTGCTGAACGACGGCTTGGTACTGTGGCGGTCTCACACGATGTGAGGAAAGTGACTGTTTCCTATTTCACTCCTGGGAGTGGAACGGTGTTTGCGCGTACTGTAGTGGCTGACGTTAGCGAAAAGAAGAAGCGCAGGAAAAAAATAGGTGAGTAGGATTCAAGGTGTGGTGGTGGAGGCAAGTCATGTATGTGGGCAGTGGTGGGTCCGGGAGCGCACGAGAAGTCGAAATGACTGCGTGGGCGGGCCAGATGCAAACGAGAAGGAGTGCGAATTTAACACACAAGGCTATTGGAAGGGTCTTGGAAGCGGCAAGAGGAAAAAGTCATGCGCAAAGTGCCCAGCGAACTCGAGGCGGGGAGCAAGCAGGTAGCAAGCATGCGGCGGACGTGGGCGGTAAGGTGCGCAGAACTAACCTCTGGGGTGAGCCTTGACTGACTGCGGGGTTGGTGGTCGTGGAGAAGGGGCAGAGAAGGTTGCGTCGGCGGAACCAGAGTGCTGCTCGGCGGGTGGTGGGTGGATAATGAGGGTTGGAGGGTGCAATGAGGTACGGGCTCCAGGCACACCAAGGTCGAGTTACAGGCTTGTGTAACGTGCAAGCAGCAATCACGGAGCGGGCTGAGGCGGCGTCTGAGGGTCGTATGCGACGTGATCAAGGCAGACGGGGCGCCAGGAAAGAAAATTGGCTGTCGTGTGTGCGGGAGAAGCAAGCGCAGGTGGGAGGAAGAGGGTCACTTTCAAGCGCGAATTTTTCTTTCGTTAAGGTGGTGCTCTAGAGAACCCGACAGCCCACGCTACTTCGGCGCATTCACCACTCCCTCGCCCAGTTCCCGAGAGCGGCCGTCCAGCGACTAGCAGATGACGTGCGGCTTGCACGCTATATGAAAGTACTTATGCTGGCAACCCTCTGCGGCCGCCGTGGTTCTGCGTTTGCTTTCCACCATTTCAGTTCGACGCGCTCCAACACGCCAATGACGTCTCGCGAACCCCATCGACCCCTCATTTGCAAAAAGGTAGTTTTATACATGGCTGCCTGCACTTCAACAAAATAGCCAGTTCCACCGGCTGGCCGTTCCCGTGCACCTGCTTACCTCCAATCTTGGGCTTCGGCCGCCTCCTCGGTGAGGGCCGTGTCGTGCCGGCACTTTCACGTTCCTCTGCCAATGGCCGGCACCACGAGCGAGCCATCTACGGATCCTTGTGCCTTACGGGAAAACGGAATTGCGGCGATTGACCTTTCCGAATCCTGCCGGGAGCTCCAAACCAGCCCGTATTGTTTGTCTGCAATATACAAGCCTTCATTCTTATGCCTGGCCAACTAGGCCTCAACCGTCCACCTTCTCCGCTCCATCAGGAGCACCACCATGTCTTCACACACTCTAGCCGCTGCATCCAGTACATCGGTACTGATAAGCCGCGAATGCTAATCCCGTTGGACGCGTGTTAACTCTTTGTAGCAAGACCAAGGCGCCTGATGCTGCACGTCAACGTGGATATGACCTTCATGCCGCGAGGCTTGGACATGCGAATATCCTATCACCGCCACACTTTCATGAGGCTTGTCGCATGCGCCTCGGCAGCCCCATGTTTCATATATCCGACATTGATTTCAAACAATTTCTGAGCCTTGTCGGCTACTTTCGGCCTTCTCCGTTGCACGTCTATATTAAACCTACGATCTGCCTTGATGCAGCTCGCGGAACGTTGAACGGTGGCTGGGATCTCACAGCGTTTAAACAAGTCCGAATCAACAATCGACGATTACAATTCGCACCATCCATAATCCCGGTACATGCTGCCTCGCCCCGGCCCGCGATTACCTCAGACCAAATAAGTTTCCAATAATAGTTACCTCACCCGGTCAAATCTGAGGAATACGGACGTGACCATCAATGAGCACTATATCTAGGAAGTCTTAGTATCAATTGCGCCCTCTCAAGACTATATTCTGCGCGCGGAAGTATCACAGGCCACCTACATAGTATCCACGAGCGCTATACGGAGTATTTTCCATGATATATATGCAGGACAGTACGATTGCTACAAACATTGGAAGAAACCAGAATGACAAGGCACTCGCAACGATAAAGTCTATAGATGTTCAACAATAGATGCAAAATAGAAACACATCCTCAGGGTACACACCATCGTCAGCTGAAGCTCCAATACGCCCAACTCTGGCGAAGGCATTTACAATACGGTCGAATCTTCCGTACAAGTCTGGATTAAACTCACTGCTCGATTGTCCGCAACCTTTCCATCTTCATCCTAGCCTTCTCCTCACTCCCAGCCCACCACCAAACCGCCCACCCAACTATGCTCCACTTCTTCCCCCACACCCCTCTTATTTCCCTCTTTCCTCTTTCCCTCACCTCGTCCTTTTCAAACGCCACCAAGACACGATCCGCAAGATACCGCCTCGCATGGTCCGGAACCTTGAACAAGGCTTCCCCAAGCGCCGATGGACTAATACCACCTTGACTCATATCATGACTAGTTTGATGGAACGACGAACGTGTTATCAAGGTGAGGTGCGCGATTGATGTGCGTTGGAAGGACGGCTTGAGGTGTGTGCAATTGAGGTCGTGGCCGGGATAGAAGAGGGAGGGGAGGGGTCGACGGTATTTTTCGGTTGAACAGGGTGTCAAAAGGAGGGGATAAGGCGGCTTACGCGATGTGCGGGAGCGGAGCATTAGGTCGATGAGGTCAGGGGGTTGGAAGTAGGTTTGAGAGGCCATGAGGAAGAGCTGAAGTAATCTAACAATGGTAAGAGCCAGTATTAAGACAGGGAAAGTGAGTGGGCAAAGTGTACGTACCTGGTGCAATGAGCCGTGTCCTTGGAAAAATCGGACGCGAATGTGAAGGGTAGTTTTGAGGAGCTTGCATCTGCCATGAATAAAGCGTGGAGGGGGATTAGATGATGGTACATGAACGTGAACACGGCGTGTCGATCCAGTTCGTCCAGTAGTGGTGTTCTAGTCTCCCATTCTATCCTCGCCTTCAACGCCCCCAGAATCTCGATCTGAACAGTAAAGTTTGCCGGATAAGCAAAGTTGGTCAAGACCCATCGTATCTCGTTGAGGAGCCAGACACACGTTATAGCGGCATAGAAACGCTCTCTCTGATCCGCGTTCAATTCGGTGTAATACCATGTATGCGGCGTATTCGGGTTCCTTCGAGGTAGATCTCCGTCTCTGAACTTCTGCTCGCGATCAACAAGTGTTGCAAAGCGATGGACAAACCGCTGTGCATCCGAGGTATCCTCCACAGATAGAAAAGCTTGCTCTTGCAGTTCTCGTTCCAGCCAAATGTTTTCCAGAACACGCAGCCCCTGGTACCTGGCCAGTATGTCACAGATCATGTCATCTGTCCATTCAGCCGGACTAGAACAGCCCCTGGCAGTCTGCATCAGTTGCGTTTCCCAGATACTGAAACTGAAGACTCCGGGTTGGCTGGCAGCGAATGGTGTAGGATGTCGTTCCAAGTGCGCTACGATCTTGCGATGGAGGTCCAGGGATCTGCAAAGCTGGAAGTCGTAGCGGTGTTGGGGTGAAGAGTGAATGATTGAGCGCATGATCTCGAGGTAGATGTTTTGTTTTTGGATGACATGATGAGTCCTACTGCACATTCGTCCGAAGTGGTGGACGTCGTCGATGCTACCTAAGTAGTGATAAATCTGTTCCAGGATTTCTGGTGGTAGATCGATGATTATGGCCATGGCTGGTGATATGCCATCCGGTGGGTGCCTCGCTACGTAGTGTGGTGTGAAGCGACTGGTCTGCTGCCTGTCATGCGGATTCTGCGTGTACGTGTATCATAAGAAGAGACGCGTAGAGTGCAGTATCACATGCCATTCATAAACAATGATCGGGCAATCAAGGGTTCGCAAGAATGATCAAAATGATGTATTAGAAGTCGAATGCGGTTGAAGACGAGACGGCTTGGTGTCAACCTGGAGTGTCAAAGAGTGCGAACCGGGCAGTCGTCACTAACGCGAAGCAAAAGAAGCTGTCATATCCATCGAGTATGCATGTATCTGGAGAGGCAGCTACGCAAGGCTGAACCTTCATGTCCTTGGCTGGCTCTTTGCCTGGGTCAGGTGCTCCGGCAATCGCTCAGGGTCCCCAAGCTTGTGGTAGCGCAAACAGCCGCAACCGTCCCATCTGGCCTCTCATGTGCCGACTGTGGCATCTTGGTTCACTCGTCAGAATCACCATAAGTCAAAGGCCTTGTAAGGCAAAGTGAAAACGCGTCGTTGAGAGAAGCAGTGCTGGTAGTTGGGCTACAACCACTCCGATTGGCTCCTTTTGGGCTTACCGCATTGGGCGACCGTGCTTGGCTCGCCGTTCACTCACTCCCGCGTTGTCTCCGCAGTCCGCAATCAAATCAATCCACCCCACGTCATACCTCGCACCACGTCGCAACTCATATCATTCGCATCGCAACCATGTCTGAAGAAAACTCGCAGCCCCCAGACACCAACATGGAGGTCAACGACGAACTCGACCACGCGGTGGACGACGAGATCAAGCAAGACGCGACACAACTGGAAGCCGACGCCATGAACCTCGACGGCGCAAACGATGCCGAACCCGCGACAGTCAACGGTGTAACAGACTCGGCCGCCGCGTTTGAAGCGCGCATACCAGCGAAAAAGGATGCGACGTTGCGCGAGTTTCTCGGCAAGATGGATGATTATGCGCCTATCGTATGCCGCGTCCCGTCCTCATACCAAGCATCGCGAACTAACCAGGCGATCAGATACCCGATGCAGTGACCAACTACTACCTGACCCGTGCCGGTCTGCCACCACCACCCCAGACATCACAACATCTTGCACGTCTACTCGCTCTGGCGACACAGAAATTCATCGCCGACATTGCGGCCGACGCCTACCAATTCTCTCGCATCAGGTCGTCCAACACCACGAGTAACAACCCCATGGGTGGCGCAGGAGGAGCCCCGGCAGCAGCTGCACCTGGTGGTGCGCCTGGTGGAAAGGACAGCGGCTCAAAGACCAAGGACTACAACCTTGGCATCCAGCGACCAGGATATGGCGGTGGAGGTCAAGGTGGCAGTCAAGGCCGGACCGTGCTCACTATGGAGGATCTGGGCATGGCAGTAGGCGAATACGGAGTCAACATCAAACGTGGCGAGTTCTACCGTTAAGTCCACTGGTTTTGCTTAGGCAGCACTACAAGAAAGCTGGTTCATGACGGGATGCGGCAATTTGGGATATCGACATGCATTTTAGGCGTTTGGAACCGGCATCACAGGCGCAGGGTACTTGGCCATTGGGAAGATTGAGGCATCTGGCCCACAAGCAGAGGGCTCCATCATATTTGTACAATAGCAGTACAGAATGGCTTCTAAATAAACCAAAATGATACCCAAACTCCCAATTGATGCACTTGTTTTCCGTTGCTCATTTGTTCTTCGTCTGCTTGTATGTGAACTGCTTCCGTGTTCTAGAATAACATGTCAGCGCTTCGTTGATCTCTCTCCAACCAGTTCCAACAAGGCATGGAGGTTCTGGCACACGTACGGCGCAAATTCTCCCAGCTTACGTCCTACCATGTCCTCAGTTATGGTGAGGTCTAGGTAGCTCTTGCCGTTGTGTATCTGGAACTTGAGGCCGACGAAATTCGGTAGTATCGTAGCCGAGCGCGCTTGTGTCTTGATCGGCGGCGTCCTTTCGCCCGCCTTTTTCTGTACTATTGGTAGGCTTCGAGATGATTAGGGCGGTTTTCGCAGGGCTTGATTGCAGTGGCTTACGGGACGATATTGGGTCCTAGCAAGACGTTAGTCTTTTGATCCTGTAGGATTTGGAAGCAATGCGTAGTATCTCACCTTTCCAGACCGATCGAGCGCAGAGCGCCCGTGTGGGAAACATTGCGACGTAGGGCGTGAAAGATGAGGTCGGCGAATGTTTTCGACGGCTTCCGATGGCCTCACGAAATGCACGTGAGAACGCGGGGGACGCTAGGGGCTTGGCTTAGGCGGAAGCGCGTCGCGAGTCGTGAGTAATTGCTCGCCATCCTTCGGCCTGTAGTGGCGTGTTTGCCTGGAAAGACTACTACAGTGCTTCAAGGGGGACATTAAACTCGCGGAATTACTCCCACCAGCGCCAGAAGTCACGGAGCCAAACTCCCACAGATCAGCCGCCCACCATGCCCCAACGACGCGGTGCGCAGCAGAGTATGAGCAAACTTGAGATGTATCGACAAGCATGTTCTAACGAGATTTCCAGGCGCAGATACAATCCGGATACTTGTCGCCACAGATAGCCATGTCGGATATAACGAACGCGATGCAGAGCGAAAGGACGACAGTTGGAGGACATTCCACGAAGTCATGTGCCTAGCGAAAGAACACGATGTGGACATGGTACTGCATGCTGGAGACCTCTTTCACGAGAACAAGCCGTCGAGGAAGTCCATGTACCATGTCATGAAATCACTGCGTCAGAACTGTCTCGGCGAGAAGCCATGCGAACTGGAGATGCTGAGCGACGCGAGCGAGAACTTTGGAGGCATGTTCGACCACGTCAACTACGAGGATGAAGATATAAACATTGCTATACCTGTGTTTGCCATTCATGGTAATCATGACGACCCGTCAGGCGAAGGCTCGTTCTCTCCTCTCGATCTGTTGCAGGCGTCTGGCTTCGTCAACTATTTTGGTCGCACACCGGAAGTCGATAAGATCTCAGTGAAGCCTGTGCTACTTCAAAAGGGCGGCACCAAACTCGCTCTCTACGGTCTCAGCAACGTTCGTGATGAGCGCTTGTTCCACACCTGGCGGGACGGTAATGTCAAGTTCTTCCAACCTGGTATGCAAAAGGACGAGTGGTTCAACCTAATGAGCGTGCATCAAAATCATCATGCACATACGCCGACCAGCTATCTTCCCGAGAACTTCCTACCAGAGTTTATGGATCTTGTTGTATGGGGCCACGAGCACGAATGTTTGATTGACCCGCGATACAACCCTGAGATGGGCTTCCATGTCATGCAGCCCGGCTCCTCGGTGGCTACGTCATTGATGCCTGGAGAGGCGGTTCCCAAGCACGTTTGCATCTTGAGCGTCACTGGCAAGGAATTCACAACTGAGAACATCCGCCTGAAAACAGTCAGACCCTTTATTATGAAAGAAATTGTGCTTGCAGAAGAGAGGGAAATTAAGGAAAAAGAGATATGGCGCGTCCGCGATGTCAGCGATAACCGTGCAAAGATTACCCAATATCTGAACCAGGTTATCGAGGAGTTAATTCAAGAAGCGAACAGGGAGTGGCTTGAACTTCAAGAAGACAGAGAAGAAGACGATGACATCGAACCGCCAAAACCGCTTGTCCGACTGCGTGTCGAGTACACAGCTCCAGGAGGGGGTGAATTTCATTGCGAGAACCCGCAGCGTATTTCGAATCGCTTCATGGGTAAGGTAGCCAACATCAACGATATTGTACAGTTTCACCGGAAAAAGAAACCAGCGAACCGTGCATTGAAGAGCACGGCTGAAGAGCCAGACGAGGATATCCTGGCTGAGCTTTCGATTGACTCAGTCAAGGTCGACAAGCTGGTTAAAGAATTCCTCACAGCTCAAACCCTGACAATCTTGCCGCAGAATTCCTTTGGAGATGCAGTGTCCCAGTTTGTGGACAAGGACGACAAGCATGCTATGGAGACCTTCGTCGGAGACAGCCTCAAAAATCAGCTCAAGCACCTCATGGCCGCCAACGAAATCGAAGAAGAGGAGATTACCAAGGAGATGGCGGAATACCGCGAACAACTGGAGGATCTGTTCGCTTCAGGACAGTTGAAGAAGACACGGAGGTCAAAGGTCAAACCTAAGCCAGCTGGATGGGACAGTGACTTCGACGGGTCTTGGGCTGATCAGCCTGCTGCTCTCGTCCGTTCTGACAATGAAGGCGAGAAATATGATGACGATAGCTTGGCTTCCATAACCACGAAGAAAGCTGCTCCACGCGGTCGCGACAAAGCAGCTGGCACAAGTCGTGCAACTGCCGCTGCTGCCAAAAAGGCCGCACCTAAGAAGGCTGCGCCAGTAGCCAGAGCTACAGGTGGCCGAGGCAAGAAAAAGGCTGTTGTCGAAGAAGAGGAATCTGATAACGACGAAGACGTGATCATGATCGACGATGACGACGATGAAGAAGTCCCAGAAGAAGATGACGAAGATAGCGCGGAAGACCTTTTCGTTGCCTCTCAGAAGAAACCTCCTGCAAGGAAGGCCGCTGCGAGGACGACAACCAAACCCCCGGCGAAGGCCAAGTCGCCGGCTAAGAAGACGACGACTACAAGGGCCAAGGCGGGTTCTGCGGCTACGCAAACAAAGTTGAACTTCTCGCAGACGCTTACGAAGCGTAGTCAGCCCACGCGGGCTGCGCCGTCGAGGGCAAAGAAGGCTGTGCAGGAGCCTGTAAGTGACGATAATGGTATTTATAGAGGTTGAGCTAATATGGGAATAGAGTGATGATGAGATTGAGTCTGATGACGCTTTTGAGTCGGCGCCGCCGCCAAGTGCTAGACCCACGAGGAGGAGGTAAAGGTACAGAGGACATCAGAAGTGTTCTGAACATCAAGATACATGAGCAGGAGGCGCGAAGAGACATGTGGTACAGCATATTCAGCATGGAGCATAGCGATGGCGTCAAGGCGTTAAGAGGAAAACTATGATAGGACCCTGGAAGCCAGCGAGCTTTATTACCCGAGTACGTGTGACCGTACTTTGTATGCTCATATCCTATACTAGAGCTGTATACTCAGACTTACGCAACATGCATCTGCCTTCAGAAGAGTGTGTGCGTCGAGTTTTTCTACATCTGTGGTTTCTCAATGAGCCAGTAGGTGGTTCGCTCATTCCTAGAGCTTAGTACTCGGGAGTTTCTTCTTGCATCACATATGAGACTGTATCGTCGCACCTGGATGCCGGAGTAAAAGCCCGAGTATTCGCTTATCCATGTCTTCAGTGTCGACTGCTCTTGCCTTCTCAATCTCACCTAGCAGCCGCGCTTGTCCGCATGTCCACTTCTATAAATCTCACGATGCTCTTCTTCAACCCTTCCTACATCGTCGCTGTGTCATCTGTTTCCTCAGTGGCCAACCCCGATCGTCTCCTACACTGGCAGTTGCGGCAGGATGCAGGGTATAACAACCTACCCAACCTCTTCCTCTGTCCTTCTCCTCAACACACTCATTTTGGTTCCATCTTCTTGTTCCGTCTCGCCATCTTTCGCATTGCTGCACTTGGGCTTTTTGGATAGCTGTCGTTCACTTCTTGTTCGCATTGCCTCACCATCGATCAGATTTGAGGTATGTCACTGTCTCTGCTACACCAATCATGACCCTCGCCTATACCCGCAATATTGAAGTACCTTATGCTGCAAGGAAGTCATACTGACGAAAGCAGGATATTCGCATCACACCATCTCAACCTTTTTCGCTTCTCCAGCTCCACGTCTCATTGACCCCATAATACCAGCGACTCAATCAGGTTGGCGGCTCGCTGTCTACGGTGCCCACTTAGGGTGAAAGACCCTCCATGATGTCGTTCGCATACAAGGTGGATGAACTGCTTGCACTTCGCGACTCGGTGTCGGAATCGGCTGTGTCGATTGAGAAGTTTCCTAATGAGGATGTGATCAGAGGTCAGTCATGGACCTGCCCTCTTCTGTCCTTCACCTTTCACCTTCCCCACCAAGGAGCATAGTGTCCGGATGCGGCGTATCCTGCACACCCTTAACTACACACGCTGCGACCGACGATCCCTACTACACTGCACCACCTCAAGCCTCGTCGTCTTGGTTACTACCATTGCTATAAGGCGAGCACAGCTGATCGTCCTCATATACAGAACACGTCCTACGCCCCTCGGTGTCCGCTTCGGCGAATCTGTCTAGCAGAGCATCGAACAGAAGCCTGCGTGTACCTACTCCGGCGGCTCTCATTCCTTTCGGCCCTCAGAAGCGGCCATCGCCGACGCCGTCGATTAAGCGTGGCAAAGCAGAGAAACTTCTCAAAGAACACGGAAGTCCCCCTGGTATACGAGTTACCGCGGGTGGCCGTATAGTTCCTAGCGACCTTCCACCGCTCGGCACGTCTCGATACGGTGACACCGCTTACAGACCACAACCACCACTGCGTGTCGCCCCAGGCAATATCCCTCAGCCGCAGACACAAACAAACGGCAACAATACCGCTCGTGTTGAAGTCGTTGGCGGTCAACCAGTCATCTTTGTTGGTGATCGCATGTTCGCACTGCCAGCAGTCAACGCAACCAACCCCAAGATACCTCTCACTGGCCCCGCTACTATGGACACGACGGCCAAACAGATGCTAGGCGATTCCACGTTGGCTACTCACAATACTCAAACGGGAGGCGCCTTTGGGCCATCACGTTCCAGTACTCACACACCATTTGCTGGCCTGGACCTGACGACACTCAAGGCGCAACAAGCGCTGAAGAAGCAAGAGCTGCGAACCGTAGAGCAGACCGAGGTATTGCAAGCTGGTCACCAGAGCGAGGCATGGCGCGCGGGAATGATCGAGAAGAAGCGGCGCCTGATCGTCGAGCTTGATGCGCTTCGAAAGCAAATAACAGCCGCCGAATCAGAGGGTAGTACTGCTCAACATAGCACCTTCTCTGGAGCGAACGCTCTAGGCTCAGCACCTATGCCGACTTTTGGACCGCAATACCAGCCAGGATATGCCCCTCCCATGTACCCATTCGCAGCGCCGTATTCGTCTCTGCCGATGTTCCAGCCCCAAGCTCAGCCTTTTGGTCAATTTCCCAACTTTACTGCGGTCGAGCCTACACCTTTTGTCCCAGCCGCGGCAAACCCACCTCATTCTCCTCCAGGCTCAGCTAGTCGTCGTTCTAGAGCTATTGAGATCAAGCCACCACCTCCAGAGGAAGTCAAGAAGGGATCTATTTTGAACCCAAAGAGCCCTACATACGAGCCCGTTACCAAGTCCAGCACCACGCAAGGCGCTGTACCGCCCACTCCCTCGGCAGAGAAGCGATCTCCGTGGCGAGCACAAAAACAGCAAGAGCAGGGCAAACATGACCGCCGGGCGTCATCGCAGAAGCATAGTCTGTCTAGCGTTGATACCATGGATTTCTTCCCTACAAACACACATGAGCATTCCTCAACACGCGTAGCCCCACAAGCCAAGGAGACCGGGCACTCGTCCGATGAGAACACTGCTGTCCCATCTACACCGGAGAAGCACTGGCCTGCTAGTCCTTGGAATGAAGGTGATTCTGGTCGCTCAAGGCAAAAAGAGCCTGCGCCTAAGCTCACTTCGTGGCCTGAGGCATTTGGCAAGCAACCTTCTATGACTGCTGTACAGCAGAACGCTTTTGAGAAGCCCTTCTCCACCATCGTTGAGCGAGCTCCTGTAATGGGCGCCAACACGTCGACTTCCGCTTCGAGTAGCTTCGTCGCGCCACGCGCCAACTCGGACCAACGTACTAGTACAGATGAGAACTGGCCGTTCCATGGCAAGCCGGTAACATATGTTCCGTCCACATATCAGGAGGGCTACCAGGCCGGTTATGACCATGTTGGCATTCCTGACAGTCCCGAGGTTCTGCAAGGTTACATCCAGGGTCTTTTGCACTTCCTCACAGATGAGTCGAAGAAGCGTCAAGCTGAGTATCAACACGACATTGACTCTAGGACACCCTCGCTACGAGCGTTAGTTGCCGGGTCTCTTCCCCAAGACTCTGCTGCCGGTATGCCTTTGAACAACAACAACAACGCCAATGGAGGTCAGGAAACTGTTCGCTCAATGAAGGGCAATCTGCCAGACGATGCCCGTCGTGACTCGGGATACGGTCAGCAAGGGAATGTTAAGGAAATTCCAGTGCAATACATGGCTCGCAGCGAAGCTATTCTGGAACGCCATCGCATCGCCTCTGCCGCGCAGCACCTGAACCCTCCAGTGATCGTTCCACGGAGGCTTGCGTCTAACTACCGACAGGCTGCGTTTCCGAGCATCGAGAATGATACAAGTCGAGGCATAAAGAATCCAATTAACTTGTCCAAGGCGAACAATTCCTTGGACAGTGGCGTGGTTCAGCATATCTTCGGCAATCAAACCCAGAATCGCAACTATGGCACGTCACTGAGCTCGCAGCGCTTCTACCCAACGCACAAGGAAGTGAGTCTGGGCGAACTTGGTACCTATAACGCACCTGCTCCTCGGCACTTTGGTAACCGCTTGTCAGGACTGGACGGCGCCATGGATGATTTGTCGGAGATGATCAACGATACGCCTACTGACGAGCATCGGTCTCCGGTTGCAGGGGACCTTCGTTCAGCTGAAGCACCTGTCCCCTTTGAGTATGAGGAGAGCAGTGCAAGCTGCTTCAAGGTGCCAAGCAGTAAGGGCAAGCAGAAAGCGACGTCTTCTCCAACGAAGGCCGCGGATGTCGAGCGTAGTGCTGCTACATCTTCGCCAGCCAACCCACCTAGCTCGCCTAAGAAGTCCGGAGAGCATTCACCCGCAAAAGCGAAGCTGGAACAGGTGACCAACAAGTTTCGACGCAGCAAGAAGGACGACCCTCGAACCATGTCTCCAGACGAGAGGCAGAAACGTTCAGACAAGTGGCGACAGCGCTTTCGGGACCTGAAGAGGACGGAGATCGAGGAGATCGAGGCGCATCGTAGGAACTCGCGTACTTGATCGTTGATTGTGGTTTGTCGTCGTCTACTTCGGATTACTTGGATAGGTCATTGCATCTATTCGACCTCGACGTGAACCAAGTCCGCTCTTGATGCTCTTCTCCGCATAGGAGATTGCTTCTAAATTCGGCCGAGGGTTACTCTCATGGAGTAAGCACTATCACCGATACCTCCTTTTAACAACAACATCTTTCCGATTGAACGAGTCTCTTTTGCAACCCTCTACTACGGCACAGTGGTCGCTATGGTGGCCCGGATAGTCTCCGAGTTTTTTTCTTCAACATTTGTTTCGATAATAGGTGGACTGGCAGAAGGCGGCAGGGGATGTGTCATGGGCGAAGACAAGTCGTTCTGGTCAACTATGCACCTTCTCATCTCCTTTCAGTCAGCATCTTGCGTATAGATTCAGTCATTGTATAATAGGTAGCCAGCATACTCATCCGTTGCATCGTAGAATAATACCGACATGTCTCGCAATCAGTATAGTTTAGTGACAGCCGGTTTGTTCCTTGGACTTAAAGTGAGCTGACGAGGTTCATGGTGCACGGCCGATATATCGGAGTGACGGATGAGGTCCGAAACTTGCGCTAGACTGAAATAGCAATGGTTCTAGAACAGATTGGCGTCCGAGGCGGTGGTCAATGGACGAAATGGCGGAAACATGCGCGTCCTTTGTGAGCTGTCATACATCATCTACATTATCTTCAGCGCATACATTGTGTACTTGGAGTGTAAGACGGCTTCACCATGGCAACGACCAAGGGTCAATCGATCACGATGGATCTTGGGTCGGATTCACACAGCCGCGTTTGGTGCGATGACGTGCCGTTATGCTTTCGCGTTGCTGATAAATCGGGCAATAGCGTGATTTGTCCTCCAGTCGTGGGGAAGTGCTAGGACGGTTCAGTAGTCATTTCAGGCCAGAGGCGCAGCGCAGGGCTCGGGAAGACGGATATGCATCATCACGAAGGCGCCATCGCGTGTAGGTGAGAGCGAGGGTTTGCGCTGCTTGGAAATACACATGTGCTGTGACTACGGCCATGTAGCAGGCTGATTGGTGACGAGTGAGACGGCCCTGTCTTGCTGGCTGGTTGTGGTGCTAGCTGGCCTTCGAACGCGGCTTCCTTTGGTAGACAGGGATCCGGAAGTCCCCACTTGCCCTCCGCCATCATTCGCCGCAGTCCCAAGTGGTCTCCGGCACGGCTCTGGCTTCCTTCCTTCCCAACCTGCTGGCTGGCCCTACTATACGGCCACTAACTCCTCTTTCCTCTACTCTCTGCCCTTCTTCTCCTCTTCTCCTCGCCGCCAATACCATCAGCCCGCATTCCCCTCTCCCATCGCCTGTGCCTGCGCCTTAGTGACGGGGTCATTCTTTCACCAAGCCGCCCCAGCCACCCGCACAGCGACCCTGGACATTGACCTCACCCGACGTGCCATGGCCCACTGACCGTGCAACGCGCAACCGTCACCTCCCTGCACCCGGCCAACACTCCGAACTCCGCACACCAGAGTCGCCCGCTGCACCCTCGCATCGATTCTGTGCAACCGATATGACGCAGCTCTTTAACTCGTCCGCATCAAGTCACTCCACCATGGCCGAAAAGACGGAGAAACGCACCTTCTCGGGCAAGGCGCTGTCCACCAACAAGTCAGTCAATGCAAAGGATGGCCAGGTCTCCCAACGGATCAAGAACTTTTTCCGCATCAACAGCAGCAACGACACCCGCAAGCTCTCCGACGAGGCAAATCCCAAGAACGAAAAGTCGGGCTTCCGCCAGTCGAGGTTCATTCCCCACATCTCGCGCAATCGCTCGCAGACTGTCGCCAGCGAAGGCAACCCCTTGGATGACAGCGTGTCGCCTACCGCGCACGCCAACCCATACTTCGCCCACCAAGGACCACCGGCCCTGCGCCATCACAACGCCGGCAGTGTACCTCCATCGCCTCCAGACACCCCTGAGGTGCCCAAGACGCAACTGAACGGCGCAGCGACTACCGACGATCACGCCACGAATGCTGGGAAAGAGGAATTGGCTAGGAAACTACGAAGGGTAGCTTCCGCACCTAATGCCCAAGGTCTCTTTTCCTCGGGGAAGAACACTGAGAGACCACAGACCGCAGAACTTGGCAAGCAGCCTGTGCTACACCACCCGAATTCGTCCACCTTGAGCATGGTCGAGACAAATTCGCAAGATCCAACTCATCTTCTACCAATAGAAGCTGGCAAACCCATACCCTCGGCAGGCCAAATCCGCCAGTCTGTGGCTTTCAGGAGAACCTACAGCTCCAACTCTATCAAGGTCCGCAACGTCGAAGTCGGGCCCGGGAGCTTCGACAAGATCAAGTTGATTGGCAAAGGCGATGTTGGAAAGGTATACCTAGTACGGGAGAAGAAGTCTAGCAGGCTATATGCTATGAAGGGTACGCGAGCCACTTCGCAATTACAAATTCACTTGCGCTAACAAGTACAGTGCTGAGCAAAAAGGAAATGATCAAGCGGAACAAGATCAAGCGTGCCTTGGCCGAGCAGGAAATTCTGGCAACCAGCAACCACCCTTTTATCGTTACTCTATACCACTCTTTCCAGTCCGAGGATCATCTCTACCTCTGCATGGAATACTGCAGTGGTGGTGAGTTCTTCCGAGCGCTGCAAACACGACCAAACAAGTGTGTCGATGAGGATGCCGCACGCTTCTATGCGGCTGAAGTCACAGCCGCCTTGGAATACCTCCATTTGATGGGTTTTATCTACCGAGACTTGAAGCCAGAGAGTATGTCGCTTCTCAATCTTTGCGCACCTCATGCTAACAAATTCAGACATCCTTCTCCATCAGTCTGGTCACATAATGCTGTCAGACTTCGATTTGTCGAAACAGTCTGAACCCGGCGGTCGCCCGACCATGATCCTCAGCGGCCGAAGCGGTACATCATCAAACAATCTGCCTACTATTGACACGAAATCGTGCATAAACAACTTCCGAACCAACTCGTTCGTTGGTACCGAGGAGTACATCGCGCCAGAAGTCATCAAAGGCTGTGGACATACGAGTGCGGTCGATTGGTGGACCCTTGGTATCTTGATATACGAGATGTTGTATGGAACTACACCTTTCAAGGGCAAGAACCGCAATGCGACGTTTGCCAACATTCTCCGGGACGAGGTACCCTTCCCGGAGGGTTCTGGCGCGCCGCAAGTATCGAAGTAAGTTTGGACCTGTTTGTATCGAGAATCTTGTCCTAACAACCCCAGTCTCTGCAAAGCAATCATTCGCAAACTCCTAATCAAAGACGAAACCCGACGCCTCGGATCCCGTGCTGGCGCTTCCGACATCAAGACCGCACCCTTCTTCAAGACAACGCAGTGGGCCCTACTACGGCACATGAAGCCACCGATTATCCCTCACCAGGGCCAAGGTATCGAGACACCCAACTTCCGGAATGTTAAGGAATCCCATAGTGTTGATATTGGAGCTGCAAGGGTCCAGGGCGTCCCGCTAGATTCAGGTCTCGCTACACCCATGGGCGAACTTGCAGATCCGTTTGAGGAATTCAACAGTGTCACTCTGCATCATGACGGAGATGATCACCATCATCAAGAGAGTCATGAGCAACGGTAGACTGGGAGTAACCCGAACGAAGACCTAAAATACGTAGTGTGCTCATCACAGCACCCGAGGACCTCCTATCTACAGGAGGGCTTTCTCTCGACTCCACTCGTTTGTTGCGAAAGGATCATAGACAAATGGGTTTCTTACTCATCACAGCGGCGTTCCAGGCTATTGGGTCATCCAACTTCTTCGTTTCTCGATCGCGCCGGAGATCTCTTCATGGCTTTTTTGTTATCAATCAGCATCTCATTTTGCTGGAAAATTATCTCTGGCGTTGTCTGTAAATTTTGTTGTGAGCATGGATCATGCTATTCTGGTCTGGTCTGGTCTGGTCTAAGAGCGGAGGCGGCTTGGGCAGAGAGATATATTGATGGACGGGGTTGAGGGATTACTGCAAGCGGAAGGGAAAGGGCAGAAGCAATGAGAAAGATATCTTTGAGGCAGTGCTGTCGCAAATTGAAGTGACTCAAGAATTTAACGTGACGAGATGTAAAATCAAAGTTTTGAACATTCAGGGTTCAAGTGGTGATGGTTATAGAAGAGTGGGGAAGACGCGACAACTAATTGCTATAAGGAATGTCTATTACAAATGACACGAGTGTATAGTATATTCGGCAACCTGGATATATAAACGCCACGATGCTCACCAGCCATGCAGAGTGATATACCAACGGCAAGAGGAAAACATCTGCCACCGCGTTGACCGCTACCCACATTCCTTCCGTATGCCAGCTTAATGACTCCAACAGCCCACGCGCGCCTCCAAGCTACCCGAATTTCAAGTCCACAGCCACTTACGACAGTTCTTCGCACCACAGAGACAAGGTATCGCGCCCTCACCCGGCTCATCCATCTCGTCCCCCTCTTCCTTGTCCAGATAGTCAAACGTCAGTTCCTCGCCCTTAGGAATGAACCTATGGGCAAAGAACGCAATATCGTAAACTCTCGGATCATGCTTGTTGTATGAGACGGTATACTGCCGGCAGTTGGGATCACATGAGTGGTTGATGAACTTGGTTGGTCCACCCATGAATTCGCCGTCTACGACGTAGAGGTCTTTCTCTTCCAGGCCCTCTGACTCAGCAAACTTGTCGAGAGAGTACAGATACGACATTTTTGCTTTTGAGGAAGAAGTCTCACGACGTGTAGCTTCGGCGTCGGTGATGACCTCCCCGCGGTAGGTATCGATGAATTGGCCTTCGTGAAGATCTTCCTGTAATAGTGGATTCAATGTTAGTGGATGTCTCGCGAATACTAGTCTTTTTTTTTCTTCAAAACTTACTTTGCAGCGTAGTCCCCAGCCACGCCCGTCATTCGCTCTGAAGATCTCAACTTCCACTTGACGACCGAATTGCACGTTCTTGTTACGGCAATAGGGACCACATCTGCATTGTTCATTGCACTCGTAGATTGGTCGACGGGAGTTCAGGTAAAAGGGCACGAGGCAGCCGGTCTTCTCTCGCCTAGTGCCTTCAGCGAAGTATGGAAACTTTTTTGGAAAGCCCATCGTAGACGCTCCAGTGTCGAGAGCTTCTTGATACTCCCGCTTGCCTTCGTCGTCAAGGCGGCTCTCATCGACTGCAGCATACTCGAGACAGTCGCATTTCTTTGTGTACTCGCATCCGATGTCGCGGCCCATGTGTGGTGAGCATTGCATGCAGCCTTGTTGCGTTTCAGTAGACGCGCGGTAGACGCCTTGTTGCAGCACGTAATCAGAAATGTATCGAAATCGCAAGGATGGAGTGGCTTTGTCAACCACATTGAACAAGTAGATACGTTTGCCCGGTAATTTCTCCAGTCTACGTACATACTCGTTGCGGATCAAGGTTTGTGCTTTGTCCACACTGGCATGATGCGCAGACCAGTTCATCTCTAGTGTGGGGATATCACGAATCTCGAGTTCCTGTATACCTTGACCTGATGCCTGTGTTGCATATTAGTGGTGAGAAAAGGCAGTCTGCTGGAAGACTCACTTTACGACAAAAGATGTGGCCATATTCATCAGCATCTAGAACACCGTTGTAGATGTCGATGGTTGGAGACGTAGATGTATCGACACAAGGTATAGATGGTGACCGAGACGCTGACGGCGTCCGGTGTTCTTGAAGTCGTCGGTTAAAAGGTGATGAGCGACGGTCATGTTCCGATTCCTCGTTAGGGCTCTTCCTTTTTCTAGATGTTGTCTGTTGAATTAATGTCGTATTCCTTGAAGTAATTAGCAACAAGCTATAGTGATAGGGAGATGTAGCTCACTTTTCCCTCTCTTCAAGGTAATCTTGAATGTGTTCTAAGCAGCGTACTAGCTCCTTCACCGAATGCCAGCTAAGAGGCGGTTTCGTAGTCGATGTCTCCGCTTTCCATCGTACCAAGTACTGCTCGTCCTGGATCTTGATATCAGCACGGAGCACGGGCCATATAGGGTGAAGGAGTACCAACGCCGTTTTCAAAGCGATTCGCGACAACAGAATGCACCTAGAGACAACGTAAGTGTTATTACGTGCACGTTTAGTGCTTTAGGAAGCACTTACGCGGTCTGCGCGAACACGGCGCCTTGTGTGTCTGTTTGTCGGAATTACGACTATAGCTGGCATCCCCGAACCCGCAACTGCATCGCGTTAGCCTTACTAACAGTCTAGTTGAAATACTTTAAAGTATCTCTAGCGAGTAATTTCTAGCATAGATTGCGCTGTAGTATAGACTTACGTTATAAGAATAATAAACCTAGAAGATTATAGAGTCGCTTAAGATTCAAATTTAGAAATAAAGTCTTACTAGAGAGATTACTAGTAAGAGAAAGTTATAGTAGACGTCTGTTTCTTTTGTTAGAAGAGAAGTAAAGTTAGGCACCTTAATTCTAGAGCAGGTTTGCGAGTGTACCGCGGGTGCAGCAAACACTACTTAGTAAGCAAGTGCACAGACTACACTGTTAGTGATCTCTTACTAGTAAATCTATATACCTATATTACTTAGGTAAACATCACTTTGAAGGTTACTGCCTTCTATTAGAAGATATGCTAGCATTTTCTCTACTCTCGCAAAATTGCGAGACTGTTTAAGTTCAGCCCCTCTATACCTGAACGCAGCCTCTACATGCTAGATGAACATGCCTAGAGCTAGTGCGTGCTATATCTTATGGCAGATTGCTCTCAACAAAGACGTGCAGTGCGGTTCTCTCGCATGCTCGTGTCTACAATGTTTGTGAACTCCCTGTGATGCGCTAATCTCAATATAGCGCGGCCGTAGTGGTTTATCGCTATCTTAGCGCCATCAGCCCTCCAAAAAAAGTTTGGCCGCAACTCAAGCCTCTGAGCGGAGACATCGTCGCAACACATTATAGCAAATCATGGCATCAGACGCACAAAACAACCCCTTCATAAGGAATCTCGCCTCTAGCGGTACGCATAATTTGTGATTGGAAAACCTCAGATCACCAAGCTAATGTTTGCGACAGACAAGAAGGTTCGCGATGAAGCACTCAACTCACTCAAAACCTATCTGGGCGCGCAATCAGAGATATCGGAATTGGACCTACTGAAACTATGGAAGGGACTGTTCTATTGTATGCGCTTTTCATACTTCGCCTCGTAATGATACGAGAGCTTCGCAACCAATCTCGCAAGAACTAACAAGATACTCCTAGGCCTATGGATGCAAGACAAACCCGCCCTCCAGCAAGGCCTATCGCGCGACCTTGCTTCTATAGTCTCGAGCCTCCGAACGCCCGTCGTACTGCCCTTCATCCGCGCTTTCTTCCTCACCATGTCCCGCGAATGGACCCATATTGAGGCGCTGCGATTAGACAAGTACCTCTACCTTATCCGCCAATACCTCAATGCATCCTTCAAATTTCTGAGCAAAAACAAGTGGAAGAAGAGTTTGCTAGAGCAATGGAATGCTGTCATGGAGGAGATACCCCTGGAATGCCAGAATATGAGAATTCCAAATGGATTGAGATACCACGTCATGGATGTTTGGGTCGATGAGATGGAGAAGGTTGAGGGAGAGGCATGGGAGAAAGAAGACAAGAAAGAGACATTGGAGACGCTGGTGCTGCCTGTTGAGAAGATGGCCAAGGACGGCAAACTGAAGCCGCTAAGAAACGCGGCGAAAGAGTGTTTAGCTGATGATAGGATAAGAGCATGGAGAGGGCAGGAACTGGAGGAGGCCATGGAGGATGCCGAAGAGGAGGAGGATTCGGAGGCAGAGTGGGGAGGCTTCGCAGACTAAGAAGCATGGCTCTTTATGAAAACCTGGAAAGACACATTGCATATGATTTCAGCGAGGCGTTTATGGAAGATTTGTTCTGCATGTAGGACATGGAAAAGCGTGATAGCATGAAAGGTATTCTACAATCCGCAGAGGCTCCCGAGACCACATTCAGAAACAGGACGTTGACCTTCAAGCCGCAGTCTCTCGCAACCACACTCGTCTTCTTAGTCTTCGCGCGTATTAATAGCACCATCTGGATCAAGTTAGCTGGCATCCTCACAGCACAATGTAGCAAACACTCACATCCACCGCTGCTCCTTGCACCACCATTAGTCTTTTCCTCTTCTGTATACTTTCCTAGCAAATCTGGCCGAACGAAAAGCACATACAACCTCCAGAAAAGCGGCGGTACCAAACACGCCACACTAGCCGCAGCAACCCCCTTGCTTAGCGCTGCATTTGGCCCTCCTCCTTCTATTAAGTCCAATACTATCATGGGGATCAACGCCGCTTCTCCAAGCCCCAGGAGCATATATGTAGGTCGTCGGCTCTCGATACCATTGCGCGTATTGGTCGCGCCCGCGAGCAAGGCGGACGTCAGACCGCCTACGACCAAACCGCCGAAAAGACGGGCGAAAAGGATCGAAGTGGGGTTGATATCGCGAGAAGGGTTGTTCAGGAGGAGGGATAGCGTCCGGCTTGTGTTTGTTATTAGTGGTATGGTGAAGAGGTTTGCGAAGGCTTCTAAGAGGAAGGCTTTGCGGACTGTGGAACCATTCTGAGATGGATCGGGTGTGATGTTTGGGTTTGTGGCAGGGGATTTTGTGGTCGGCATCTCGGTGGTTGAATAGGTGTCTCGAGTCGAATTACTGAGGAGTCGCAGGTATGAACAGAATATAGCAATCAGATATGTAGTATGTCATTGCCGTAGTTGATGTTCTAGCCTACTCATCTGGTATGACGAGTACAGACGTCATCACTTATTCGAGGGATAACAACCATCACCTCAATCAAGTGATCATAGCAAGAAACTAGCCAATCTTGTTTCAGATGTATCGTCTTTTTTTTTGGCTCGATACAGGTCTGCGAGATGGATATGCATGCATGCAGGGCGTACTGCACCCTGGCTAGTCGCGTCTCTAGTCAGGAACATGTACACGATCAGGTAACACCAGATCCATAGCCTGCAGAACCCACATCGCGACTTCGATGCTCCATTTGCGCGCTTCTGATATCGTTCCTGCAGTAAGAGGCACGACTTCAGTTCATGCTATGCATGTTAACCACTTTGTAGACTACTCTAAGATCAGGTAGCTTCACCACTTCCATCGCGAGCAGATCATTTAGGAAACTGAAGATTAGCCCTGATTGTCATTATTGGGTATAGATATCCATCTGGTTGATGCAGCGATGATGGGAGTGAAAGACGGAAATGATGTCAGACCTGGGGTAGGGCTGGCGGGAACGCTAATTTCGTTGACACAGCGTCCAACCATGGCGCACTTCAGCATTCTTGGACCGCCGGCTACTGACCGCCAAATACTTCCGGCAGTAATATTCCGTCGCCCACCACATTATTGAAGCGTGCAACTTCTGGGCCCATCATGGGTCGACGACCCAACCAATTGATCCTCGAGTACTTCGAGCGCGGTCCCAAGCTGGAAGATGCAAGTAATCGCTACCAACACACGTGCAAGTCGTGCGGTGAGAAGGTGAGCAACCCCGCCCTGGAAAAGTTGACGACGATAGCTGATGGAAAACAGTTTCCTAAAGGTCGCATAGATAGCCTCACGAATCATCTCGTTAAGAAATGTCCCGCGCTACCTCTCCAAGACCGCCAGCGCGCGCTGCTGCAGATGCACGAGCTGCCTCTCCCCGACAATATGACACAGGCGGCCAGTCCAAACGCACCGGGGCCGAGCCAGATGCAGCATGGCCAGAAGATGAACCTTCCTTTTGCGCCTTCGAAGCAGCTCTCAGCACTGGAGACGCTGGCCGAGGTGTCGCGACAGCATCTGGACCTCTCTGGGAAGCGCATGGCGGAGAAGCAGCCATCACAACCACAGAACAACCATAATCACAACCACAACCATAACCATAACCCCAATACCAATGCGAACCATGCAGGGCTGTTGGATGAGTTTCTGATACAGGATGATCGGCCCGATGGCTCTGATATGGGTGGTCTGTCACATGGTATGGATATGTCGCATGCGCCAGCGATGCCATCCATGTACCAGTTCAATGGGCCTTTACATCATTCACCAACCGCCTCACCTCATATAGGCCACATGCCTCTGGGAAGTTCTGGATCAATGTCGCACATGGTCCCCTCGCTCGTTATGGCAGCATCGGCTGCAAACGATCTCATGCCACTGTCAAACGGCATGCCCATGGAATCAGACATGAACCTCTCGGCACATGGGATGCAAGGCATGTCGGACGGGAAGTTCTTCCATCCGCAGGGACGCCATCACTGGCCCAATATACAGCCCAACTCGCTCGACCCGATGCTACAGGATCATAGCAAGGAGCAGATGCACGCGAACGACCAGCTGAATAAAGGTATGGGCCAGCAACGGCCGCTTGCAATGAGTCCAAGTAACCAGACTCACTTCACCACCGACTTTAGCATGAACCAAAAACCAGTGAAACCCAAGGTCAGGGGTCGTTTCACTGACTCCAGGCGAAAGGAAGTGCAAGAGGTGCGAAAACGAGGCGCGTGCATTCGGTGTCGCATGCTCAAGAAGCCGTGCTCAGGCGATAACCCGTGCAATACCTGTCAGAATGTCGAGAGCGCGCGGTTATGGAAGCAGCCGTGTATCAGGACAAGGATCGCAGAGGAGTTCGGTCTCTACTCTGCAGGACTCCATAGTGTGTTGGCATTCCATGCAACGAACCAAGCCAAAGGTCAGATACGACTCGATCAGACACCAGGACGCATAGAAGCAACCCACTTTCCTCATTCCGGCATATTTGCTACATTCACACCGCTGAAGTGTCAGCAGACGCAAATAGCACAGAATACGGATATCGATCCTGCGATCTTCGCCGGCCTAGCTTCTCCGGATCTGGAGCTGATAGACAGTGATGATGATGTCAGTGGGAAGCTAGACCATTACATCAAGAAGATGGGTGGCCAGTTTTCTGATACCGAAGATTCGAATTTCATGAGGATGACGGTGAACATCGCAAAGAGCGTTGCATCGACAAGCGCAGACGGACTCATATCAAAGGCACTGGAGCTATGGAACCTCACACGCGTACTCACATCCCGGAACTTTGAATGGTACTTGTTCTCGAATCCTTCCTTGGCACCCACCATCACTCCGTCCACTTTGGCGCCAGCAGATTTGGAAGACGCTATCCGTACACCCATTACGCCTCTCGATCACGAATCGTCCTACAATCTCATCAACATGCAACTCATGGGAGCGACTGAAAAGCGTGCTGCATGTCTAGCCCGTGTGGTGATGAACGATCTCGAACGCCGCCTCCTCCAACGTCAACAAGCCAACCCCTTTGAGACCTTCCTAGTCGCCGTAATCCTCCTCGCCTGTGTAGAGCGCATGTGCTGGCTCTTCCGCTCTTGGGATCTGCCGTCTACCACCTCATCTGCCCCAAAAGCTGACGGAGACGCATTCAAACAACCAGCCCCTGTTGACAACGACATCGCTACAGCCCTTCAATCCACCTCTTCGCCGTCTGCACCTACTCTGGATATCTCTTCTCACCAAGCACCCCGCAACCCCAGGTGGCCGCTCGATAAATCCCCATCGACGTTCTCTCAGCAAGGCGAGAAGTTCAGCGATATACTGAACATGCTGCTTAAGATGCGGGGTGTCCCTCCCAAGCCCACGCCCCGTAGCCCAGACGGCGTTTTGTCAGTGTGGGGTGAAGACAGCAACAACGATAGAGTACGGGAATGGTACGATGGCATCGCCGTTACGATGCAAATGCTAGATCAGAAGACGAATGCGAGGTTTGTGGGCGAAGATCCCAAGGAATGGGAATTGAAGTTTGTTGGCAAGATTATACGAGGTGATTAGGAACTGTTTCATTATGCTGGGGGTATTAGCCTCTTGTTGTGGATGCACGCATGGGAAGAGATGGATACAGAGAGTGTTGTTATGATGGATGGGTGGGTGGATGACTGAATTACGAAACGACTTGATACCAAAAAGTTTTAAGGCATGTAGTTTGACATGATCGTGTTTGCGCTTCGGCGCTTGAATGAGGAATTATTGTTGTCACACAAATTTCTCAGTTGATGTATTGACTATTTGGCATGAGTAAATGGATTGTGATATGATGACCACTATCTAGACATGGGGATATGCAAGGGCCTCTCCCTGTACGCCATAACTCCGCATAAACGAAACATGCATGCTGTTTGCAACACGTTGGTTCAAAGGTAACAGAATGTATGACTCGCTCAGCTCTTGAGCGCCTCAAGCCGTCCCCGCATCTGGGCGAGCATTTCGGCTTGATCGTCTTCTTCCTCCTCCTCAGCTTGTGGCGCACTAGGCAGTTCTTCTTCCTTGGCTTTACTCGGCGGTAACCTATCCTTGAGCACCTCACTCAACACCTTGTCAACCTCCTCCTCGGCTTCATCAGCCTCACCCTCCAACATCTCGTTCTCGCCCAACGTGTCATCCAGCATCTCTTCAATGATACCCGCCTTCATCAGCTCAGAGCTTAGCTCCCGCATTGTGCCCGTCAGTTCTGGCAATCGCACCAGACTGTTTACATCCTTCATGATGCCTGTGCTCGCCTTGATGCTGCCTTCGATTTTACGCACCGAGAAGGCTTCGTTGACTTGCATCTGCACGCTGTTGAGCTGCGCCTTGGACGTCATGAGCCGATTGTTTTGTTTCCGTACGCGGATGAGTTCGCGGGCGAAGATGCGCACGTCTTGGTTGGCTTGCTTTGCCATGGAAGGGTTGCGTTGGGCGCGTTTGGAGGATTGTTGGATCAGCGTTTTGGTTTTTTGCTCCGTGGCTTTGAGCTGTTGGATGTCGCGGTCGAGTTTGCGGACATTTTGGCGGACGAGGGCGTTGCATTTACGCTTCTATAGACTTGTTAGAGGGTTGGACAGCATGGCTCAAGATAAGACAATGTACCTGCTCCTCTGGTGTGGGCTTCCACAGGAGACCCCTGATGGTCTCCATGATGGGCGCTCAGTGTGGTGTACTCTGAACGTCTGAGCAAGTCGACGCCCAGGTGTCGTTGATGTATGCGCGATTTGGTGCGGATACAGCGGGAGTCGGTGAGGGCGTGTGCAGCGCGTGTGGATTTCCAAGCGTGTCAGATTGCTCGAGTTATATCCAGGCGATTAGCGAGTGGTGGGTAAGAGGTAAAGTGGTGGCAGCAACGTGAGTTGCAACGTCATGTGCATGTCCAAGGGTCCCGAGGGTGTTGTGGTAGCGGTGCCTTGCAACGGCTCCAGGATCGAGCTCGGGCCCATTGTGACGTTGAGCTCCTTCGCGGGGCAGTTGCAACCCACTAGCCTCAAGCATCGAGCCCTGGAGGATTGCCAGCCAACGCAACATTAGCAGAGGCAATCAAGCGCATCTAAGACACCTATAGAATCTACAGCTGCATATCCCTAAGAGTTGCTTTCCGTAATTGATCGACCAAAACCGGGGCGTTCAACTCCAAGATTCCATAGAGCTTCTATTGCTTTCCACGCTAGTCCCTCCACATCACTGCATTTCTTCCGCCTTCAATCTGCTCGTCTAGCCAAACACTACATTACAACTACACAACAGACACCTCATACAACCACTTCTACATCCCGAGCAACCCTTCAAATTCGATTAGAAACAACACGAGAGAGTTCTCACCCTCAACATGACCACTGTCACTCCCGAAGGTAAGCTGCAGCCTTGCCCCCTACGCGAGCTCTTGGGATGCTATCGGAGCACTACACATGGCCGTTCGCCCGCGTTCAACGCAAGGGCTTACGTATAGCTTGAATCGCCTACTCGCGACAGACAGAAAAGCATCAGCAGAGCATGTACAAACCATACTCAACAAATACTGACGCGCGACAGTCACCTGGGCGCAACGCTCATCCAGCGACGACCCCGAGAAGAACTACGTATACCTCACCATCGTCGCCGCCGATGTCCCCGAGTCAGATCTGAAGTTGGATCTCAAGGAGCAGTCACTTAGCTTCAAGGGCACCTCAACATCCAAGAAGGTCACATACGCCATCGACCTTGAGTTCTTCGCCGAGATCGACCCCAAGGAGTCCAAGATCAGCCACAGCGGACGCGACGTCACAATGGTACTGCGCAAGAAGGAACTCAAGGAGGAGTACTGGCCTCGCCTGCTCAAGGACAACAAGAAGATGCACTTCCTGAAGACTAACTTCGACAAGGTAAGCTGCGCGACAGCGGATGAACCAAGAGCGATACACTAACTCATCGCAGTGGGTTGACGAGGACGAGCAAGACGAGGCACCCGAGGACGATTCCATGAACCAGATGAACCCAATGGGCGCTGGCGGTATGGGCGGTGGTGACGGTGGCTTCGGCGGCATCGACTTCAGCAAGCTCGGCGCAGGCGGTGGCGGTATGCCAGGAATGGAAGGCATGGACATGGCCAGCATGATGCAGGGCATGGGTGGTGCCGGTGGAATGCCCGGCATGGGAGGCATGGGTGGAGAGGACAGCGACGACGATGATGACGACATGCCCGAGCTTGAGAACGACGAGGACAGCAAGGACAAGGCAGCACCATCAGGCGACAAGCCCAAGATTGAGGAGGTTGCGTAGTTGCTCCATCTTCTCGCGACAAGCTTATGACTGCAAGAGATTGATTGGGTGGCGCGCATGACTGGCCGGCGTTACTGCTCGATCTTCTGGGGGTAGGGTTTGGAGTCTGATACCTGACCGAGGATGGGAGATGGTTGCATCTACAGGTCGCTGCGTATTTCCGAGTCCGTCCTAAGTGTGCTATTGTAGGTAATTACCACATCATGGAGTATATGACAAAAGAATACGAATCATGTTTTCATGGCTGAAACAAATTTCAGAATGTTTGACAGTCTGATGTGGTGATTGTATCATCTATTGGGTATCTTCTTTGTATGTTAGATCTCTATTTCACCGTCTTTTAGACCAACATAGGCGTTCCTTAAAGCCTCATGACTTAGTACCCATACCGTAGCTATCATATGGGAAGTCCTCTAGGCTCTTGTGGAATCTTCCCCATCCATCGTCGATCTCTCCTGGCATGCCAACCCTTCTCTTGCCTTGCGCAACGTCGACTTCAGTCTTTTGCAACTGCTCCTCCTCGTCCTCCTTGTGTTCCCCCGTCAATCCCGCCAACACCTCCTTCTCTCTCCCCTTATACTCCTCAAGCAGCCCGGGATGCGGACACCAAACCACCTGCATACCTGCTCTCCTTCCCGACTCTACGCCCGGCACGCTGTCTTCGAATACAAGGCATTCTTCTGGTTTTATGGGTGTCTGGCCCTGCTCCTCAAGCGTCTTGTTCAACGTAGATAGGGCTAACAGGTAGATGTCCGGCGCGGGTTTCCCTCGTCCAGCAGGTATCCTAGGGTCATCACCCAACACTTGATGTTCCTTTTCGAAATTCCCATCAAACAAATCCTTCATACGCGCAGTCTTGATTTCGAACATGGCCTTTTGACTGCTCGTCGCGAGCGCCATGTGTACGCCCCTGCTCTTTAATCCTGCCAGCAAGTCCACAACACCAGGCAATGGCTTACATTTTTCGAACAAGTTCGTCTGAAGTTCTTTTTGCTCTTTCAAGAATTGCTCGTGAGATATGGGAAGTTGCGCCCACTCATGGAAGATCTTGCCTGCCTGCGGGCCGGGGCGACCTTGGAGCTGTGCTTTTATGGACCATGGCAGGGGAGGGCGGCCGTAGCGTTCGAGGATTGTGTTTGTTACAATGCTATAGAGGTCTTCGGAGTCGATTAAAAGACCTGAATGTGTTAAAACTCATGGAAGGAACCATAGTAGTTGCTTCATTACCATCCATGTCGAAGAGCGCTGCCCGGATGCGGGGTGGTGGGGTGGTACTACATAAAAGTTAGTATAATCTTGTGTTGATTTCAGGGTTGATACATACGTAGAGCTCATCTTGGAAGTTGTTTAAAAAGATGTAGGTAGAAACTTGGGTATTGAAGATTCTTGTAGAGATTCAATGGAGAATTGTAGAAAGTTGGGGTTGCCTGGATGTTTACCCCACGTGGCCGAGGCACGCTAATCGGACCTCGACAGACGTCACTTCGGAAACAGATCTACCTTTTCTGCACACGCGCACACGCACATAAACTTTGGTAGAACACGCGACTATGGCATCACAGGACGAAACGGCGGTAAAATCAAGTACAGCCGTAGCCGAAGTCGCGACACCAGAAATCTTTCCGCCAGATGAAGAGAAAAAGCTGCTGGACGAGTCGAACACGGAGAAAGCTTCCGCGAACAAAACATTCACATCCGGCGAATACAACGGCGCGATACAAGGCTATGAAAAGGCGCTAGCAGTATGCCCTTCTTACCTTGAATACGATATTGCCGTCCTCCGTTCCAACATTGCAGCTTGCCACCTAAAGTTGGAAGAGTGGAAGCAAGCCGTAGAATCTGCGACCCAAGCTCTGGAAGCGTTGGACCGGATAGATCCTCCACCCCAGAAAAATGAGGACAAAGAAGTAACAGGCGGTGGCGCAATTGCTGAAATAGACGATACAACCGAACTCTACCTCGACGCCCTCACTCGAACCAGCCATACGATAAACGACGTCCACAAACTCCGCACGAAAGCACTCCTACGTCGCGCCAAAGCACGCCATGAAGTTGGTGGCTGGGCGTCTCTACAAGGATCACTGGAAGACTACCAAGCCCTCTCCAAGACGCCTCACCAGCTCTCGAGCCTGGACCAGAAAGCCGTACAGGCAGCGTTGAGGAAGTTGCCGGAGCAGTTGGAAGAGGCGAAGAATACGGAGATGGCGGATATGATGGGCAAGTTGAAACAGCTTGGTAATGGCATACTGAAGCCGTTTGGATTGAGCACGGATAATTTCCAGTTCACGAAAGATGAGAAGAGCGGGGGATATAGTATGAACTTCAACCAAGGTGGGAAGTAGACGATATCGAAGACACAATATTATGCTTTGGTAGCCACTGAAGCTCAGTCATGCCCAAGGTCTCCCTCATTGCATATGAGGCCCAATACAATCTATGGCAGTACCGGAACCATTTAGAGAACGGACTACAACCACGAACTGTGCTGATTCCCTGGCATTTTAAGTTGTCAGATTGTCTGTCTATCCGATTAAATGGAGAGACCACTGACCATTCGAGTCCCTCACAACGCGGTACGCCCTACCCTGTTGAGGATCCCACCAATCTTTACTCCAAAGTTGGGCTAAGGTCAAAACATCAGTAGAAGACTCGTCATCTTCAACCATGTAAAACGTACCGTTATAGTCATAATAATCACGATAAAACTGACCTGTCACCTGGTCTCGTTGCCACCCTGTTGGTGGGTACCATACTTGTGCTTGCCGTTGCTGAACGTAATTGAAATTCTGGTTGTAGTTTATCTGGTGATTATAGTTGATCTTCTGGTGGTAGTGTACTTGCTGCGGTGGGTTTACCGGTTGTGGTTGGTTTACTTGGACCAGTAGCAGCAAGTGGTTTTCTACTCTTTCGCCTTGTATTTGCTCTGCTTGTCTGGCTCTATTTCTGTCGTTGCGCTGATGGCTTTGGATCTCTCGCAGCCCTGTCAATCGTTGCAAGGTGTTACTACCAGATCATCCATACTTACCTCTGACGCCAACCACTTGGAGGGCAGTGCTCTCGTCGATCGAGTTGTTTCCAGCTGTGGGATTCTCCATCGTCGTAGATTTTGTGGCTTTACAGGTTAGTGTAAGCTCAAAATCGCGCAAGTCCGTGAAGCATCCAAGGCTGAAGTATCCTAAAGATAGGATTGTGATCATCAAAATGGAAAGTCATTGGTCTGAAAGTGTATCACTTGACCAAGCTTGCTGACTGCATGGCTACTTGCAAGGCTGAGTCAGTGCTTGGCACCTCGAGGGAAGCCGAAATACCTTCCTTAGGTGCCTTCTTGTGACTCCAAACTATTGCATACAAAATCCTGCCATGACCGAGATCACACCTGGGCGCATCCAAAATGGTTATCCCGGACTTGCAAAACTGTTAGCACAAGATTTAAATGAATGGTCAGGAATCTTCAAGCAGTTCGCTGAGCTCAACGTCCGCAACTTGCTGTATATGCAGGCTGAACTTCTTTGCTTAGAACAAGAACTCGAGGCTATCACTCATGTTGATGAGAATGGAAATGACCCGACCACGAAGAACTTCGCCAGAAGTGTATGGGAGATGAAGAAAGCGCCCGACAGCGCGCAGTGGGACAAGATCCTTGAGATCAGAAAGAAGCTAAGGGAATACAGTATGATATAAATCTATCCTGCACTATTTGTTACACGACTCATACGTCTGCAGACGATTGTTTGCTCCAACAAGCCCGCGTTTCAAAGCTGGATCGAGCCCAAGTCTCCGATTCGAGATGGTTGAGATACTGGTTACAGCACAATGAAGGTGGTAGAGACTTCCTCAAAGGATGCGAACGCCGAGCGTATGACGAATTGGAGCAGCCAGATCTTATCGTTGTGTCAAACAAGTCTTCTGATGACAAATTTTTACAGTGGCTAGAGCTGAGCTTAGTACCTCGCCTTCCCAACATCATATACGATCTTCTCGTAGTAAGCTTCACGTCTGCAAGGAGATCTTTCATACTGACAAATTTGTAATAGGAACCGATAGTCGGATCAGAGAGGCTAGTCAGTCGCATCAAGCTTGGAATCTTACGAAAAATCGCTCGAGCTCTGGTTATTGTGCTGTCTGCCATCTTGCCATTTACAGCCATTGTCGCACTGTATTTCATAGAAAATCTTCGGCATAGGATCGCTATGATTGCTGTGTTCTCAGGAGTATTTGCCTTGGTCTTGACTATCTTCACAACAGCCCGCCCTGTTGAGATATTTGCAGCCACTGCGGCGTGAGTCTGTTGTTATGAACATAGGTAACTTTGCTAACGAATCTAGATTCACTTCGGTGCAGGTAGTTTTCGTGGGTGGTACTAGTATCGAAGGCGGGCAATGTCAGTGCGCTTCTTAGCAGCACTTTGAGCTTGATGAAACTATGTGTTCAACAAGATACCAGATCCTTCCTCTCTCTCTGACGCACATCAATTACGTTTTTCCCAATGGTACACACTTGACGTGGTGGGTGACATTGCAGAGCACTTCAATGAAAGCTAGCCGCAAGAAGTCCTATCAGGCCCCTCACAGTTTACCGCAACAAAAACTGAACCATTCTAAGTTCGTTTTGGCTCGGGTTCGGAACATGTCGTCGTTGAAGTGCATCGTTAGAATGAACAAACCCATTCGTCACTGGCTTCGTTCCTGACCATCACTAGCCACACCACTGCGTACCTGCGTCGAACACGATCCTCAGCACATGGAATTATTGTGGAGCAATTGCGGTATCCTTCCACTCACAGAATGACACGTCTCAAGGCTTATACAGGTCTGAGATCGGTCCCAGGAAAGGTACACACAAATACAGCCATAGGTTCCCACGTGCCAGAGACCTGACGATCCAATCCCGAATCATCCTAAGAACGAGATAGTATCATGTCTTCAGTGGGTCAAGAACTGATCCCTTGACTGACCCAATGTCACCTCTCTTTGGTCGGTCAGTCATTCATTACGAACGATTTCCCGACAAAGGAGTACTGAAGACAAACTTGCGTTCATATACTGAAAAGCATAGTGTATTCTCGTCGTTGGGTAGTGTATCGACCACAACCCAGCCTCACAGACGATGAGCGGTGACGGTACTTCCGTCGTGAGTGCGATGACAAGTCTTGTGATCAAGTCAAAAGACACCAAAGCCACGTCATGCAACGAAGGCGAAGTGAAGTTTGTCGCGTGCGGAACGAGAGACTTCGAGGCTGACTCCGTCTACTCGGATGATGACCCTGCTGCTGATTCTGATCTTCATCAGACCGGTCCCGTGGCACATGGTAGTGCGGCCTGAGTACACGGCTGTGTACCCGGTGGTAGCGCTTGCCAGAAAAGCGGACTGTACTTTTGGAATTACCTCTTCACTAGTACATCAGAAGCGATACGATTGGACGGCGGTGAGCTTACTTTGTGATTATCGTGCAGCTATATGCGATAGCGTCTTGTTACCCTGTTGTAGCGTCGACACGTAGGTATCGCGAAATCTGGTACCTGAAAAAAGTAATCATAAATCTGTACATCGTGTAATCCGCGAGATACGTCAGTAGAGCGACAGCTTCCTTATTAAACCAGCATGTTGCGCACGGTTGTGATTTTTTTACACATACTACAAGTCCTATCATCCATCATATCTCATCCAAAGCTCTTCCTTAACAGTGACTCTGGTCTCACTGTACCACCATAAACTCTTTGCGACACCAGCGTTAAGATGTACACATCAATTTTAGAATGGTTATGGGGTATCCCCAGCACAACGACCGACGGAAAAACATACGACGATCAAGGCATACCATACGTTCAACTCAACGAAGAATACGATTCAAATGTTGAGCGATCATGGACCAACGACCCAAAAAAGTTATATCTTTCTGCTTGCTTCGATCCAAAAGACGAAGTAAACGTAGCGAACGATTACAACATTGATGGCCTCTGTCCGGTAGTCAAAGAAACCAAGGGCGACGAATTTATATTGCGAGACGACAAGGGTCGATGGTATCTCTGGGATGCATGGGTTGGTGAGTTGATGAAGTTCAGAGATTGGTGGGTCGAAGGCTTCACAACAAAGGAAGAGTTAGTGGAGAATCTTGTTTGCAACATGACCGAGGCGCAAGCGGACGTGGAATTCATCGAAAGAAAGCGTAGAGACAGTGTGGTAGACTAGTTGGACCCTGCAGATTGTAGTTGTCTTGAGGATCGGATCGAGAATGCAAAGTGGAGGTTGGGAGAAGGATTGTAGTCTAAACTTTAGCGACGTCGGGAGCCAATGAAGAATTGAGACCCTGACCCACCATTTTCTGCCCCATTTTCCTGGTCCGTGACTCCTCTGCTTTGGACTACCAGCGATAAAAGCGACGACTGAGTGATCGACGCCTGTCATGCCGATACCTGACTGAGACGCGTCTTACACAGAAGGGTTCCGCTAGTCTCAAATTTCCATTATCAAACAACAACATGCCTCAGTATCTCGTTAGGCTTGCGCAAGCACACGAGACTTTCCGAAAAGTCGAACTGCAAGCGCTAGCCGACATTGCAGGAGTGCCTCTACAGTTTGTAAACTATGAAGAAGATGTAAGTTCACGTTCCTTATCACGCATTCCTCCTTCCTCGCCTTCGTCCGTCATGTCTTCTCCACTGTTTGTTTTGGTCACGTCTCGAAAAAGAAAGGCCAGTGTCGCGTCACGCTGTCCAAAAGCATGCATTTCTGACGAACAAAGTCACCCTACTGCATTGTCGATCTGCCGTCAGACGCTGCGGCACGAAGAGTCATCGCACGGAGCATCCTAGCACAGGGTATATACGAGCTATGGGGCCAAGGATCCACATACGACGCCCTTCACGACTCCGTCCGCAGTCTGACCACGTCCTGGTGGCCCCAGTACATTACCGCGTCTTTCCGTTTTACGATAGAAGGCTATCGCGGGAGTAGATCGAATGATGAACAGCGCGACATCATTGACAGTTTCTCGTACATGGCTTTCAAAGGGACTCCACAGATGCGAAACCCAGATGTCGCGTTCCGTGTCTTTGAAGATTACGATCTTAACTGTAAAACCCCAAAGTACCTTTACTTTGGCCGCTTTATTGCCGAGTCATGTCGCAATGAAGCCAAGAAGACGTTTGACCTCAAGAAAAGGCATTACATCAGCACTACATCCATGGACGCCGAGCTCACACTGTTGACGGCTAACATCGCACACGTGTCACCCGGGAAGTTGTTTTATGACCCTTTTATGGGCACGGGCGGCTTCCCGATAGCATGCGCTCACTTCGGAGCAGTGGTGTTTGGGAGTGACATCGACGGACGCACCATCCGCGGCCTTGGAGGAAGCGCAAGAAGGGGACAGACCGGAAAATATGACGTGGTCGGCAACTTCAAGCAGTATGATATGGAGTCAAGTTATCTGGGCGCGTTCGTTTCTGATCTGACAAACACACCACTGAGAATACCGCCACCTGAGAAAGGCATTACGACAGGCTATCTCGATGGTATCGTCTGTGACCCACCTTACGGTATCCGAGAAGGACTCAAGGTTCTGGGATCCCGGCAAGCGCTTCTTGACGTCGAGAGGCAATCTCACCAAGACCAGTTCAAGGAGCCCGGGTACATACCCCCGAAGCGGCCTTACTCCTTCACCGCGCTGCTCGATGACATACTAGCCTTTGCAGTCGCTACGCTAGTGGAAGATGGTCGAATCAGCATGTGGATGCCAACTGCGAATGACGAGGACATCGAGCTGATTATACCGTCACATCCCTGTCTCGAACTGACATCAGTCTGCGTCCAGGCCTTCAACAAGTGGTCACGCAGACTACTGACGTATCGACGGCGCCGTGATTCGGAGGTGCCTGAGGGTGCGTTTGAGATGGCTAAGAAAGAGTATGAGAAAGGTACTAGAGCAAGTGAGTTGAACGACTTCCGAAGAAAATATTTCCAGGGATTCAAAGAGTTTGAGAGTATGAAGAAGGAGTTTATTAGGATGAAGGTAGAGTCTAAAAGCAGTGGGGAGGCGCCTAGTACTGCAGAGGCGCCTAATGCTGTGAAGGAGGATGATACCAAAACATAAATACTGTGTGCCTTAGCTGCACACTCAAAAGCGACCATGAGTAGATTTGCTCCAACATGAACTTGTGATAACTGCCGTCACTCACGGTCATAATCAACGCCTTACTGGATCCTGTCGGGAGCTCACTTGTTCTCGTCTCGCTCGACTCTAGCCCCCCACTTCCCATTCTCTTTCTCCAAAATCATCTTCCTATAAAATTTTGTAAACGTTAATCGATCTTTGTTCTTCTCGAACCACGCTACACCTTCGGGAGTGTTCGACATAGCCAGCACATCCGACTCCGCAATCACGGTCATACCGGCTCCAACAGCAAGTATCCCAGCAAGCAACACTGGCCGCATACTGGATCTCGCGACCTTACTAAGCATGTAGTGTGGAAGGCAGTTGATGATAGGTACAGTCGGCGTCGGAGGCAGTAGGATAGGAGTAGATTCAATTGGAGTGTCGAACAAAGTGCGAAATCGTTGAGGCTGCGCGCTGCGAGTGTAGGGCTTCATGACTGATACCTGTCGTAGGACACTTGATGGAAATGGCATGGTTCTGAGTTCTATAACTCGTATGTCGGTCGCAGTGAGACTAGGGAAAGAAAGACAAGAAGGGAAAAAGGGTTGAGTACAAAAGAGGAGGGAGAATAAATGAGCATTGTGTGTTAGCATGCGGAATGCTGCCGATGGTGAATACAGGCTGAAGCACTAGCTTCAACCGACTCGCTATAGTATTTTCACTTGGTAGATTTGATATGATAGTACAGTGACTGTAGTAACTGCGTACGCCTCAGAAAGCAACTGTCTCCTGATGTGGTCTCAAAGCAACTAGTTGCAAGTCTTTGCAGATATATCTTCGAGTACCCTTCTTCCGAACTCTATCCTGTATGTCTCCCAGCCAGCGCCTTTTGCCTTCCCGCTTTAGCTCGAATCGCCTCCGGGCAATGCTCACCTTCTCCGAGTCTAGTGTAATGCCAACAATAGCACTTGGTCAGAAAGTCGAAACATTTGCCATCATTCTCTACGAGACCGGCGTTGTGTGGAAGCCGGGTCTGCACAATAGCGAAAATGACGTCTCCGAGCGTTACCCCTTTCGGGCTCTGCAATGTAAACTGAGAGTAGTATGATTTACATCTCAAAGGTTTAGCGCAGCAGCTGTAAGTTTTCACTTTAAGAATCAAGCGCTGGAGTGGAGGCTGGGTGACGAACATTTCGCGCCACGTTGCACCAAGTCTCCGGAAGCATTCTTTGTAACAGTGGTTTAGCAGCTGGTAGCTGACGTTCGGTTGATCTGGGTGTCTTTGACCGAGTTGGAAACCGATAATGGGACAGACGAGGAACTCTTCGAGCCATGGATGTAGCTTCACACGATCCCATGGATCGCCTCTCAAATCTGACAGATAGACTCTTGGAACCGACTGACCAGACTCCTGGGGCTCGGCTTCCCATCCACGCGGGAGATAAGGCTGATCGATGATTATCACTGGGTCTGACTGAAGTGAGGATGGTAGGATGGGCGCATTCCTGCTGCTTGACAGGAACATCAACGCCTGGGTTTCTGGGGTATCAGAGATGAACGCCAGTTCCTGTTCACGCATGAGAGGCGGAACAAGTCGCAGTATTCAAGACATGGATCGGTGACGATGCGGAGCACTATCTCGGCTGGAAGGTATGGTCTGTTAGGAAACAAGTTTTCAGGAAACAACTTTCTAAAACTGGACATGGCTGGATGTAGTTGCCAGTCTTGGTTGACAGAGGTGTTCAAGATATACCACCACGGATTGCCCTGCTGTTTATGAGCAAACTTGGACGGTACCATGGAATCGTACTCTTTCTAGTGGATTCCAGCTGGCCCTTCTGAGATCTTGTTAGACGTCACACGACAGCGTCAGGGTTGTTGTAATGCATGGCTTTAACGGCGTCTAGAGCCTGACGAACACGATGCTGCTGGCCCCTACTTTCGTTGTTTGGCCTCTCCATTGGTCTCCTTCGCAGTGGTCTTGCCCTCGGACTTCTCCTTCTGCTTCTTTTCCGCCGCCCTTCTCTTCGCGCTCTCTTTCTCAAGGATCTCGATGGTCTTCTCGCTGCTCTCCCATAGCTTCTTCTGTAGCTGTTCATCATCGATCTCCTTCCTTGTCCAGATGGATCTCCTACATTCCTTGAGGAAGTATGCTCCTTCTCCCCGACCCCATTGTGCCTCCATAGCCGCGTACAAGAAGGTTTGCGCACCTTGGTCGGGGCTCTTCAGTACGAGCCACCACAGCGGCCACGTAAAGAGGTATATCGCCAGCCCCCACAGCGAGCCAAAAGTGAGGTATCGTCGCATACCTGGTGTTCGTGTCCAGCCCGGATCGACCATGATAACACGTGCATTCATGGGCTTCTTGTCGGGTCGGACATAATTTGTGAGATGCTTCTGGAAGGCTACGGCGAAGGTCATGAGGGCGAGTTTGGAGGTTGCGTATACGGTGGACGGGGTAAAGTCAAGCTGTCCAGGATCGCTCTTTCCGGCTTTCTTCGAGTTTGCATCAGCACCTGGCAACTTTCCTCCCACGTATGCCGGACATGTACCGAAGATGATGCGGACGTCTCGGTCAGGAGGTTGAGCTCGAAGTGCGGGACTGAGTATGCTCAACAAGTGGAAGTTGGCCATGTAGTTGAGTCCCCAAGTCGACTCCAGCCCATCTTCCGTCTGCGTCGGTTTCCCTCCTGATGGTGTCATTGTGTTCGCGCAGAGGATGATTGTGTCTAAGCGTCGCGGCGGAGCATTGTCCACCCACTTAGTTGCAAACTGACGTATGCTGTGTAGATTCTCAAGGTCAACGTGCTCGGCGGTGATAAGCTCATTGCCGGTTTGGGTTCGGAGGTCTTCGATGTAGTCGACGAAGAAGGGGTCGACGAGTGGTTGTCGAACCAGGAGAACGATCTGTGCACCACGAGTTGCCAGCTCCCTGACCACTTCAGCGCCTATGCCGGATGTTCCTCCCTTTCTGATTGTCAGCACACTTGTCTCGTGCCTCTATCAAGCAAAAGCTTACCGTTACCATAACCACCTTGGAATGCATATTCCTCTCCGATCCGTTGACCGCGCCATTGAAGTACCATTTCAAGATATACAGGACTGCACAAACAGAAACGAACTTCAGGACGGTCCAGCCGTACGGAATGGAGTCCAGACCCTGGTCAAAGGCCGTAGCGAGAATGTTAACCGGCATTTTGGTTGTTGGTGAGACGGCGTGACGGGAAGCGGAAGATGTGCAGGAACGCGGGTCGATGGTGGCTCGCTAAGGGGAGGGATCCACGTGGCGTCATAGCATGTGATTGCGCGTCGAGGATTGCCGCCTCGCTTCACCACCCAGATTTCACTCTTCACCTCAGCTTCTTTGCATAGCGGCGTCGTTCCTTTCACCACTGGAAAACCTAACCTACGACGGCTTCTCCTTGCCAGACGCGTCACCATGACCGCTCCTGCTGCAACGCCAACAACTGCGGATGAGCTCCACGAGGACGAGCTTCAAGAAGAGGACCCCAATGTCTCAACAAAGCCTTTTGTCGAGCAACGCGCTTTTGGACGTGGCCTCTGGAAGAATCCAATCAAGTTTGTGTCTTCAGCCCCAGAAGTTCAACCAACGACGACATCCACAAACCGCAAGACTATGGCGGAGAAGTACCTCGCGATAATGTTCCCGAATGGCCAGCCACAGCCAGAACCCGACGCCTTCCCTCGATGCGGCATATGTGGTGAGCCTGTCAAAGAGACGGACCAGCGAATACACTACCTGAGCCCTGCACACCAAGCAGCACTACCACGAGCGCCCATACCCTCCGCAATTGATCGAACGAGAATGGGACTCAAGTATATGGAGAAGCACGGCTACGATGTCGATGCACGGCAAGGCTTGGGCACCAGTGGCCAGGGCATGCTCTTTCCGCTGGTACCCAAGGAGAAGCGAGACAAGCTAGGCTTGGGAATAGACAAGAAAGAGCACACCCAAAGAAAGGCATTGGGTGGCGCAAGCCGCGCAGACGTCAGGGAAGGCAGGCTTGACGCTGGCAAGGTGAGGAAATTGGCACAAGCCCAGAAGAAGAGAGACGACAAGCTGCAAAGGATGTTCTACGGCAACGACGAGGTTGAGAAGTATTTGGGACAGCTAGGCGGCTGACGACGATGACTGACGACTAACGATTAACATCTGGCATTTGCTCTTGACTTGTTCAGGAGGTCCAGAAGCGAGTTTGCGGCACTGCGCCCCGGCGCCATCTGTCGACGCTCTCCCTCCACGCTACAAGCGGGCGACTACCAGGCACGACATCTGTCAGAAGGCCCTGTTGAACATTTTTAACCACGTTGCGACTGCGCGCCATAGCCGAGATTTACATTTGCATAGCGCTGGCGTTGGCTTGGTTTACAATCTGAGATACCCATGGCTCGACAATCGAGCCCCTTACTTGAACACAACTTCTCTACTCTGTCAAAGTATGAGTACATCATATCTACCTCGACTAGCAAATGTGAGCGCCACGATTATGTCAGACTGACCAGGTCTGCTTCCGAATCTTGCAGGCTTGCCGCTGCCCCACCATGATCCGTCCGAGAAGTCCGAACCAGAATTTTCACCCCGCCATACTTCTCTCATCCAAGGCTAACAAGCTCAGCTAGATATGCTATAAGCAGTTCACGACCTGAAGCAATGCTCGTTGGCTCTCTCTTCATGAATTGTTCAAGTTGGCTTTCTTCCATCGAAAATAACCAAACATCGGTCGCTTAGCTCAGTTGGTTAGAGCGTGGTGCTAATAGGAACTCATTTCCGAGACGACGCCAAGGTCGCGAGTTCGACCCTCGTAGTGACCATTCTTTTTGCCAGGGCGGGCTCCTGTTGTCTAGGACGACTGGCCAGCGACGTAGCTTTTTGCTGCATGAAACGGGTACAGAAAGTGGACTTCTAAGCGGACTTGAATTCTGTACCCCTCTACAGGCTCACGCGCATTGTTCTAGTGGCCACTCAACCACTGGAAACACTGCGAACGACTACTTCTTCTTTGCTCCAATTTTCAGTCTTTTCATTGGTAGAATGCTAGGAGTTTTTGTTCCCGACCGGAGCAAACTCGACGTAGCGAGTACCCACATCTAAACAACGGACCAACGGACTGATACACCGTGGCCAGTACCCACCCGCAAACATTTTGCTTGACCGGGAACACCGCCAACTCAATTTGCCCCTAAATCTCTCAACGTCAAGTATTTTCTTTACACAAAATTAGTCATCAATCACCTCTCTTTCGAGCTCAACTTGAAAAGATTGAAAAAGTCTCCTTGGTGTAGTTGGTTATCACGTGGGTCTCATATCCTCATATATGACTGCTAGAATACAGCAGATATCCCAAGGCCGCCAGTTCGAGTCTGGCAGGGGACATTGTTTTTGCCTTCTGGTTGCAGGCGATGGGTGTGACACGCTGCTGGTGATGACGACGCTTTTTTAGACCGTCCTGCTTCAGCAGGAAGTTCGTACGGTGAGAGTGCTACGGCAGTGGACATCTTTGTTTTTGGCTTTCCAATCTCTCCTTCGTGAGCAAGAAAACTGGATGTTGAATGCAGTTAGGGGCCTCGTAACCAGCAACGACGGTAACATTCTACCTCCTACAGCAGCCGTACCGTCGTCTCTACTAGCAATACGTTCTCAGAGCACCCAGCTTCTTCCATGTGTCATTCAACGCATCAATGTTCTTGGAACAGAGCAGGTGATAGACCAGATGAGATTGATTGGGTTATCTATCGTACGTGAAGTAGATGCACTTAATATAGGTGAATGAACAAAGGAATGTGACGAACGACAAACTAACTATACATGAGATGGAAGCTGCATATGGAAACCAACAAAATTTGACACATTTGTCGGAGCTCGAGTACACCACATGTTGACCTTCATCGTCACTATCACGAGCGAGAGACCACATATCTGAGGCCGATGATTCCTGTGACACTGAGTGTACGAAACGTGTGGCAAGCGATTCATCCTAGCTCAATGTAGGTCTTTTTGGTGAGGCTGCAGAATTGAGTGATGCAAAGATGAGTGAAACGGTGAGCTAGGGCATTTGCGATACGACGTGGTCGTGCATAGGAGGTGTCTAATCACGATATTCGCTATAGAGCTATCTGTATCCAAACTTGATTACCTGACGACTGACTTCGTGAACATACCACAACCGATGCTAGTACATCGCTGGATCCAGCATTCATAGCAAGATGTCCACTTCACCGTTGAGTACCTGTCTGATCGTCTCATCCACAATTTCCACCGCATTGTATTTCGCGTAGTCCTCTTTCACGACATTAAGTCTCTCACTGTGGTTTGTTAGCTTTATAGCTTGTCGTGCGGCCTTGGAGCAAGAGGAAGAAAAGGAACGTACTGATATGTTGCATTACCCATCATCTTATCGAAAGACTCAATCAAGAGTTCAGCAGTCACCTGAGGTAAAGCATTGTATATGCCAAAGCCCTTGTAGTTGATGAGAGCTCCGGTATGCAATTTGTCCTGTCCAATTCCAGAGATAATCATAGGCACACCAGCACGGAGTGATTGTTGAACAGTGCCGTATCCACCATTCGTAACTAGCACAGTTACCTTGTTTGACGTTAGCAACAATGAATGCAAGCCCCACTTATACCACAGGTATACATACGTAAGGCAGAGCCAAGTCCAGAGGAATGAACTTTGCAACTCTAGTATTCTCTGGGATCTCGAAGTCAAGCGTTTCGACATCCGACGTAACCAACGTAGCAATGACGAATACATCATCCCTACCACCGAATGCTTCCAAAGCTGGTTTGATAAGCACACTCGTATCGAAGACCACACTGCTGGAAGACACAGCAACAATCTTCTTTCCAGCTGCCTTTGCCTCAAGCACATCGTTCCACCACTCCGGGAGCGTGTGGTCTGCGATTCCCACGGATACGGGTGCACCCATGAACTTAAGGTTCGGTCGCCAGTCACTGCGTTCATATTCGAAAGCCGGAACGCCGTATTGAAGAAATATATCTGACCCAGAAGCCGCCATCTCGTTGAAGCCTGGCAGATCTCTCGTCGCATTCATCTGCCGGAGCATGGCATTAGCAGCCTCATTGACAGGAGTATCGATAGGATGATCCCTGTTCTGCGCCTGCTGCGCTTCAAAATGGATCCTCTTACTCTCTGGACTTGTATCTGGGTGCTTTCCCGAACGAAAAGGGAACGTATCGTTACTAGCCGCCACGTATGGCGCCAGACCTATAGCAATCGCTGCGTCAGGACGAATGCCAGGTGCGCCGTAGGCGACAGGGTATGAGCCACCGAACGTGAAGTCGAAGATGTAAATCATCTTCTCTTTCTCGCCGTATTGGTCACGGAACTCTTGGAAGGTTCGTTGCAGCGTGCGGTAATGTCTAGGAATGGTCTTGATGAAGATAGCTGTCGTAGCGAAGACTTCGAGCTCGTTGCCTTGCAGGCTGACGAACGTTGCTAGGTCTTCTTCGGACAGGATGAAGTTTCCCTGACCTTCGATGGAGATATATGTTGCGCCCATTGCTTCAATCGTGTCTTTGAAGTCTGGTCCAGTGATGAAGTTTACGGGGTAGCCGAGTGAGATGAGACCTTCGGTGATCGTCGTGATCTTTTCCATGTGGCTGAAGGCGGGGGTTGCCGCCATGATGATGGGTGGTTTTCCAGTCGTTGGAGCTTGACGTGCAACACTTGCGGACGGTGTCTGCAACGCTTGAAGAGCATAGTTGTAAAAGTTTGAGAGGTTGCCGAGTTGGAAGTAGAACACTGCGAATAGCAGTGGCACAAGGCCTGCAACGTACAATGACCTTTGCGCCATGATCTTTTTACTGAGAGCTCGATAGCAACCGGCTCATGTGAAAAAGAAACGATTTGAGGAGGGGGAGGGTGTTCAAGATCATGTACACTTGTATGCCTCTTGCTGTCAGCTTACATCCACAGGTAGCACATCGCGCTGGTAATTAGGCCTCCAGGATATTGGCCGCACTATTTTACTCCATAGAGACCCGCCCAGACAATCTCTTCAAGAAAGCTACTGCATCCTAAAGTTCAGCCTTGCTGCCGGTGTGAGCGAAGACTTGTTGTCGCATCGCTCTGAGCCAATAAGTAATCCCCGCAACGGCGCGTCATCATCGGTGGGCGTACCAATGCTTCTTAGTTCTTACATCCCTTAACCAAGGAGTTGTACGGCCTTTTCCCTACCTAGGCATTGGGTGTCTCAGAACGAGTCGCGTTAGGCGCTGATAGAATTAGACTGAGATATATGGCGGCGCAACTTCTGAGCTGTAAGCAGATCTGTGCCTAGCCAGAGACGAACATTGATGAGAGTTTCTGGTTTAGCTTTCAACGACGCGCCTTCCTTCGCGATACGTCCGTGCACGATGAAGTCACTTCATTCATCGGGCAAGAGCGCTCCAATGACATCGTCAAATATCATGAAATTGTTTTCGATTGAACGGATTCATATATTCATGTAGAGAAATTAAAGCCACGCTATGCAAGCCCCAAAAGTGTCTTCACGACTGGAAAACGCTCCGTCTATAGACTCGCCCGCTCACCCCCAAGTTTCTTCCCTGTAACCCCCGAGAACCACGCATCCAATGCATCACACGTCCCCTTCCCTTCCTCCAGCTTAACGACAACACCGACATACCCGTCTGGTCTGACAACAACGACGCCTCCCCTCTCCTCGTCAAGCCCCATCTTAGCATGCGCCGCAGCCTTCGCATCCGGCACCCTCTGGTCCCAGACGTCGTCCGCATAAACATGGTCAGCATAGCGGTTGAATGGCTGAGGCAACTGCTCATCGATGTGAATACTTGAGCGGGGCTGCGAAAAGACAAGAGCCAGAGAAAGGAAATCGGTATGTGGGTTGTGTTTTTCGTGGTAGCGATCCTTCTCCTTGAGGTCGCGGTGGAGGAACGTGCTGAAGAAGGATGTTGGGGATGACATTTGTGTTGCCAGGTCTTTGAGTGCTGTTGCGCTCTTGTCCAAGGTACCGCCGAAGATGAACATGCGATAGGAGCCGTTCATGGGAATTTCTTGTTCAAGATGTACGACGTTGGCGTCTACGACACGTGTGACGGTTGCCGGTGTCATGATTCTGCCTGTTCGTTGGGTTGTGCCCTTTTCGTACGACAGGATGAGGGGGTGCTGTGCGGGGTGTTCTGGGCCCCAGTTTACCATGTTGGGTTTATATGCTACGCCATAACCACTGGTGAATTCGCAGCTGGCTTTGAATGTCTTGATGAACTCATTGTCTTCGGCGGCTTCTTTTGCTGATGCACCAGCGACTTCACCAGCTGAGGGTATCCGGGTGGAGAAGAGCTTTGCGTATCGGGCGTCAAAGTCGAGGAGAGTTTCAGCAATGAGTTTGCGTTCGGACTCATATGTCGACAGAAGGGATCGTGGTGCCCAGCCGCTCTCTACGTGGTGAATCTTCCATGCAAAGTTTACTGCATCTAAGAAGGCTGTGTTCATACCCTGGCCGGCCTTGGGGCTGTGGGTATGACAGGCATCACCACCCATGAAGACGCGCTCGTCGAGTGTGTAGCGCTCAGCAATACCTTGTCCAATCGGGTAGACCGAGTACCATTCCACGCGATCCCAGGAGATGGTGTATGGTTCGAAAATCTTTTTGGCACGCGCTTGAACGTCTTCTGCAGTAGCCTGCTTCCGTGGGTCCCAGTCTTTATCTGTAGAAGACGCGACTTGAATGTACAAGCGGACCATGTTGTTCTCGCGTGGGATGATCATAATGGAGCCGTTGTCTGAGTGGATTGTGCATTTCATCTGCACCGAGATCAGTATTCAGTAGAAAAACAGATTAGCGGATCAAACATACCTTGATGTCTGGGAAGTTTGTTCTGACAACTCCATCCATGACACCCCAAACATGCGCAATAGGATCTTTGTAGATCATCTTGACACCCAGCTGGTCCCTTACAAAACTCCTTGCTCCCTCACCACTGAACAAGTACTTTGCGCGTACAGTCTCCTCCATTGTGCCATCAACATGCGCCAGGTTGACCTCAACAGGGTATGTCGGATCCTTGCCATCATTCTTGAACCCCTTGATTGTCCAGGGTCTCTGGATACCACTGCCGTTCTTCTCAATATCCGAAATGAACGTCCGCTCAATCAAGCCCTGGTGGAGAAGCGTAGTAAAAGGGTACCGTGCATCGATGAACTTGGGACAACTAGCCCAAGTACCTGTCCTGTGAATGCCCTTCTGCGCCGGGTCCCAAAAAGCCACCTCATAAACCTTTGCAGGTTCGTACTCCATAATCTTGCGCTTGAGGCCCATATTCCGGAGTAGATCCAAGGAACGCGGCTGGATTCCGTCCGCCCGTCCAGTGGCGGTCGGTTCCGGTCGATTGTCGATATGCTTGATCTTGTAACCCCATCTCGCCAGACACGTTGAAAGACAGAGACCAACAGGTCCTGCGCCAACGATAACGACGTCGTAGTTTTCCACCGCCATTGCTATTACTTCAATCCAGTGGGATTCTCAAGCGGGATATAGTTGAGACGTGAGCGAATCCGGGAATACGGAAAGGGCCCCACACTCGATGATCGATGTCAAGGAATACCTTCGCTCTTAGCTACACCGAGATGTTGGTATACCTCTGTTGTATAGGAAAGCAAGGCTAGGAGTGTGTTTAAAAGATATGAAGTATATTAACCAAACCACTAAAAACAACGACCCCAGCCGACTCTTTAAGAGACGATCAATTGACGACGCCATCAGTCACGGACCAAGGCTAGTGTCGGCCACCATACGGCCGCGTGTAGTCATGGCAAGACAACTCGGGAGTGTAGTGCGCGCCGGCAACGAAATCGGATGCGAGAGAAGCCCAGGGCCTGGGGACTGGTACATGCTTCTAGCGTGGCCGAACAAGCATGCCGTCATGTTGCGGGGAGTGTGACCAAGCGTAGGCGGAACTGCAGCGCGGCATTTTGGTGCCAAGACGGCAAGTGCGCCTTTCCTTGTCCGGGTCAAGCGTGGCTACATGGGGGTTAGTGGCAATCAATGGACGCGCGCCAAACTCGGAGCAGCCATCCTTGGAGTGATCCTGCGATGATTGCGTGCATCGTGAAAGACTCCACTTTCCGAGTACATTTACCGCATCTTCTCCCGTAGAGATCTTGGTCGTCAGCAGAATTCTTGCTTCTTTCTGGCTTTCGTACGAGGTGTTGTGAACTGCCAATGAGCATGGCGGTAGTAGGTCCGAATGGAGATCTGAATTAAAGATAAGACAGCATGTGTAAGAAGAGTACGCTTGTGATTACCGAAGATGCTTTCCGGGTAGTCTTTGTCCTCGATGTAGGCACAAGACGTCTTAGCTCCTTCTGAAATTATGTTACTATTGATGGAACATGATGCAAGACTGGATACTGAAATACACCGCGAAACGACAAAATTTTTCCGTGGAATATCGAGAATGCGCCGTCAGGTTATCAAAATACACCGTAAGGTTGGGCGTGGTCAGCATCAACATGCAATGCAAGTCTTGATTTTGCTGTCTTTAGATTCACTCTGCACCGAGACACCACCAAGTGGATGAGGTTGTCCAGATATGAACAGATCTGTTCGAATTTACCATCATTCCAAGTCAAGATCAATCGAATGCATTCCTTGAAGTCACTACCACAGCGCAAGTCGCTTACGACTTGCCCAGGCAAACTTAGCCGTGTATTTGTACAGCCATGTATGTATATATATGTAATAATACCAGAACCCAGACGCCAGCGCCAGACACACAAAGCCGACTAAGCTCTGCATGTGTTCCAAGCCATGCCGCATAAACGCTGAAGCCCAGACACGGCCAAACATGTTCATGATGCGACGATCGCTCGAATCAATCTTTTGCCTCCACATGCTTCAATCGAAGCCGGGTTCCGGCAATGCCCCGCAAGCTGTTGCAGCATTGCGTGGCAGCCAGCGAGCTCTTCCCGCCTTATCGCTCTCGCTCTCTCTCCAATAGTCTTCGATCTGAGATAGACGTGCATCCCTCAAGATACAACCATTTTCTCAAGTTGAGCAGCCATCCTCTCCTCTTCCTTCTTTGCTCTCGCCGCCTCAGTCTCCTTCCTCATAGTCTCCAAATTCCACGCGTCCCCATCGTCCTCCTCATCACTATCCGCATCGCTGTCTTGTGCCCAGTCACCCTTTTCGAACATAGCACGACCAGTGGCATCCTTGAGTTTCTTGGCCTCTTCCTCGGCTTGTTTCTTGTCGACACGTTCCTTCTTCCATTTGGCGAAGGTTTCGGGCGTGACCGGTGTGAGCTTGCCGGTGAGCTTGTGGCGTTCGGACTCGAGGAAGTCTTCGAGGGTGAGGGTGTTGAGTGGGGAGTTGGCCATCAAGGCCTTTTCGGCGGCGCGCTGTTCCTTAGTCTTGATGACGAAACTAGAAAGGTGTTAGTAGAGATGTGCACATGCTGTGTGGCGAAAGAAGCAAAAACACGTACCCAGGTGGTAGAGAGTGCTTGTACATGCACTTGTCGCCTAGAATCCAAGTCAGCGTATATTGCCAATGCATTTTGTTGTTCAAGCTTTACCTCCGTTGGGACACACCCAAAACCAACCATACTTCTGATCCTCGATAGCTTGGATGAAGTACTTGCACACCTTATCCGTCGTCGTCTTCGGGTTGCCGTGCTTGCTTAGAACGACCTGTCGCAGCTTGTCTTCATCCCAATCATCCATGTTATCCTTCTTCCGCCGCTCCTCCTCGGCCTCCTTGTCTTCATCTCTGGTGTCGGTGTACAAACTCCTCTTCTCAGTCTTGCGCTCGATATTCAGATCATGGCTAAACTTGCACTTCTTGCCCTTTTCGCAGTTTCCTTTCTTGAAAAACTGACACAAGACAGTCTTGGGGTCGGTTCCGAAAGGCACCTTTTGGATTTGTACGGGCTTGAAGAGTTCGGCGGTTTCCTTGCGGGCTGCCTCTGCCGCCGCCTTGTCCTTCTCACGCTGCGCCTTCTCTGCCGCCTTGCGCTTCTCGTCAGGCGTGCCTCCCGATGCAGTGGTCGCTTTGAGCTGGGCAATCTGTTTCTGGGCGGCTCCTCCCTTCTTGTTTTTCATACCGAAGGTCTTGTCTACGGCGACCTTCTTCACCTTGGGCTGCTCGCCCTTGCCTTTGGGTGGCATCTTGGCTTAGTGTATATGGGCGGTGTTGAAATGACAGTTGGGGGGTGCGTTTTGGGTGTTCAAACAATCCGGGCGCCCTGGATGCTCGAATTTGGGTGCCTGGCGGGGGATATGGTACCTGCGCTGTGTGTGTCAAAGTGAGAATGACGCTGTGTGGGGTGGAATTTCGAGTGGCGGAGCATGTTGCGCTAGAGCCAGCCCTACCTTCGCCGACATTCCCGAAGCTTCAAGGTGGCCTTCACATGCACCCCAATAGTTAATCACTGCGCATCCAATACCGTCGCGACACTCCCGTCTTTTGACTTTCTCTGTCGCATCTAGCTTCCGTAAGTTCTTGGCAATTTCGTCTCGTCAATTGGTTTTACTAATAACTCCGCAGCGCACTCGAAGCATCACACCCTATTGCCTAGCTACAATTGACGCGCCGTCATTCCCAAGATGATTACCGACAGCCAACTTTACTCGCTCGCCATCTTCCTCGGAAGCGCTGCTATGCTGCTCATCGTTCTATACCATTTCCTCGAGGTCAACTCAGACGATCACAAGGTTGAGGAGAAGCCTAAGGCTGCGGCTGGCAAGGTCAAGGCGTAAGAGTTGTGCTATGTATACGTCTTACTGGAGGACACTTGGGCAGGAATGTTGTTGCATGGGAACGGGCTGTGTGAGGGACCAAGGATATCAATTGCGAATCAGGGAGATGCCCGTCAAATGGGAGCATGGAGTTCTGGCGTACGCAATATGGCGAACTAACCGCTGACGGATTTCAAAATGTTTGAATTAACTAAATTATGGCATATCTGAGCATGGAGAAACATTTCCGACCACCCTTTTGCGCCTTGTTCTTACCATGGGTATACGCGTACTTGTACAGAATTACCAAATGCGCAAGCGAGATGAGCCTCACATCGAGTTTTTAGCCCTCAGTCCTCAACATCTACCAGCTCCTCCTCCATTTCATCGGTTTCAATAAAGCCTCGTCGACGCTTATCATTCGCAAGTGTTACACCTCCACGATCCATCCCGGGTCCACCAATACGCCTCTTGAGAGACACGAGTCTACCATATGCATCGTGGGCTTCTTGCTCCACTGTACGCTTGGGTGGACGCCCGCGACCGCGACCGCTAGCTATAGGTGCCTGTGGCATCATGCTCAGTGCTTCTATGCGTGCGGGGTCGACAGTGATGCGTGGGGTGACCTGCCGTCCTTGTGCATCGCTGAGATATGCCTCAGAATCGTGCGAGTCTGCAATTAAGAGTGTTAGAGTAGATCTTCTCTTCAGTAGCAACCATTTCACTCCGCTAACTATCTTCCTTACCAGAGAGACCAGCGGCCGGTCCATCACCAAGCTGCCACGACAGCGGACTAATGTGGGCTTGCTGTATATGATCACGCCAGTTGCTCTCTAGGTCGAAGGAATAGGGCTGATGGCGTTCGATGCTCATATTGGTCAAAGGATCGTGGTTGGTGACCTCTTTTCCGCAATCGTCCCACAAGCATTCCAAAGTATTGTTAACTGTCTCCTTGCGATGTACCTTGTAGATATGCTTCTGAAGCGTCTCTAGATTGTGTAGATCAGCTTGGCAGTGTTGCCACTTGCATTTATACGATTGGTATCGCGGAAGACCGTTCGCAACACTTGGTGATCTTGAACCAATCTGAATTGGTTCGTTGCGCAGAGCGCTTGGCTGCGTTGTTTGCTTCTTGCGAGGACCGGTATGACCATTCGTTGACGGTTGAGCTTGTGCAGCAGGAGAGCCATGAATGGCTTTCCGCCATCCAACTGGACGGCCCTTCTTTTTTGGCAGTGGTTTGCCATCAGGTCCATACTCTGTGGCTGACCGGAAAGCTTGATATCCAACGCCAGCGGCACCAGAGGTGGAACGAGGCACACTTGAACTCAAAGAATTAGGACTGCTTGGGCGTTTGGGTGTTGCTGGTGCGCCATTAGGGAAAGAGTGTCGTGGAGGACGACCGCGGTGCTTCTGCTTAAACGGATTGATAGCTTCAGGTAAAGCTTGGGCCTTGTGGGCCCCACCTTCGCCGCCAATTGCGTTAGGCGGAGCGCGGGTGCGCGACTCGTTCTCGTCGTCTGAAGCATCCTCTTCATCGTCTGCATCCTCGGTCAAGGCTTGAACACCATCTTTGAAATATCCTGGCGGAGGTCTTCCTGGGTCGATGACGTCCCATTTGATCGTACTGAGATCTGAATCGAACCCTATTTGTGGTAACGTAGTCCTCAAACCATCTAGATGTTGATTCAAGCTGCGCTCTAACGGATGCCTTCCACAAGCGAGAAGCACATCTCGTGCTATTGTGGCAGGGTTGTAAGTGTTGCGACGAAGCGCTTTCTTTCTGTCTAATGGCTCAACAAGAGTCACATAACGAAGTTGTTCGGTAGAAGTTTGCATCGGCTGGGGCGCAGGTGATTGAGGCTGATAGGAAGGAGTATTTGCGATGGGAAAGTTTGGTGTACGAGGCACCTCGTCGACGGCCATAGTGTCTTGGAGACGAGGGTATGGAGATGCGTATGCATCTGAGTTTATCCTCTTTTGCGGCGGCCCCATGTCCTCGTCTTCTGATAACTGAGTCAGGTCGACCAGATCACTTAGATTACGCTTTCGTGCTGCTTCTTCTTTGTTTGCTGGCTTCCTTAGCTCGGATCTGATTGGCACCATCTCCGCGACAGGTGCAGGCGCAGGCGCAGGCGACGCGCTCCCTGGAAAAGACGGGTGAAAGCTTCCATTCGCTGGTGAGGGAGCTGCGGGTGCGTGTTGTGGGCTTGGCGCGACAGAAGTCGCAACGTCCTTCTTCATGACGGCAGGTGGGACCGGTGGTCTCTGGACAGGAACTGGTGCAGGCTGTACAGATTTGCGGGATGCTGAATTCACATCTGGTACCGCTGCAAGTAAGCTCTTCGCGAATACAGCGCGGTCTAGCTTCAAACCCATATTCTCTAGTTGTTCGCATAGTTCGATGTAAGAAGGGTTGCCGTTCAATAGACTCAATATCTGGCCAGGTTCGACTTGGTGGGCGACATTCAGAGTGTTGAGATATGCCGCTGCTGCGCTCGCCAGATGAGCCTTCTTCTCGGGCGGCCAGACCGTGTTGCCAATTGGCCGAGTGATATTGCTGTTTGGCTGTACTTGTTTGACAGGGACAGCTTGAGCTGTTGCAGGAGTCGCTGGCTTTGAGATATTCGCATTCACCTTTTGCTTGGGTGTCGCCTTTTCATTCGAGTTCGTGACTTGTGGAGCGGAGGCTTCAGAAACTTGTACCGGTTGCAGAGTGGCAGATTGAGGTGCGGGCCTATCGTCCACGGTGGGAGATCTTGGCGCTCTCGCCCTACGTTCTTCTTCCCAGATTCTGGCTAGAAGTGCTGGGTCTTTACTATTCAGCTCTCTCATCTTAGCCATCATTGCTCGAATCTCACTCTCCAGTGCTTCAGCCGGGCCACCAAAGTCGCTAGACGTCGCAGGTGCCGCTTCCGGAGCACCCGCTTGCTGCTCTTGGGCTTTCTTTCCTTTCGACTGTGGCTGTGACTGGCGTGATCTGGCCTCCTCTTTCTTCTGCTCCTCAACTTGACGCGCCTCCTCCGCAATCTTCTCTTCTTCTGCGCGTGCTGCATCTTCAATCGCCTTTTGTGCGGCCTGCTTCCGCTGGTATTCTGGCCATGGGTCGTAGACTGCCATTGGGTCCACTGTGGTAGTGCCCTGGACACTGTGAGTGTCTGCCATGCTAGCAGACAGTGCAGGCGCAGGAGGCGCAATCGCGGAAGGCATTTGCGCTTTGCCGTAGTTGTAAGCCGTCGACGGTGTGGCGTTCTGAGAGTTACGCGAGGTTACCACACCGGCAGGTTGTCGAGCGCTGTAGTCGCCATACTGTTGGCTCGTTGTAGCAGCCATACCCGCGCTTCGCGTATTACTAACAGGCGCGGTGTTGTACTGAGGTTGGGATGGGCTGGCAGTTCGCTGTTGTTGCGAATTATATATCGTTTGGGTTCGCTGCGATGGGTAGCCCGCCACATTGGCCGGTGGTAAACCCCGAGTTGCTGGCTGCGCGCGGTTGTTGTTGACACTGTGTGGTCGCGCTTGCGATTGCTCGTAGACGACATGGGGTTGTTGCGCATGCGCTAGGGGCGAGTGCGAGCTGCCGGCGGCATAGCGGCTGGTGTGCGAGGAGGCGGTGTTGATCGCAGTGGTTCCGGATTGCGCGTTCGTAGGCGCAGCGTTGTTCGTATACGACGTCGAGTTACTCATACTACGCAGGACTTCGGCGGCGCCTCTAGTTGTCTCTCGTGTCCCACCATAGTTGCCATTAACCCATGGCTTATCTTGTGCCGTGCCGTATCCACTATTGTGATTCGCATACGATTGAGGCTGATAGGACATATAGTCCTGTGCCTGAGTCGTCGGTGGCTGTTTGTACTGGTGGGCGGGTTGCGCGATATTGTTCGCGGCAGATGCTGTATGATATGCTGCGTATTGTTGCGCCGAACTTTGTTGATACGGGTGGCTGTACGGGTTGTAGTTGTTCGAGGACATGTTGGCGTCTGCCTAAAAGCCTGGAGGCATTTCTGCAGCCTTTGTACGGGTGGGGTTGGACAAGTGCATGGAGACTGTGGTTCGCGTGAAGGAGCAGGAGATGTCTTGGGCGCGGGGTCTTGGTTGGGTATGGATGGTGATGGTTCAACACTCTGAAATCATATAACTGGACGACTGCGCGCAACATATGCGCCGTCGTTCGAGAAATCAGTTTTAGCGACGCGTCCTGCATGACGTCTCGGCGAATGCGGTCCACGATGCGGACGCGACTTCCTGGCCGGACCTTTCGGAATCGGCAAAACACTTCTCCCGACCACGCTAGCGAAGCGAACCAGCCCTAGCGAAGGCACATCTCACGACTCCAATTTTTGCGATCGCGACACGAACTTTGTCTACTAACCCGACAACCCGCCAATTCCACAGCAAAAATGACCAAGGTCCAGTCAATGGTCGCGAGCTCTCGCCGCAAATCGCGAAAGGCACACTTCAGTGCGCCGAGTAGTGTGCGTCGGGTCATCATGAGCGTATGAAGAGACTTGGAACATTGCAGGAGACATGTTCTAACAACCTTCAGGCGCCTTTGAGTAAGGAGCTCCGCGAGAAGCACGGAGTGCGCAGCATTCCCATCCGCAAGGACGTGAGTATTCAGATCTTCTCCCCAGTGCTATCGTGTGCTGACTTTTGCCAGGACGAGATCACCGTTGTCCGCGGCTCCAACAAGGGACGTGAGGGCAAGGTCTCCTCCGTCTACCGCCTCAAGTACTGCCTCCACGTCAACGGCAGTGCGTACCCCTCTATCCTCACATATCGACAGGTATACTAAGTCACAACACAGTCGTCCGCGAGAAGAGCAACGGCCAGTCCGTTCCCATCCCCATCGCTCCCTCCAAGGTCGTCATCACCAAGCTCAAGCTCGACAAGGACCGTGAGCAAATCCTGGAGCGCAAGAGCGCCGGCCGCGAGGAGAAGAAGAAGCAGAGGGAGGCATAAGCGTATCAACGCTTTCCTTGGTTGACGACACACACCACGACGATGAGGGACATCGACACGAGCATCCCCGTCCGTAGTGGATGAAATGCATATCATGGGTTCACGGTCTGGGCATGCGATACGCGCATGGAAAAGCAGGGCGTTATACCGGCTTCTAGCTCGAACAATGGACTTGCCGTCATGCGGCCCCGTCGATGTTTTCTGTTCGAAATGATACCACGATGGGTTGGAGTTTGGCAACGAATGAGATTTGTTACTCCAGCCGTCGCCGTGATACCATGCACGTGAGGTCCTTTTTGCCCACGCTAGAATATCTACTCACCAACCCCATTAATGGTTGAAGTGAGCTATACGACTAGCGGAGAATAATGCCAGACGACAATAGTCGTTGCTCGCCTGCAGACCGTCTTCGAGATTCTTCGATGAAGGAGATGGTTTGATGGTGAGACACATTCCCATACTTACACAACCAGTTTGTCTATATGATGTAGTACAGCTGTCACATCGAATGACTAGCCTTGAACCAGGCTTTACCTATGTTTGACGAACTGTAGCGTACCGCACAATTGCGATGCATTCATGATAGTTTTTTCGTGTGACCATGCCCATGGGTTCACGATTCCTTGAGATCCCGACTCCCGGGTTGTCGGAACCGTCTAGACGTTCAATCACGACTACGGAGCCGTAGTCACAAGAGCGTAGTATAAGCCCTCAACCTATCTCTTGAAGAGAATTCGGTTCAGTGAGCTGTTATGTAGCAATACAATCTATCTGTATCCAGTCTTCGTTAGCCTCTTCTTTTCTTACTTTTCCTACGAGCTCAATCGTACCTTGACCCATTCTGGACTCTCCACTGGTTCCTTCGTGCCATCAACCTACATCTCTAGTGTATCCGACAGACCCGTGGTGGCGTGGCTTACACTTGCTATTGTTTCGGCTACTGCATATCGCCACTGCTGTCGTGTACCTACTTCGCGTTGGAGCGAAGGACGACCAAGTGGAGGGGAAGGATCGACGTCTGCGGGACTAATCGATAAGACTTTGCGACGGTGTCGAGTCCGTGTTTGATGTTACCGGCTACTGCGAGGTGTGGGGACGAATCGGAGGGTGGAGAGAGGAAGACAGATATCGTGCTAGCAAATGGTGGCTGGGGGCTGGATTGAAGTAGCGGATACGTGGCAGGTGGATTAGAAAAGGCATGCAAGTTGAAGACGAAGGATGGATACTACAATCGCTGGGAGAGCCAGCTCCGTGTGGTTGGGTAGGTCGTTACACGTTTCCCGGCATGGAATACGTATTCAAAATGCTAAAAATGTTGGTTCAAAATAAGAATAGTCGTCACAGTTCAAACTGTTTGCAGCGATTGGAAAATGTGTGATGGTTGTGTTTACGATGTGCTATGTTTGGACACGAAGACTAGTTGCAGAATGTGGGTAATATTGGTGTTGGACAACGATGCTATTTGAAGTACAATATGCTCATGTTTTATCTGATACGATATGTCTCATCGCAAACACGAATACAAACAGCATGGGAAACGAGTTTATCTCTGATTAAAGTTCTGGTAATAACTGTATCTATATTGTTCTCGATCGATACCAAAGAATTAGTCATTCTTTTGGAATGCACACTATATCCAAAGTGTAATCTGAAGGTGCACGTTATACAATTTTCTGAAGTACCTGGAGAAGCAATATAGCCAATACACTTACGGTGTGATATGGCTGCACGAGATACAGCACAGAAGAAAAGAGTTTACTCGTAACCGACACAATACAAGAAGAAACCATGAGTGTTCGATAGCCATCTTCCACCCAAGCGAAAGAAGCACCCAGGAATTGAGGTCTGTAATTATAGATCGAGAATATGCATGTCAGGTCAGCACTGGAGGTGGCGCAGTACACAAATCCTACGTTTCCTGCTAATCTGACATATCGTTGATCTTAGTACTCATGCAGGTAAATGGTGCAGATATTTAAGATGCAAATGCAAGTACAGCATAGGCGCGGTGTCCCCGAAGAGGCCCATGTCAAGGCAACGTTGATGGTGTGTAAGTGCCGAGGGGTGCAAAGCGTAACTCGGCACTTTGATCGTGCGCAGAATTGATTCGTTCCGTATAGAGAGGAAATCATAACCATTTATATGATGAGACCCCTTCGCGATCGAGATAAGTTGACTGACCAGCCTACATGCGACAATGTGTAATGAGGTCTGTCCTAAGATTGCGAGTACCCGCGATAACAGTTCCTCGTCTCGTGGCACCAGTTCGTTTGAGAAAGCAAGTTCCTTCAAACAAAACGTAGCCGAGCATAGATCGAACGCTGCGGTCCGCTACTTTGCTTGTTCCCACGAGGGTCCTAACGTCTCGATGCTTTTTTGCATGGCCCGACGTGACGGATGTGACAGCTGCAAGTGCCGTTCGCTTGCCGTTCAGTCCAATCTCCGATACATGGGAATCTGCGCACGCATGACAACCGATAGAGAGCTTCATGCCCGGACACGTGTGTTTCCTCAGACATAAAGACGCATGACGAAACATGCCGGCTCAGTTGAGTGACAACGAACTAATTAGCAGGCGTACCGCTGCGAAACAGAATATCGCGTGTTGGCAGCGGATATAGTGTTTCGCATAGCGAACATGTGGGTAGGGACAAGCCGTGTTGCTCAAACACTCGGAATCTTGTCTACGCCGTAGACTTTCCCTTGAAGCCCAAGGCACCAGAATAAACACATGGAAGAGTTTAGACAGGACGCCTGGGGGCTGAGTAACGTGGCAAAGCAAGTTCTAAGATCTGACTAGAAACTTGACACTGTGTGGGACCGGGATTGCCTGGTGTGTTGTTAGCTGCCAGAGAGTTATTTTGCCGTCAGTTCACGAGTTGGAAGGAATGTCGTTTGCAGCTTGCATGAAATTGATGACGGCCAACCGCATTCTATGCCTTCCTAGTACGTAGCCGGATATTGCTGTCTCAACTCAGTGCTGTTGGCGGGGTAGGCAGCCGAATGGTTAATAAGGATGTGCGCAGCGCCACCAACATGGTCACGGTGAAGGTTGGCTGCTGCATAGAGGGCGATTTTAGTAACATTTAGAAGATTTCGTGATGGCTGGTGATTTCATAGACAATAATAGATGGTTGGTGTTGCAGCCATCGTATTACGCTTACGACGTAAAGCGCGTGGTTAGCAGCTGGCGTGTTCCTAGCTGAGTCAGGTCATGCACGTCCATGAGAAGGGCCGTGGATTCTGTTTCAGGTGTCCGCTAGAGGGTCTATCGTATGCCTCCACCCATCACGAAGCCGCCCACCTGAGCGCGCGCCTCTCATACTTTTTATTGCCATGATGCCATCACACTCAATCTGTTCGAATCGTCGCCACCGAGATGTGATGAGAGGTGTGACGATAGTGGGCGATAGCAGCAAACGGCGACTCGTTGTGCGCAAACCCCACAGGAAGCTAGGAGCGAGCACAAGGTGCACAGCATGCCCAGCGCCGCCAAACTGTTCGCCATAGCTTCCGGGGACATTGTCCGAACGCGCACTATCGATAGGTACTACTATGCGTGCATGCATATACGGCTGCACACGTTTTTAGGCACATGTACGAGTGCCAGCAATGCGGTCGAGTCTACGGAGCCTTTTTTTGTAAGTCGCTCTACTCTCCGGAGCAGATGGTCCCATGGCGGAATGGCGCGCGACAGGCGAGCAAAAAGAGGCAAGGAGAGAGGCGGTATGTCTTGATTCGTGAAGTGGTCGTAGGAGCGGAAATGATCAGAACCCTTGTATGGAAGTTTCATGCGCGAAGAACGTGGGATGCACAACGAGCGACAAGATCGGCACAGCAGCGACTATTGAGGCTGGCTTGATGCCATGATTTGGTTGACTTGACTGCTGCAGAGCGGCGGTCAATAGCGTCGGGTACTGCTGGCCGTTGACCCCGCAACTCTCAACATCCTCACGGTGCAGACTCTGCTGGTGCTGCAATGGCAAAGAAAGCCAGGGACATGTTCCGACACTGGGGCTGTTTCCTCGCTGCAAGCATGTGTCTTGGCTAAAATGAACGCTAAATATTCTTGGTTAAGACCAGGGGCACTGGCGAATAACGACGACAGCTGCGCAACGTCATTGGTTTGTCTCACCATTTACCCCTGACAGTCTTCGTGTGCATGGTCACACCCTCGCTCGTGCCGTCGCCGCTTAGGCCATTTGGGAGATGCCCAAGCCCGCCCGAGTGCTGCCCTTGCACGACCGTGAGCGTGAACGGACCCTCGCAGCGGCCGGTTGGACGTCTCCCTCTCGCTCAGGCTGACCTGTCTCTCCCCAGCTTCAGCCTCCGTGCCTGAACAGCCTCACCTAGACGGCTTTCCATCTCGACTCCCGCACACCGCTGAGCTGTGCTGCCTCTCATTTCGCCCTACCCTTCGTACACCTCTACGCCTCTTTGAGAGAGGGTTGCCCCGTCGCTCCCTGTGCACCCGTCGAATCGTTCCATCCTCCATCGCCATATCGAACACACTGTCGCGCTCGGTCCCGGCATCTGTTTTGGCTTCGAGTACGTTCGACGCGACCATTACTTGCTGGACCACACTAACACTGGGTTGCGCTACAGTCCATCTTGCGCTTCTCGTTGCAACTAATAATCCTTGGACTTCACACCTAGTCATGCCAAGTCAAGTGGAATCATAATCAGTCTATTGCTTTACGTCTCGAGTCGAGAATAAACTCACATCACGTTCGCTATATCACCGGATCGTCATACGACCAACACAATCATGTCGCTGCCAAAGCCTATTTACCCGCTCAGTGAGCACTGCTCAATCATCTACGATAAGACGCTTTACGTATACTCGCCATCTGGGTTTCAGTCGCTGAAGCTTGAAGAGGGGGCAGAATGGAAGGCGTTGCCTATGGACATATCGCTCACCGGAGCGCAATGCGTCAAAGCAGCACCCAAGGGAGATGCCCAGGCGGCTAAGCTGTTCATTGTTGGAGGCCGCGTCAACGAGACGGCTTCAACGTGGAATTACCCTGGACTGATGCACTACACATTCTCCACAAAGAAGTGGGATTGGCAACGGTCAGAAAGCTGGAACACGCAAAATCGCGTAAACCATGGAGCCGTTTACCTCGAAGAATCCAAGGAAATCCTCGTGTATTCAGGCTCGCAAACAGACGGAGACAACGGCCCATCGTCCGAGTCGTTTGTCTTCTCTACTGTCGAACCTTACTCCGTCTCAAGTTCGCCGTCGGGTGGCGCGCCTCCTTCTGTGAACCCCATGCTTATGAACTCGGATGCGAGCACTGCACTACTAGTCGGTGGCGGCGCGACCAACACGGCGGTATGGAAGTTCAGCAAGGCGTCGGGATGGCAAGACCTCGGCGTCACTCTGACAGAACCCATCGCCAATCAAGACGCCGTTAAGTGCTCAGTAGTCACCAGCCAAAACGACAAGAGGGTCGCTCTGCAGAAGTTTGACATGAGTGCAGTTCCAAACGCCGTGGAGCGAATTCTATTAATTAACAAGGATGGGTCACCCGCAGCCCCGGGAACCCTCGCTGGAGGGGATAAGAAGGGGGGCAAGGTGAAGCGAGTCACCTTGGACGACTGGTCGTCGTATAACGAGACATACGCACCGAAAACATCACGAACTGGCTACTCTTTAGCACAAGGGGATGATGGCACTACCGTCGCCAGTGGAGGTAACGCTGATGAACCCATCGCCATCTTCGAAGCACAGGAGAACTCATGGATGAATGCGACAGCATTGTTTGCTGGACAAGATGTCCTAGTAAACTCTGTATCGTCCTCCAGTACGTCATCGACGCCAACCCCAACAGCATCCATATCAGCCACTCCAAGTGCTAGTACGACCGAGGAAGCTGCCGCACCTGCAGGTCCTCCTAGCAATAAGGGAAAGATGCTGACCGTGCTTGGTGCCACGCTTGGCACGATCTTTGGTATTGCGTTTATCCTAATCCTGATTCTGTTCTGTCTCAAGTACAGGAAGAACAAGAGCAAGCAGAATCCAGGTTACGTCGAGAAGAATGACCGGATGAGCTTTGCCGACCGTGGTGCCGCTTTCATGAAGGAGGCTGGCGGATCTGTCGTCACTTACCAACCCAAACACAACAACGACTCACTAACATCGCTTGCCATTATCCAAGGACGAGGTAGTGGTCACAAGAAGAACGTCGCGAGTGACGCCAGCACAGCAGGACTAGTCAAGAAGAGCAGCCCACTAGGCTACTCTGATGGCTACAATGAGCCCTACGAGCTTGCCAAGTTCGACTTGAAGCCGGAGCCTGTTGAGCCCATGGTTCGCCAGAACTCCAGTCGGAACGCTAAACCTGCACCAAGAGCTCGCAGCTCAGGCTGGAGTAGGTACTTCGCGAATAACGAAGCTACGAACCTTGCTAGTGCACCACCTGCTGACCGATCGACCTTCGCGTCGGACCGAACAAGCACCGGTAGTCAGTCACAGTACACAAACTCACGCATGTACAGCTCACGACCATCACAACACATTGCTCCGCTGGAGATCCCCAAGTTCAATGATGGCCAGCGTCTGAGCCGAGTGGCGAGCGGAAGTCCGACGCTTGGAACCCCCAACAGCAGTCTGCCCGGCCTACCACATCAAGTTCAACCTATGCAAGCTGAGCTCGCCCGTGCGAACTCCAACGCTAGCTCAGTATCCGCTCTCAGTCACGACGATCGTCATTACCTGCGCGATCCAGTAGAGAGCTGGACCCCAATGGGTGATGACCGACGCACCAGCAGTCAGTACACTGGTAGCATGGTCATTGATCCTAACAACAAGTTCCATGGCACCAGCTCATATTATCCCGATGGCACAGAGTCGTTCTATCCTAAGAGCAACTTCAGCTCCTTCTACCCCGGACAAGGCGACAACTCACCAACTGTTCCTGACATGCGAGACAGCACGTTCACCATGTTCCCGTCTGGCAACGCGCCTCCAGCGCCGAAAGACGAGATGCCCAAGAGCAAGTTCAGCTCGATGTATCCTGCGCCGCCACGTCTCGGTCTTCCACAAGATCGTGAGAGCACCGCAACGGTGTTCCCAGGTGGCCCAGGTGGCGCACAAGGAGGACAGGTTGAGCAGGCATTGCCGAGCCCGAAATTCAACTCTTTCTACCCGCCACCAAGAGTTGGACATGAAAGCTCAGCAACCTTGTTCCCGGGTCCTGGACCCAACCAGCAACCGAACGCGAAGGAGCAATCGGACATGTCATGGCTGAACCTCGGTCAAAGCCGTTAAGTCCTTTACTTCAATGTAGCCTGTCATCACGCCTATAATGAGCCCATGCTCCAAGCAATCTTTATCCACCGTCCTCATCTCCCAATACACATCATCCACCCTCTCGAAAAGTAGCATCATTCCAGCGAACGCATACCTCTGTACAGCAGATCTTTCTTTCTCGAGCATAGCATTCATCAGCGCCGGGCGTCTTTTCCCAAATCCCTTGTTACCAAACACGAAGCGTTGTCGAGCTTCGCATTCAGTCGCTACAGATACCCGACGCCAGCCTCACCACAGCGCGTCAACCATCCCCCAACTACCAACCCCACCGGTCACCAACCTCTCTCCTCTCGAAACGGAAGAGTCTCAGTTGTAAATAGAACACTCTTACCCCACAAACTCCTTTCTTTTCTCATACACTCTTTTCTTTTTCCTCGTTTCCTGATATCTCTTTTACATTTCAACTTGGTCTGTGTCCAAAGTTACCTTTTGGATGCATCATCATCTTGATCCTGTTGTTATTGTTGGCTGTTGCGTTATCGCAGATCTACGGATCTGGATATCTTTGTTTTTCAATGGCGTCGTGCAAGATGGAAAGATCTCCTCCTGTCTTGTTCTCTGTTGTTGAAGGTCGCTCGAGTGTGAGTGAGATGGGAAGGTAGTAGCTTAGCTTGTTCCGAATGTTTCGCATGCAGTGCGAGGGTTACGTCTATTGTTGACGTAGTAGCTGATTCGAGGAATTGGATCGGACGTTAATACTTTAATGAAAGAAGCGAGTGTCGTACCAAAATATAGTGTCTGTCACTGTGATGTTCGAATCAACAGAGTGACATACTTGCGCTTAATATAGCTCAGGAGCGATTGCACGATGTAAGAGGGAGAAAATGAACTGGTACGCTAGAGTCTTCCACTACTCTGTAGCCTACAACAGCACAGATATAATTATTATCCACATATACATATAAGCTAAAAGACGGGGTATGGCAGGAAGGTTGATCAGGACACGCTCATCGCAAGCTCGAGAACTCTAGATTGTATGAGGATGTCCTGACCATCGAGTCTTGAATGTGCCTCGAGATCCTCATCACGCGTAGATTCATCTTCGGGTATGGCCACGTCTTTACTCTCAGACTCATGTACGGTAGTCGCGGCGTCGATAACTGTTTGGTATCGTGTCTCGACCACTTCGGCTGCTGACCCCTCGTTTTATAATACCATCTTGATCTCACCGACTGACGTCGTCTGAGGGAGTTGTCCGAGTCTTTGTGCATATTCGTTCACTGAAGTAAACCATACTATTGTCTTTCCAGACCACAATCCTAGAAGTCTATCGACGAACGAACCACCGTCCACATTAAACGTGATACTCCTCCAACGCCCTGAGAATGCCGTACCATCCCTTTTCACCCCAAATCTAATTAACAACCCTCCTCATCTGCGCCGCCTGTCTCGGCTCAATAAACAATGCCTCTGCCTCCGTTAGGATAAGCGGTTCCTTGCCCTCCTTGGGAATCGTCTCCAACCAGCCCTTGACCCATGCTTTCCTCCCCTCAACCTTTGTCGTCTCCGCCCTTAGAACGACAATCTGCCCTGCCATGCACGGCGCCTTGTATGTAATGTTTAAACTGGCAGTGACACCTACTTTGTTGGGCAAAGCAGGGAAACAGCATCGTGCTAGTCCTTCGTCCAGGAGCGTGGCTAGGAGGCCTCCGTGGACGATACCAGGGTGTCCGCAGAGTGCTTCACCGAGATATTGCAGAGAAACAAACGATGATCCGTCTGCGGTACTGAATTGTAGCGGTGGGACGGCGATTTTGTCGGGACCGAGTAAGGTGCCTCCAGTCAAGTTTTGTGCTCGCAGGCCCTCTGGGATCTTAAGGTGGGGGCGCGAAGGAATGTATTTGGGGTCTTCGAGTAAGGATTTTGTAATCGGGTGCTCGAATATGCTTCGTTCTATTTCCGCGACTTGTTCTGTGGAGGGCTTGAACATTTCCAAGGTCTCAGCGTCGGTGGGTGGGTTCGAGAGGTCCCTGAGGGACTCGATTGCGGGGGCGCCGGCCATGATGAAGCCGCCTGTGAAGGTGAGAAGAGTGAGAGCGAGAGCGATAGGCAGGCGGATGTAGATTGGGCGTTTGGCCTTCTGGAGATTTGGATTGGGCGGTGGTGGTGGTGGCGTTGATATGGGGTGTGAAGTTTGCGATTCTGCTACAAAAATGTTAGTTTCGATATTCTTCTTCGATTTTAGTATGACAACAGATGGTGGTCCAGCCCACCCAATTGAGAGCAAGGAAGACTTACAAACAGTACTCTGCCACCTAAAGATCCTTCTATCTGTACCACGACCAGCCTTTATACAACACCGGCCGACTTCGTGCGGGGCCAATGCCCTCCTACCCCCGAGTCCCAGACTCCGACCCACATGCCCAGATAAGGTAGACCTTGCGGATATCATGGTTACGTATCTGCGCGGCGCCTAGAATCAGAAACTTTTCCTGGGCTAGAGGGAAGTCGGTGAGCGTTTGGTAACATCGGAGGTTCCGCGCAAGCTCGGACTCTTCGGAATTGAAATGCCTCGGCTGAGAGAACGCGGGCTGTTGGTTCGACCTTGTCAGGGGAAATTTGGTTCGACGGCAGCCAAGATAAATACTATTGGAATGTCGTTGACTGTGTCAGTGTTTTGGTGCGTACTTCGGGCGATGAAGGACTTGATCAAGGCTGGGGAGTCTGGCGTGGGTGTTCCTCCCCTTTCAAGATGAATGGGTTGGCGCCAATACCTACCACACCACTAAACCACGTCCCTATACGCATTGCTTGTGACGACAGGTATACTATGGGCTTAAGCAACCTCACTTCGGAATCTGACAATTATCGAAAAGAGGAAGACATGTCCTAAGAGGACGCATAACGTACGAAGTGAGGGTTGATTTTTCTCAATTCCGTCTTCAGGGCACATTCCTCATGCTTTACACGTGGTATTTCCACTCCACCGATCCATCATATCATCATACTATACATACAGAGTAGAGAAGTGTGTCATGTAGGACGCCGTACCCTTCTACAGCATCCGTCTATCCACTTCCATGACCCATTGACGAAAACAAAATAGACCCCGTGTAGAGGCCAGGGACTATAGTAAAAACAGAGCAATAGCTGTATCTTTTTAAGACGCCAAAGATGCCGGAAGAACATAAGATGCGCGAAAACATGGCGTATTCGTACAGGGTGGGAACACAAGCTTGAAGGAAAAAGGGACAAGTCGGCGACTCGCTCAGTAGTAATCCCTGGCACTCTTCTGCAGCTCGATCAATCTCCATCCTCGTGTTTCGGGGTTGTTCACGTCTTCTGGTATCCTGGTGACACCAATAGCGTATGTGACTTGTTGGACCTTGTCATCCATGCCGGATGCGAGTTCACCAGACTTGGCGTTGCGGTATACGTGTACTTCTTGTGTTCTGCATGTAAGGATGAAGACTGGGATCTCTCCTGGCTCTAGCAGTTTCGCGTTCAGGACATCAACACCACGGATATCAACAATCTTTCCGTCAGACTTCAGACCTGCGGCTTGGTATTGTTGCATCAGCGCTGCGTAGACTGAATATTGTGCTGCTGACAACCACTCTTTCAGGACTGCGATATCGCCCTTGACATATGCGTCCAAGACTTCTGGGAGGATGTATTCGCGCATCTCAGTCAGGAAAGGTTCCATCTGGAAGTTGGGGTCCATTTCTCTGAACCTCTTAATGACCATGGCCGTCTCATTCTCCGCGAAGAAGCCAGTGATGCGGTCGGTGATACTGCGGGCGGTCTCGATGAGGGGGTTTTCGGACTCCCTGTAGACGGTCTTCATGCCGAAGAAGCCCTGGGCGAGCTTTGAGTTGTCCTTCCACTCTCTCCAGACTTCCTTGTACTTGGCGTCCTTGTGCAGAGTGACATTGGTACCAGCGCTGCGAATTGTCAGTCGAAGCTTTTGAGTTACCTAGAAAAGTCTTACTTTGGGTCTTCCTCCATTGGCCCCAAGGTCTTACCACCTGTTCTCTGGAGTTCGTTGAGTTCGCGCAGCTCACGCCTCTTCCTACGCTCCTCCTTCTCGACCCATCCACCGTATCTTGACGAGCTACCATCGTCAATGGTCTCCTTCACAGCCTGGAAGGCCTTGGTTTGTCGCACTGGTCGAGTTGCGTATTCGAGACCACTTCCGGTAACCCTAGCAGCAGCGCGAACGCCCTTGACCGGCATGGTGTCCCATGTCCACGCTGCACCATGACCGACAGCTGATGCTGTGGCCTTCAACGCCTCGGTTGTCTTTGTCTTGGCAGCTTCAGAAATCTGTCCAGCTTTCTGAACATTTGGATTTTGCTGGAAGTCGTGTAGTGCACCACCCAACTGCTTTGTGCCCTCATTCCAGTCCTTGGAAGCCTGGAACTCCTGCTTCAGGGTCTCAGTGAAGACTTGCCATGGTGTCTTGTCACCGTGGGGTGGAGGTGGAGGCGCGTCCTCCTTCTTTTTTTTCTGGCCCTCCTCGCCCTCTTTCTGTTCACCGGACTCCTCTTCTCCGCCCTTGTTCTCTTTGGCTTCCTCGCCCTCTTTCCTTGCCTGGTCGCCAGCAGCCTGCTCTGCTGTGTTGCCCTCAGAGTCTGTAGACTTGGTGGACTGGGGCCCCTCGTCCTTTACAGGTTTTTGCTTTTGCGCCTGCTCGTACAGTGCGGGGCGAGAAGAGAAGTGGCGGGCGTATGCGGATGACGTGCGGAAGAGAACGTCTTGGGGCAAGAAGTCGCTGCGGAGGAAGCGTTGAGAGGACAGTGTGGGTGTGGGTGGGAGTGAGGTGCGTGCGGAGGGGACTTGGGAAGCTCTTGGCAGTGTCGATATCCGTCTATACGCTGCAGCTCTTCCATATGCGCTTGCAGGCGTAGCAGTGGCGGGTTGTATGCTCCATCGCGCAGTGGCGGCGAATGTGTTTGCTGTCTGGGGCCTCATGCTCTAGAATTGAACACAATAAGACTAAAATTAAATGGAAGTACAACCGGCCCAGGATGAGTATGTTTAGAAAGTGGGCGCGGCAAATGTTGGGTGAAGGACGTCAGTTTCGGCTTCGCCATCTTTTTCCGCGGTAGTGCCAAGCTCGCAACTTTCTTCGACCTTCTAGCAAGTCACTACATCCGCGAACCTCAATCGGGGCATCGATACCGCCTCCAACATGGCCAGCAACACCACCTTACGGACGTTTCGATCGCTCACATGCACAATTCGCGCATCATGTCAACACACGCAGCCTCTGCGACCCTTCTCCCACAGCACACGAGCCCTCAATGCGTCTCCCACGGACCGCAATAAGCCCTCTTTGTCAATGGACAGTCTCCTCGGCAATGTGTTACGCAACTTCAAGAACGCAGGTCCTGACCACTTTGGGAACATAATACCCAACGCCGACGGGACCCCGGGCTTCAAGAATCTTGCACCACGCGAGTGGGAAGAGGACGACAAGCACAAATTACACGTTTACGCTACCAAGCACAACACACATCTGTGTCTCACACAGCCAAATCGAAATCCCCTCATCTCGGTATCGTGTGGAAACATTGGTTTCCGGAAAGCGGGACGCGGGTCATACGATGCTGCCTACCAACTCGCAGCTTTCCTCATGAACCGGATCCAGGACAAGGGCTTGCTGCCACAGATTCAGAAGTTGGAGTTGATTTACAGAGGATTTGGGCCAGGCAGGGAGGCAGTCACAAAGGCGATACTGGGTTCTGAGGGAAAGAGGATACGGCCGTTGATTGTCAAACTAGCCGACTCTACGAGACTCAAGTTTGGTGGTGTGAGGAGCAAGAAGCCAAGGAGATTGGGTTAGAGTCTGCGAGAAAGCAGCAGTGTACGATGATAGTAGGACCACTTGAAGGCATGCATCACAAAGAGCAGTGTATAGTGGCCAAGGGCAAATTAAACCAATTCGAGAGTCATGTCAGATTTTTTGGCAATGGTGCCCTTTCAGCGGGTGGAATAGGCCGACCACTAGAATCCGTTTCCGCGATGTTGACAAGCCTGGGTGCAAGATTTCCAGCCTCATACCTAATAGGCCCTCTTGCGATTCCTTGATCACTACGACTACTTCCAGCAGAATAGCTCTCGTTCTCCCAGCCCCTTGCCTCCTCAGCGGTGCGATGGCGTTCTCGTTCTCGGTCGTGCCGCAGCATCGACGCTCCTTCGTCTTCGAACTCCTCGTCAAGCAACTCTCCATCAGCAGTATCATAATCCGGTGGCGCTATCCATTCCCGTGGTACAACGCATGGCAGAGCGACGCCGATGCTAGCGGCACGATTCAGATAGCTTGGGGCTGGGCGACCGGTAAGCTTTTCGCAGAGGTAGGACGTGAAGTGGTTGCAGTTCTTGGTGAGGAGGTTATACGACGTTCCTTGGAACTCGTGCGAGGCCTGTGACACGTTAGCCAGTTCTCTGAATACGAATGCTGTTGCATACCTCTTGGATGATGGCCTCTAATTCTTCTTCAGGCCGAAAAGAGAAGCCATGTAGGATCGCCTGCTTGAAAGTACCACCTGGGGGTTCTTGCCCAGGTTTCGTCCAGTACACTCCCGTTAGATCCCGCCGGTCATGCCCGCCATATGCATATTCCCTGTCGCCAATAACAACACCCGTGTGTAGGAGAGAACTTCCAATCGCCCAGAGCACAGTGGCGACCTTGCCGGGGGGTAGTAGATCATAGACGTGTATGGTGACCTCGGTTCTTGTAAGTGACAGCGTACTCCTATGGTTGCCGGAGCTTTTGCGCGAGGGTTTTGGTCGGGCAGAGGACGACATTTCGTGTGAGTGTGATGAGATGTATGGACGGGTGTGGTGCAATGTTTAGAAATCGAGTGTGGTATCTATTGCGGTAGGTATCTCTGTACGTTTGGTACCGAAGATGGAGGGTGGGGTATCATAGACGCTGGTAAAGGACGCTGAACGGTGTGAGGTGCTGGTGCGGGGGCGGGAGGGTAGAGGTCAGTGAGCGGGACCAGCCCTCGAAGTAATATGTGGAGATGGAGGTGTGAGGTTGGGGCAGTTCGTCGTCGACACCACCGCCCATGCTCTGGCGATCTGCACTGGACCAGGCGCTTGCCGCGTTGGAGCAAGCGCCGCACGGACGCCACCCTAGCCACATAAACTCTTGAAAATTCGATTGGACCTCCAGCCTCTGCTTGTTCCAGGAAAATGCATTTCGGCTGCTAATGCCCCTCACGCCGCCTCTGACGACCTTCTCTTTCTCTTCTTTGATACCCACTTTTTCCTCTCCGGCAGCAAGAACTGTCTGTCATTTTTCGGCCTCTTTACACTCTTCACCTTCTCCCACCAAATTTTTCATCGCCTTCACAGCCGCTCGCACCTACGCGTCCGCGCCCAAGAAGAAAAAGATGCCTCCCAAGAAGCAAGCCCAGGAGGTGAAGATCCCGCTCGGCAGGCCAGGAAACAACCTGAAGACCGGTATCGTGAGTGAGAGCCCTACATAGCTTGCCTCGTCGCGTTCTCACATTAACAGTGATTGCCAGGTTGGCCTAGCAAACGTCGGCAAGTCGACTCTGTTCCAAGCCATCACCAAGTGCTCGCTTGGTAACCCCGCCAACTTCCCATATGCCACCATCGACCCAGAAGAGTCGCGCGTCATTGTCCCAGATGACCGCTTCGACTGGCTGGTAGAGCACTACAAGCCCAAGTCGGTCGTTCCTGCCCACCTGACCATCTACGATATTGCTGGTCTGACGCGCGGTGCCTCCACTGGTGCCGGTCTCGGTAACGCCTTCTTGTCGCACATCCGCGCCGTCGATGCCATCTTCCAAGTAGTCCGATGCTTCGACGACGCCGAGATCATCCACGTTGAGGGCGACGTTGACCCGATCCGTGACTTGGACATCATCGCCGAGGAGCTGCGCTTGAAAGACATTGAATTCACTGAGAAGGCACTTGTTGCTCTTCAGAAGGAGACAAGGAGAGGCGGTCAGAGTTTGGAAATGAAGAAGCTCAAGGAGGAGCAAGCCACAGTCGAGAAGGTCCTCCAGATGCTCCAGGACGGCAAGGATGTCCGGAAGGGCAACTGGTCACCCAAGGAGGTATGTACATCTTCCTTCCTTTCCTCACACCCCCTGTTAAAAGATGACAAAGAGCGATTGCTCTATAATCCCAGCTCTCTGATGGCCCATTAACGCTGGGCCGTTCTGAAGTGAAGTCCTACTCTGATTAACAATATCCCAACTACATCACGTTTCTGAGATACTCCTTGCAAGCATATACTTACAGTTTGCTAGGTCGAGCACATCAACCCTCTTTTCCTCCTCTCAGCTAAGCCCGTCGTAACTCTCGTCAACTTGAGCGAGAAGGACTACATCCGCAAGAAGAACAAGCATCTACCTAAGATTGCCGAATGGGTCAAGACCAACGCCCCTGGTGACCCAATCATTCCCATCTCAGTACAACTCGAGGAGCGCCTCGCTGTTATGTCTGACGCGGAGGCTGCCGAAGAGCTCAAGACCCTTGAGACCACGTCGGCGCTGCCCAAGGCCATCCAGACCATGCGCAAAGCTCTTCAACTTGGTAGCTTTTTCACCACTGGTACCGATGAAGTCCGACAATGGACGATTAGGACTGGCACCAAGGCGCCACAAGCTGCTGGTGTCATCCACGGTGACTTCGAGAAGACCTTCATCCAGGCTATCGTATACAACTACAACGCACTGAGGGAAGAAGGAGATGAAGCCACTTTGAAGGCAAAGGGCAAGATTATGACCAAGGGCAAGGACTACGTTGTCGAGGATGGTGATGTTCTCCTCATCAAGGCTGGTGCCGCTAAGGCATAAACAGCTTTTTTGAGTCTTGTCCACGTGTGTATGTGTTTATGATCTACTGCCATCTTACGATGAGCTACATGAAAAGCAGCTAGACTGCACTGAATGAATGAAGATAAACATACCCACAAACACGATCTTTGCATGTCATGCTGTGATGCTTGAATATTGACGTTTCTATTATGAAGGGCTAGAATATGTTCCTAGCAGAAATCTCTATCCAAATAACATACCTCTTCGCAAGCCCAACTACTTCGCCTTGCCTTTGGTTTCAACAAGCATCCAACTATTTCCACAAATACAATGCTTGCTCACACCCAGCAAGTACTGATAGTGTGCCGCAGTATACCCTGGCAACCCAGGCACGACATCCTCCATACACGCACCACATCTCGTACACTGCCTGAGCAAATTCCTCCTCTTTCTCTCCCCACCCGCTGCATCCCCGTTCGCTCCAGCAGCACTATTGGTACTATCGCTCCTCCCACGATTCCCCCCACCCGTCGCACTCCCCACAGGATGAACCCAAGTCCCCGTGCCCCTGATGATCATCTTCTGACACACATCCACAACGTGCTGCTCGTGCCATATCCTCGCACGCTTGCTATCTTGGAAACCAAGCCACGTGGTATCGAAGAACATGAGTTTCCCCATGTCGAGTTTATCAGCCAGACAGCCGTTTTGCTGATTGCTGTTCCAAAGGGTATCTGTGACGAGGCGTTTTGCTGCGGGGAAGAGGATGTCGGGGATTTTTCCTAGGAGGAGTTCCCGCTCGATGCTGTTGCGTTGCATGTCCGTTAAATTGCGCTGTTTGTAGATGCCGCGGACATGATTTTGCGTTTCGCTGATGAGCACTTCAAACCAGCGGTATTCGAAAGGGACTTCAGTTACGGCTTGGTCGAGGGGGGAATATAGCTTTTTGGCTTCTGGGGTCTGGGGCGGCCCGGGAGGGCTGCCTTCTTGAGGGGGTCGGACGTAGGCTGCTGCGCTGCGCTTTACCCATTGGATTGGTTGAGCCCAGAGTTTCATCATGGCGCGGGGGAAGGCAGAGAGGAGGAGCAGGAGGGCGGGTTTGTTGAGCTCGTGAATCTTGTCTTCGAGCACAGAGCGTGAGAGCTCGGTGCCGGCGGGGAGATCGGATATCGCGCGACCGATGGTGAAGAGCTCATCGAAGATGTATGCCATGAAGTGCATGGTCCATCTGCTTGTTCCGATCATTTGTGGTACACCTTCGGGCTTGAGGTTGTTCTTTGATGTATCGCCATGCAGGCGGAAGATGGTGGTCAGGGTTTGCGTGACGAACCGTATATTGATAATTTGCCAGGCCATCTTGCTGCTCAGGGATCGTTCGACAGTGCCTTGAAGGCCGAGAAGGTTCATGGCCGAAAGCGTCTTTACGAAGAAGGGACCGCGACCAAGGAGGAGAAAGTGGTTGCTAGAAGTGTCGTCCACACCACAATCAATGTTGACTTGGAGTCCTTCAAAGAGGAGGTTGATGAAGTCATGCTTGCGTTTCTCGCTAAGGGAGCTGATGATAGCGAAGATGTCGTCGCTAGAGTAGTATTGGTTTGCTGCCGAGGAGGACTGTAGGATGAGTGCTGCGAGTGCAGCGGAATGCCGTGGGTCATCGTCGTCTGACGAGAGGGTACCGTGAGAGTATTCCATGGAGCGTATCTTTGGGTTGCCGTCCAACTGCATGCATACCGCCATGCAGTGATTGGGCGACAATGCAACGTGTAACGAAGGTTCTGCATGTTGAAAGACAAACCCAGCTTGTATTAGCAATGTTACAGAATCAGTATTGTCATCTGGCATGACTACTTCCATGGTGGATCGCTTCCTGAACTCGATAGCCCCATCGCTGTAGGCGAACGCCAGGAGCATGTTATACCATATCGGACAAAAGTCCAAGACGACGCCATGCAGGGAAAAGTCAGGCTGCCTCTTCAGAAGAAAAGTGTTCTGCGCAGGTATCGAGCTTACGCTCTTCTTCTTTGACGTTACTTGATCAAGACTAGGATGGAGTTGACTGTGCTGCTCTTGATGCACTTCCCATTTGACGATGATACTGTAGCGGGTCTCGTGGGCGTTGAGATCGTATGATATAGGATTTGGTGGCTTGCAATATATCGCTTGAATGGTAGGTATTGAGCCGTCGTCCTGTTCGGGCGTAATGGGAAGAAAGTTGAGATGTGTAAGTTGGGCAGCAGCTGCGCCCCTTGATGCTGTCCCGTTACTCAAGTCGTCGTTCGCAAGGTCGACAGGATTGCAGTCGTCTTCCAAAGCGATTAGTGAGACCTGGATTGATGGCTTTTCGAAGGGGCCTGCATTCTGGCTCCGCTTGTCTGTCGGCACATTCCAGACTGTCTCGACTCGGTACAAGTGTAACCGCCTTTTGACATCATAAGCTGCCAACAGGAGAGTATTGTCTATATCGAATTAGTCCGGTAACTTCAGGGATTGACTCGAAATTTACCATTGTTGGACGCAAATGCCGCATGGGTGAATGACTCCTTGGTTGAGATCATAGGCCCAAGCTGGGCAGAAACCTCTTGCCAGTGGTTATCAATCTGCTGAAAACGAAGCCTAAGTTCGCCATGTCTCTTCAGATATACAAAAGACGCTTTGCCGTCTATAGGATGATGAGCGTTGTTGAACATGTGTTGTTTGATGTTCCATTTCCATTTGCCTCCTTCTCGCGCAGCTGACCAAGCGATGAGATTCTGCATGAATATTAGAGCCACACTGCTGAATACCCGAGGAGTCTTACCTTCTGCGCATAGGGCAGGATGGCTAGCCAATGCATCCCAACGACAGCATCTATTTCAGACTCTGGCTGAGCTACTTCGGCTCTGGTGAAATGCATGCGGTCCAAGGCCATGGCGCACGAGAAGACCATGACCCGACCTGCATCATCCGTGACAGCAAGATCATTGCCTAGGTGGCTCCATGACAAATGGGTCAAAGGGAAGACTTCGCGGCCTTGCGGTAGCTCGAGAGGGACGCTTCTTCCGAGATCCCATTTGCCTGATTCAGGGTCGCGTGAGAAGATCTTTAGGTTGACGGAGTAGCCATCTGGATTTATGTACGCAACGCAGCCATTCTTGGACCAGGCTATCTTCCTATCACTTGTTAGTCAAGGCGGTAGACTTGCCCCGGCCCACTTACTGGCAACAGCCAATAGACGCAAGCTCGTCGAGTCGGCCGTCGAGCCCTTTGACAGGCGGCGTTGTGTTGATCGTCTGTATGTTGACATGTTCTGAGTCTCCGAACAGGTCGTCCACGTCCATGTTGTAGCTTGCACCGTCCATGTTGGTAAGATGGCTATGCCAGGCGACTGGTTGATTGAGAGATGAGAGCAGTCGTGAGAATAAGAGATGGGAAGGAGCTTGGCAAACAAGGTCGTACTAGACACAACGCGAAGGTGGTGACGAGCAAGTCGTCGGGTATCACAGAGACTACAAGGAAACGGAAAACAAAAATTCAAGACTGTGACGGACGCGGAGAGTCTCAGAGGTTGATGAGGCTGCGCTCCGGTTGTCTGGGATCAGCTCGCGGCAGTAAGCGATGAGCTAACGATGGCTAGCGCGGTTCCATCTGGTGTGCTGTACGTGAGAGCTTCGCGCACAATCGTCGTGTCGAGCTGTCATCGCTCTCAGAATGCCGGTGGAGGTTATCACAAGAATTTAAAACATGATGCGAAGCGCTCCCATGCGCTATACGATGTCAGGATTGTTACGGTCTAATAAGCGCATTGCGCCGATACCCAAGAACTTGGGAGGGGTCGCATGCGCTGTGGCTGTCACGGCATCTGGGAGAGCATGATAACGTGCCGTCGGAATGGAAGCATGACAGATGGAGACTTGCTCCAGAGCTCGTCTTTGTACTCCATGTCTACGGCTTGCACACAGCTCTCAAGTGTTCATGTAACGATTCTGCCGATCGATCAGTCAAGCACAGACGTGCCGCAAGCGTAAACATGTCGAGTGTTTAGGTTCTTTTCTTGGCATGACTACCCGGCGCCCATGGTTGTCCAGGTCAACCAGCGTTCGCCCGTCATCGCATCCACCGCCAACCTCTTTACACCTCCCACCCACCCCTTCACCTCCACACGCAGACGCGTCTACCCCGGACGCGCGCCTGTCCTATTATTATCGCGCTTTCTCGGAGCCTCACAATGGCCTAGCGCACCTCTTCCATCTGACGGATTTCCTCTACGGGGATCCAAACGGCAGCGACGGCAGCAACGACCGACAGCCCCCAACCCACGCTTTTCACACCACCACCACCACAATCTACACACACACATATATATTTCCAGCACGCGGCATACCTGGGAAAAATAAGCTGAATTTTAATGCGCGATTCGACCACGTTCGTCAAGCTGCAAGGACTTCTGTAACACCAGACGCGTCGTGTCCCTGGAGCAAGGTGCTTTGTGCTCACCGTTGAGCCTTCCTCACGATCCACGGCTGCCGCTGCCTATTGTTCTCCACCTCGCGCGCCTTCACAATGGCATACGCCACGCTAAACAACGAGCCAAGCTCGCCCTTGACCGAGATCTCGGATTCGGATCTCTCTATTCTTTCTCGGTCGCCCACTCCACCGCCCGAGCTTAGCAAATCCTTCGCTCAACGTCGTGCATACATGTCCCCGTCTTCCTCGCGACGCTCGTCCGCCAAGACCTCGCCCGCCCCAGAAGACATGCCTTCTCCACCTTCCAGCAACGACGATAACCCGCGTCCAGCAAAGAGGAGGAAGACTACAGAGCCCAAGGAGCGTACGGCAGAGTACCTAGACCTCTCAGGGTCTAGCGTGGAAGAAGAAGAGCTGCCACAGCTGCAGCGCCTACTGAGCGTTTTGCACAAAAAGCGCAAGATTGTGGTGATAGCAGGTGCAGGCATCTCAGTTTCTGCAGGCATTCCCGACTTCCGATCCGCTACCGGCCTGTTCAACACGCTCAAGAAGGAGCACAAGCTCAAGTCCTCTGGCAAGGATCTTTTCGATGCGTCTGTGTACCAGGATGACACGTCCACATCGACATTCCACGACATGGTGCGCACACTATCCCAGCACACCAAAGCTGCTGAGCCCACCGCCTTCCACCATCTTCTCGCGACCCTAGCCCAGGAGGGACGTCTAATGCGACTTTACACCCAGAATGTCGACGGCATAGACACTTCCCTACCCCCTCTAAGTACACAGGTTCCCCTGCCTAAGAAGGGGCCTTGGCCCAAGACTGTCCAAGTGCATGGTGGTCTAGATTACATGGTGTGCTCCAAATGCCATGTAGTTAAAGATTTCGACGCCGAGCAGTTCAAGGGACCCAGCCCGCCGCCCTGCCCGAGCTGTGTGGAAAACGACGAGATCCGTCAGTTCGCAGACAAGCGAAGCCACGGTATTGGTCGCCTGCGTCCTCGGATGGTCCTCTACAATGAGCACAACCCGGATGACGAGTCTATTGGTTCTTGTGCGTCCTATGACATGCGCATGAGGCCAGACGCTGTTATCGTGGCTGGCACTACGTTGAAGGTTCCTGGTGTGCGACGCATAGCTCGCGAGATGTGCAACATTGTTCGCGACCGAAAGGACGGAGTCACAGTATGGTTGAACAATGACCCTGAGCCGATGGGCAAAGATCTCGAGGACAAGTGGGATCTGGTAGTGAAAGGACCCTGCGATGAGGTCGCCCGTTATGCCAACATGCGGCGATGGGATGACCCAATGCACTATAAGACAGTCACAGACGAGGATCTAAACAAGGTTAGAGAGAGACAAAGAGCAGAGGTTATCATTGGCACTCCTCGGAAACCTGGTGTGCTCCGCAACGCAGGGCAGCTCACACCTGGACAAAGTCCACGCATACTTCCACTCTCGTTCAACAAAGAGGAGCCAGACACGCCCTCGAAGAAAGGTACGAAGAGGAAGGCAGATGCGCAGATGGATTTATTCGGCAAAGTCGCTACCAAGGCACCTGCAAGGAAGCCGAAGGCACAGCCAAAGAAGGCGGCAGCATCAACTAAGAGCAAGGCGAAGAAGGAGTCCAAAAAAGAGGCCCCTGCCATCAACAATGTCTTCAAGGCTACCAAGGGCGGCGCCAAACCTTCAGGCAAAGCTGTGGGCAAGCCTGTGGCCAAAGGATCCGATCCGGCCCTCACCATCATCGAGTCAAAGTTCAACTCGTCAACTAAACTAGATCCGAAAGAAAACATCAGCGACGTGATTCATGTCGAGAAGCGACGAAATCCATCTACTCCCAGGAAGCCAACAAGGCTAACCAAGATAAAGTCAGACTTTGTCTTCCAACCCGTATCTAATGCGGACGGTCGCAACAATCACTCACCAAAGCGACCACCGATGGAGAGCTTTACTCCAACAAAGGCTCGTACGCCTAGTGCTCAAATCCAGGAGGAGATGGCTTTCGCGCATGCGACAGCGACAGATTGCGATTCTCGACCCGGATCATCCGGCAGCGCACAGCGGCACCTTATTGAGAGCCCAACAGGTGCTGTGCCCAAAAACATGAATCACCTTCTTTGCTAGCAACTATTGCATTTTTCGGCGTTAGTGAATTACCTTTCACAAGCAGACGTCGCATTCGTATGCGCAATACATTGCATAAGAGGCGTTTGCTGGAGTGTACGGATGAGACAACAGATGTACCAGTACTTTTCTCATTGTTGGACATGCATATCTTACCTTTTGACTGCATGATACCCAGGAGGACCCCTAACAAAGTCAGGTTCGGATGCTGTGGCGTCCTTTTTACATCCAAGATAGTGATTCAAATGATAGTTTATGGCTTTGGCCTCGATTGATATCCTTGACGAATATGAGATGTTTGCTGTTAGGATGTGTTGATGTGTTGATGTGTTGATGATGAACCAGTTCCTATGTAATAATGTAATCAGCTCAATGAAACTTTGTAGTACTTTGGATCTTTGACCTCGGAATATGTGTGGCACTGATCGGAGGTTGTGCCTCAAATATCGCGCCTCCAATGCGCGCTTTCCCGATATGGAGCCTTGGCGCTTGGTTCGGCCTGTGCACATTGGCTGACGACAACTTCTCAACCTTTCATCTTTTACGCAGCTACGTTCTAGCGAAACAGGAGCTTACCCTTCAACTCCAACTCTATACCGTGTGAATCTCCGATCACTGTTAGCGGCCCAGATTTACTGATCTGAAAGTGCTTCCAATTGACATCCTAAGCTGGCCAACATCTACATGCGCCAACGTGTCTTGAAAGCCCTTAGATCCCAAGCTTGCAGTGCTACAACCCTCAACATAGTTCAGCGAGAAAGAGCTAGGGATAACCGCTTATGACTCCGCCACTTACCGTTCGTAATTTGACCCCCGTCAGCATCACGATTCAGCGTGTTGAGCGATTTGAAGACCCAAGCACGCTTCAGTCCAAACCAAGCGGATATTTCCTCGGCAGTCAAAATTCCACTTCCGTCGCACCGACTTCACCTGAGCTCAGCGAACATGCCCAAAGCTTCAATCATCAAGACCTTGATATTCTGTTGCAGCCCTTTGAATCGTACACGCTAAGATTCCCAGACGCGGAGCAGTCCAGCAATACGTCTACTATTTCAAGTCCGACCCTTCGTATTACGGTTCGGACATCCCATGGTGAACGTCACCGTATCGATGCACACCCCTCATACACGCAGAAATCCACACAGTCTTTCACCCCACTGTCCGGAATCTCGTCAACGACGTACAAAGCACTCTTCCACCCATCGAAGCCGGTTCCTCATCTCTCCATTCATGTCAATCACCTTCCAGACTACACTTCTTGGATGTCCACATTGCCAGATGACCTACCGTTATCGGCTATAAGCATCCCAGGAACGCACAATTCGCACACACACTACCGAGCTCTCCCATCTGTTCGTTGCCAAGTTCACGATGTAAAGACACAGCTGGAGAACGGTATTCGATTCCTGGATATACGGGTGCAGCCAACGCATGCTACAGATGCATCGAAAAAAGACCTCTACCTCGTACACGGTGCATTCCCAGTCAGCCTGACAGGGCCAAAGTACCTCGAGCCGATCTTGAAGACATGCTATGACTTCCTTCGAGAAAATCCTAGCGAAACGGTGCTAGTAAGTCTGAAACGAGAAGGGGTAGGAAGCGCAACAGACGAACACCTTGCCCGCGTTCTAGAAGAGCAGTACATCACACCTAATGCGCGTCACTGGTATACGGAAAACGCGATACCGTACTTGGGAGCTGTGAGAAGCAAGCTGGTTCTGGTGCGGCGGTACAATGTAGCTCAAATTGAGAACTCGTATTCGAGCCCGGACTGTAGGAATGGTGGCCTGGATGCAACGGCCTGGCCGCATAACGCAACTCACGCCGTCTTCCCATCGCGATCTTCTTCACCAACCTTTTGTCTGCAAGATTTCTGCGAGGTCATGGTACCCGACATTATTCCAACGAAGATACAGCATTGCAACGACCATCTTGTGCGCTCTGCTGCTGCCATGCACCCTATTCCTGGCATAACAACAGACGTCACAAATCCAGTGCCTCCAGGTCCCTTGTATCTTAACTTTCTCTCTGGAAGCAACTTCTGGAAGAAATCCTGTTGGCCTGGAGCTATCTCTAAGATTGTCAACAGGGGTATGGAGGAATGGCTTTGTGAGGGGCATCATTTGGAGGCTCCTAACACAACGTCCCGCCATCCGGATGGGACGGACGGACGGGAAGAGAAGGGGATAAAGAGGGCAAAGAGTGGTGATGGTAGTACGGGTGTTGTCGTTATGGACCATGTGGGTGAACATGGGGACTGGGAGTTGGTCAAGCTGATCGTGGGCATGAACATGGGAGTGTTGGCGAAGATGAAAACACTCGGGAAGAGTTGATGGAAGATGGCTTCAACACAGGCTTACGAACATGTAGAAGTATATACCCAGGATTCAAGCTGTAAATGTGTTATCCGAGATAAGTTGAATGATGACAAGCTTGTAGGTTTAGCGTGAACAAGCGGGTGAGGGAGTGTCTGTGCAGGTCCGAGTTCCGACGGAACATTTTGGCGATGCGCATCATGCATGTGGCGCGCCAAACCCCACGACGTGCGTATCATGCATTGCTCGGCTCGAGCGAACACGGCTGGTGAAACGACAATCGTAAGGTAGCCCATATCCAGCTACCCAATGTCTCTCCTCCGACCGACGTGCGCATCACTCGCGCGGCGACTCTGCACTGTGCAACCGCATCCCGAGCAAACCGTGAGGTCGCCCTTGTTAGCCCTCGTACAACGACACCGATGCTCACGACCGCAATGCCGTTCCTTCGTCTCAACACCCCGCTACCGGGCAAGGGTTATAGACACGCCACAGAACCCGAGCATTCCCCAATCACGCAAGCGCACAGTTAGGATAGGGCCTCTGCCCGAAGGTCCAGTCAGTGAAGCAACCATACAACGCGTATTTGGGCGAAGATTATCAGCCCACGATGGCAACAACGTTCTGCGGATACTGCACCACCGACGGACAGCAGGCTCACTAGCTGACTATGGCGTGGATAACCTGGGCAAGCAATACACACACGTGAGCAGGGATACTGCATTGAAGGGCCTGGAGTGGTTGCGAGAGAAATACCCCATCGACGAAGCGCGTGCAGCAGAGGAATGGGCAGAGAAAGAGGCAAACCGCATAGCCTACGAGCTCTGGCTGGCCGACCCCGAAACCGAGTCCAAATACAAGGATCCCGCTCGTGCCTTCAAAGAGCAGATGGAGAAGGAAGAGGCCGAGAGGCAACGCCAGGAAGCTGACGATCGGAAGATTGGTATACTGCATGCGGGAAAGAGTCAGTTCGAGCTCAACATTGAGGAGAAGAGGAGACAGCGATTGGAGGAGATTACACGGATAGCAGAAGAGAAGGAGCAGAAGGAGAGGGAAATGGAAGAGAAGCTGGCGACCGGAGAGTACGTGCGTACGCCGACTGGTACACAGCTGATGAAGCCCGGTCAAACGGCTTACGTTGATGTCTTCGGCCGCGAACAAGTCAGTCGGAGGAAAGAGGAGATGGAGAAATACAACAAGGCTGCCCAAGTAACGGATGCAAAGACGCCAGAGGAATTGTTGGCACAAACCACTCTCGTGAGCTTGTCCTCTCCCTCTTCTCCTATCCTTGTACATTGCTGACGATACTACAGGCGCAACGTCTCTACCCCATGTCTGCCTTCGTCCTCCTCACCCTCCTCGTCTGCTACGGCTTCGCACATTACTACGCCCCGCCTTCGCCCTCGTACCGCATGTTCCCAGACCTCAGTCCAACAACCGCCACTATTGGCGCGCTCCTCGTCATAAACGCTGCTGTTGCAGTAGCATGGCGTGTCATGCCCCTCTGGCCACTCATGACCCGCTACTTCATGCACGTCCCCGGCTACCCCCGTGCCGTCCAAAGCGTCCTCAACGTCTTTAGTCACGTGCAGTACGAGCATCTCCTCGCCAACATGATGATGTTGTGTCTAGTCGGACCTGCATGCTGCGACCTCGTTGGCCGTGGTGTCTTCATGGGAACGTACATTTCAGCCGGCGCTGTCGGTACTTTGTTCTCCTTGTACTGGGCTAACCTAGGTCGCGGAAATATCACCGCGCACTCTGTTGGTGCGTCCGCGGCCATTTGGGGCATCGCGGCGCTGTACTGTCTCCTTACCGATCAAGAGAGGATCAAGATTCCTTTCTTGAAGGAGGGCGAGGTGGCGTTTTGGCCCAAGATGCTGTTCGCTGCGTTTGTCGTGTTTGAGATTTTCTCCGCGTTGAAGAAGGGTAACTCTACCATGGACCATGCTAGTCATTTTGGCGGCATGTTCGTTGGCATGGCTACCGCTGGCTATTTGCGAGCGAATGGCTGGCGGGACAGACCATCTTTCTTGAACAGAGAGGGTGGTGCTGTACAGCAGAGTGTCCAGGAGAAAGCTGGTGTGAATGGCAAGACAGTTGATGTTGGTGCCATGGCGAAAGAAGGAATCAAAGAAGTCAAGGAGAGCATATCATCGAAAGTTGGAAAGTAACGTCGTTCCGTTTGGTCAAAGAAAACGAACCGTTAGTATTGTATCATAACACATGTACAAAAAGAAGGCAAGGATATGGCGTATTCATTCTTCTCTTCCGTCCCTAAACTTTGGGGAAGATGTAAACACCCTTCTCCAGCGCACTCTGCACAGCCTTGACCGGCTTAAGGTACTTGCTCACAGCCGGTACCTCCTTCTTGATCAGCATAGCCACTAGGTTTCCAAACACAACACTCCCCTCCGCGTTCAAATGTGTGCTATCACCAGCCTTGAGGTCATATGTAGGCGCCTTCTCCGGACCAATCGCATTTAAATACTTGGTACTTGCCGCATTCAAATCAATGATATCAGCGCCCGACTCGGCCGCCGCATTCTTCGCCGCTGCAACTACATCGGCCAAGTCTGGCTTGATTTTTCCGTCAGTGCCGTACTTGCGGCGGCTCAGGGACGTGACGATGATGGGTGTGGCGCCTGCTTTCTTGGCTTCGTCGACAAATGCGACGAGGTTGGTGGTAAGTTGTGCCGCGCTGATATTTTTGTCGGGTTTCTGATCGTTGTGGCCAAATTGGATGGTCACGTAGGGTGTGTAGTTCTTTGAGGCGTTCTTTGCGGAGGCGAGGACGGTCGCCCAGTCGCCGCCTTGACGGAAGGAGACTGTTGTTGCGCCATTGTGACCATAGTTGACGCCTGAGGCGCCACTTGTGAGGGTTGTGGTCAGGAAGCCGGTGCCCCAGCCACCACCGCCCTCGGACTGTACGGCTGTTGTTGAGTCGCCAGCGAGGATGAAGTATGGGGGTTTTGTGGCCTTTGGGAGGGCAAAGGCTGAGGTGGCGATGAGGGAGATGCAGGTGAGCGTTGTGGGGAGATGCATTTTGAAGGTTCAGAAAAGACGTCGCTGTCGAGTTGGAATTGAAGAAAATGGAATGAAATGATTAAAGCCGACTTTCCTGGTCTGACTTGACGAAGGATGTATACTACCTTTATACTCTGGAACTATATCCCCCGATCTTCTCCTTCTCCAGATTACATGCCATCCAGACGACAGTTTACCGGACTTCTACCCCATAATTTCCTTTCGTGGCTTGTGGGTGCAGAGTGGATAGTATGGGGTAGCCTGCAACGTTCGTGTTGAAGGATTTCCACCAATCGGTACAGTAAAAGTCCACGGGTACGTCATGGATGGTGTCTGGCGGAGAAAATCCGACGCCGTGAAGAACGGGGTCGTATCCTAGCAAATGCACGATTCCCGTTCACCCGGCTGCGCGAAGTGACAACTACGCACGCTTTGCTCGTATATGAATGGATTGCTGATGCTGGGGAAATGCCTAGTGCGCCAACTCTAGGTTTCGCGTTCGGTGAAAATGGAAATGCGCAGCAGGGTAGAACCATGGAAATTAACAGAGATAGATCTAGATGCAGAGGCTTGTGAGATCTTACCTGGTCGCGTGTGCGCTTCATCAGAAGCTTATGCGATTGAGGTACATCCATGCAATGCGTGGTATATTTTCTGGCTCGGATATGCAATGGAGATGGAAGGCAAATACAGGGGCAGGATGAGGCGACGCGAGACGAGCGTAGGATGATTACATGACGAAAAGTCTCGTGCTCACCTATGGACGCTCTGAAACTCTGAGATTTGCGAAGGGCAGAAGCATACCTAGGTGCTGCTTCTTCATCGGGAATAGGTACTATCGTGTGCCCTTAGACTCAGCTAGATGATGAAGGTTCCATCCCCGCACTCCTGTCTCGCCTATAGAGATCCCAGAAAGAACATCGCTCTAGTTCAATGTGCGCAACACCGACTCGTGATTCACCTATGAGTTTAGATACGAACACGGGATGCTGGATGCTTACGCTGAGCCTTTTGCTCGTCCGTTGGTACATGATCGAAACAGTGGTTTACGGGGTTTGTTTCCATTTAACAAGCGCTTATTAGCGACCACCTCTAGCGGATACCCCATCCTTGCCGTACTGACAGGAACATTTGCTTGTTTCATATGAGAAAAAAGATTGGCATAGGCGTATTCTGGACAGTATCGAGCTTGAGATAAGCAAAGCAAAGCTCATCAAAAGAGCCAGGGGTTCCGGTGTCGGTCCGACGCCCAGTGCAGCGATACGCCAACCAGCCACAAACAATTCACGAGTCGCGAGAGAACGTGAGCAAGACTGAAAAGGTATGAGACATGGTGACGCACTATTGGTATCTTGTACGCCTATAACACCGCATCCATTCGAGCCTACACACGAGACAGACGAGTCCAAAATCTCAGAAATGCTCATTCAACGATGGCGTCTGAGAGTGCGCATTCCCTTCTCGAACGCTCACTTGCGTTGTCTTCATGATCTTCGCACTCTGTGTCCTGTCTTCGAGCTCCAATATATGCCGCTCGCTCTCGTCGTCATCCTTATTATCCAGCTTAGTGCGCCCTCTGGAACTGAAATGCGAAGAGTTTGGGTGAAACTGGCTATTCTGTTTTCGCGAATTGCCAGCACCGGTTGCGTAGCTTCCAGGCAGGACTCTGAAGAAAAGGCCCAGGATGTGCTTTCGTAGCGGTGGCAGGTTCGCGATGATTATGCCGACACAGACCTCATTGATGCTGCAGATGCTCAAATCGATTGCGTCCCACATCATCTCCTGTGACCGCAGGAACTTGTACGTGATGAAGGTTTTCGCGACTGAAAGGCCGGTTCCACTGTCCCATATCAGCGCTTGTCTCCAGGTAATGATACAGGAATTACTTACACAAGTGCAAGCAGAAACACGATGCTTACGCCCCACTGCGTCCGCTTGCTGAGTTGTACGCGCCTTAGATAGACGATCGGCCCGGCAGCATAGATCTATCATGTGTTAGTGTTTGCCCGCAAATGGGGTATGCAAGTTACTTACCAGATCTGTAAAGATGTTCGATGCGATCTGTACGTACGCCGTCACCTCGCTCACCGCTTCCGGCCAGCATTCTCCTTGCACAGAGAAGTCCCACCGAGAGTAGTAGGGTCGGCAGTACGCGAAGTGCAATATCAACATCATAATGAAGTTGCAGATGACTACAACAACTACCGATACCCATATGAGAATTCGGTAGCTGCGTCCGAAGTCCAAAGCCATGAGGTATGCGCAAATCGAGGCCTTGACCAAGAACATTGCGTAGACATTCAGGGTCTGTGAGATGAAGATCAAGTGCAGCTCTTTGGATGTGTTGCCTGGTATGAGCCACCATGGGTCTGCCATCAAGCGACCCTGGCCGCCTTTTGCACAAAGGACGGCATAGGGTACGCACCCTAAGAAGTTCAGAATCTGTACAACGTCAGTCGTCTTGTGATGTTATAATGTCTGGCTTCTAACGTACTACACCCCCAATCATAAGCCAGTCGCTTATCCCCAACCAAGGCTTCATCTGCATTCGAACGATGATACGCCAACCCGCCACTAACGTGCAGAATGTGGCCATGGTTGAGGCAGTCACTATGAGCTCATGCCCCCGATTAGGCCATTCTTCAGTGGAAGGTGAATCGGCCATTGTGGAATGATGGGTAGTTCTCTTAGAGTAGATCACTGTAAGGTGTCCACAAAGCAGTGTAAATAAGGAGTATTCAAGGGATAGGAACAAGTGGCAAAGATTACATATCTACTATGTATCAGAGTAGTTATCGCAAAAAAGACCGGCACAATGGTTCGAAATCCTGAAGGAAGAAATTCGCCTATGCGGACTTGCAGATGGGAACGGCTCCTGGATGCACCGGTATGAGGCCTCCGCTCCAGTCACTCAATTCCACACAACTTCCCAGTTTCTCGTCATCTTAGAGACTCTGTTGCGTGGGATCTAATCAGCTCGGCCCATTCCTTCATACCAAGGAGCCGGCGCGCTTCCGCACGCGAATTTTTGAAGACCAACTCTCATTCGCGGGATTATTCCTGGAAATGAATACGAAATGTACGGGATGACACTGCTAAGAAAGAAAGCAGGTATTCTGTAGGGTATGGCAATCTCCAATCCTTCCATAAGCCTGTGCTCATGCAACTACCGTCTGGGCAGCGAAGCTCCTACAACACTCAATTACCTTTTCAAGCAGGTGGCTGAATCCAGCAGATGAGACGTCAGCATATGTGGGTAGTATAACCAAGGTTCGCTGTGCGAACATGTTTCCCTCGAAGGAGCAAAGTAAAGCGTCAGTCGCAGATGTTTCGATCGTTACGCTGTCCTGGAAGGCTCGATTGCACTGCTTGTGTGATGCTCTGAATCTACATAGAGCAGACTGCGTATGGGACAAGCGGGATGTCAACCTCTACAAATAGAGTTGATTCCCCTACCTGGCGAAGCGGCTCGGCAGGACTTATCGCGTGGGATTTGGCCCGCGTGGGTGGCGACAGCGCTATACCTAATCAGCTGTGGAGGAAACCCAGCTCTCTGGGCACCATACCAAGACCGCGAAAAATACCGATCTCGCAGCAAATATCAGAATCTCCTGAGTAAAACAAAACAACGGACATTGTTGCGTCTAGGAAGCAGAACGAAATGGTAGCGTTGAACCTTCACGCGCCGAACCGCCTCGTAGCTTCCGTCGCCCGTTACGCGTGGACACGGCCCTGGATGACCCGTGGACCCTGGTTTCCATGCCGTTGGTACATCGAGTTATCAACCATCATGACTAGTAATGTCCCGTCCCGTCAATTACCCATCAGCATTCTCTCCGGTGTATTCCCTCCGATGCTTGACACGCACCATGTGCTGACCCGGCCTTTCGCCCAAATCCCTCGTTCGAAAACGCGGGCTGTTCGCCCATCTTACTGCAAGGCCGGCAGATGAACATGCGTCCGAACTTCGATGGATGTCAAAGGCCCAGACTTTGCCACGTGCGAGGATCTTGTTTAGTGACTGCCCTTTGAGAAACTCTTAAGTGTTGCTTGAGAGCCTCATGCTATCTTCCGCACAGTCAGTCGTTTCATTCCGCAATCAGCGGTGATCGGTCCGGTTGGAGAGCAGCCTTGCTTGTGTGGTGTCTATCATTTACCTTGTATTCAGCTAAAGATGCATTCATTCACTGTACCTTCATTCTTTGGTGCTGCCATTTTCGCAGCCGCCTCAGCCCAAACCACATACGACTATGTTATTGTCGGTGGAGGCACCACAGGCCTGGTTGTTGCGAACAGACTCAGCGAGGACCCGAAGAGTACGTACCACACGATCGAGAGTCGCCTCACGAGCACCGAAACTGATGACCATTCGCCGCAGAGTCTGTTTTGGTCATTGAGAATGGCGCCCTTAGCAACAGCACCCTATCTAGCTTTCCCGGTAACTCTGGCGGTCTTAACCTTGCTGCCATGTACGACATATACAGCGCACCCGTCCCAAACCTTGGCAACCAAACTTTCCTGGTAACAGTTGGCAATGTCGTCGGCGGCGGATCCTTTGTGAATGGAATGCAGTTTGATAGAGGTGCCGATGCTGACTACGATGCATGGGGTCAGCTTGGAAACAAAGGATGGGATTGGAAGGGGTTGAAGCCGTACTTTATGAAGAGCAACGACTTCGATGCGCCATCCAAGAATACGACCAAGGCTTTTGGTATTACCTACGATGACAAGGCATACGGCAAGGGACCACTCAAGGTATCCATACCGGATTATCAGTTCCCGGATATGAAGACGATCTACCACGCTTGGGATAACGTCGATATTCCGCATCCGCAAGAAGGCTTTGCAGAGCCCGTCGGTCATTATTGGTCGCCGAACTCGATCAACAAAGCAACGGCTATGCGCAGCACATCGCGCACTGCGTACTACGATCCAGTAGTATCGAGGAAGAACTTGAAGCTTCTGACAAACACTCATGTCGATGAAATCACTTTCTCAAGGAACAGAGTAGGTGTTTTGACCGCAACCGGTGTCAAATATACATCCAAGGATACCAAAAAGCAAGTCCAAGCTATTGCTGCCAAGGAGGTCATTCTGGCTGCCGGTGGTGTGTTTACGCCGCACTTGCTCATGTACTCCGGAATTGGACCGAAGGACGTTCTTGCGGCTGCAAACGTCGCCGTCAAGAAGGATCTTCCAGCTGTGGGCTCCAACTTTCAAGACCACATCGCCAACTATATGAACTTCGACTTGCAGAATCTGGAACCTGAAAATCAGGGTGCCCTGAATACGGATGCAGCGTTCAACCAGACCTCCTACGACCAGTACCTGAAGTCACGTACCGGTCCTTACTCTGTCGGTAAAGCCCATGGCCTCGTCTTCATCGCACTACAGCATTTCGACTCTGCTTTCAAGAAAACTGTAGCCAAGATACGATCTCAAGTAGCTTCCGATTTTCTCCCCGAGCGCTATGCCAAAGACAAGAAGCTCCTCGCTGGCTTCAAAAAGCAGCGCGACATCCTCGCCAAGCAATTCTCGGGCACTGACGCTGCCGTAGGTGAGATTGTTATCCAGCCATGGGGCTTCTCCGGTATCGCAAACAACAAGCCCCTGTCACGAGGAACCATCACACTCAACAATACACATCCCGCCTCCTATCCCATCGTCCAATGGAACACTTTCCAAAACCCCGTTGACGCAGATATCATGGTAGCCCTTACGCGATACAACCGCGTACACTGGGCATCCAAGGAACTCGCACAATACAAGCCCGTAGAGACGGCGCCTGGCCCTCAATACCAGACTGATGAAGAAATCATCCAGGGCGGCATTACTTCGGGTTCGCTTCAACCGACGTTTGCGCATCCGAGTGGTGGGTGCAGCATGATGCCTGAGGAGCTAGGTGGATGCGTCAGTGATGAGCTGTTGGTTTACGGGGTGAAGGGATTGAGTGTTGTGGATGCAAGCATTATTCCGATGATTCCAGCAACACATTTACAGGCTACCATGTATGCAGTCGCGGAGAAGGCGGCAGACATCATTAAGAAGAGGGCGTAGGTGAGGTTGCAAGGCAGAAATGTTGTGGATTAATTAGCATTCGTAGTGTTGTGTTTGTACAGCATCATTCAAAATACACCAACAAACTCATTACGCGTCCAGTTTCCTTTTACGATAAGGTTAGCAATTTACTACGTTAGTCGTACACCCTCTTCACATCTGCCTCGTGGCATCTGCGTTGTGGCACTTCTCGCTTGTGTCTCTTTCCTTTTCCTTTCGGCGTCAGCGCACCCGAACCGTGGGGTAGCAGAACAAAGGAAAGAACATAAGCTGAATGTTCGAGAAAAGAAGGAGACAAGATCTTAGCAGACTTTCGTCGATCACTATTACCACGCCAAAGTAGTACGTGTGTCAAGTACGATGTGACCATGCCAAGAGAACAATATTCTTCTGTCTACCTATCACGTGAATGTGCCTCCTTTTGGCAATCGTACATACTGCGTCATCAGGTTGCAAAGAACCGTAGAGAGTTTGTTATTCTTAAGCTTGCGTTGTTTCTTCTGTACGATAGAGTGTGTATGATCGGGGGGTCCGGGGCAACACCCAGTGCGCAACACTGGATCAGCACGGGTATGCGGGTTTCCTTGACGATCTTGTGTAGCGTGCAGGATCGGAGAGGAGACGCTAAGCGGAAAGCTGAAGTCGACAGTGTTAGCTATGGGGCTGCCAAAGTATGTATCTCCATGATTAGTTAGAGTGGTCTGTTGTTAGATTGACATAACCGCTCGGTCGAATGTAACGAGAAGCTAAGAAAGATATGAACACAGTCTTCCAGGCAATCAAATCCATGACCTTAACGCAGAAGAACTGCCGATGGCGTGACGACGTGATGAACTGCAATTAATCGTGGGTACCTGGGCATCGGATGACGAACGCGATATCAGTGCTCAGGTCCCGATGCAGGTCGCCATGGTATATCGCTGATGACTGTGGCTTCATCATCATCGGCGACGTGGGTCGACTGGCTTGACCAGGGAAGGCGAGATGGGTTGGTGTAGGAGTTCGTCACGTCGTATCGTGTAATCATTCGCTGACGTCCAGGAAGACTGGTAAGAGTCAGCACGCTGAGGTACGTGCGGCCTCGCATACCCTTCCGCGTGGCAATTGCACGGGCTAGGGCATCTCGAGCCGATATAGTTGACGCCGTCTGCGGAGAATTTCATAAAGATGTAGCTAACCAAGATTGCGTTGTCGATCTGACTCGATGGTCATGACAATTCTTGATCAGGGCGAACACAGTGAACATACTTCAGGCCATCTTGCGATCATGTTTAGCTGTCACATCTTCGACGAGAGGGACATCCCTCATCGAGGACAGTGTAGTCTCCAACGGTGTGATACTAGGGCCAATAGCTGGTCAATGGGAAGCGGTTCCGCACTGGTATATCAGTCGAGCCCTATCCGTTGGAACGGGGGTGATTATGTGATGCTCTCGATTAGGCCTGACATGGTGCGATCAAAAGATTCTTCCGAGGAGTCGACGACGTGTTGAGCGACGAAAGCGGATATCGATCAGCTTGGACATGTTGTGGACATCCAATCGTATGCGGTAATTGAGACCAGACGGGAAGGAGAAGCTTTGAGGTTTAGCCGCTGAGGTTAGCGGGTCTTTAATTCCAGGCCGTACCCCACACCACTGGACCCACGCATTGCCAATAGGGATAGATAGGAGAAGAACCCGTGCTGTGGGTGTGGTTTTTGGTAGCCAATACTTGGGGAGCTGAAGAAGTAAAACCGTTGCCAACGAGCGAGCACGGAAACCGTAGGTACACCAAGGCGTCGCGTGCATGTCGGTAAATGAGCTACCTCCAGGGAGTGGAGCACAGCCGCGGAAGGAGCATTAGTGTTTTGACGGTGGAAGTACGTAACGGCTGACTGCAGTGGCCAGTCCCAAAGGCCAGGAAATTCTGGCCGGGGAAGCGGTTTCGAAAGGGTGATCTTTGCAAGGAAGAGGGATGAAGATTTTGGAAGACCAGGACCAGGCATCTAAATTGGTAGGTGAGATCAAGGCCTTCGTACCCGTACCTCCAACTCGAAGTTTCTGCGTGGCGCAAATAGATGCCGTCCGATGCGCCCGTGTAGGCAAACCTGGTCTTAACATGTCTCATAAAATGGATCGCGTGAGCCTGGATACCAGCAGCCGTGTGTACCTGAGGGTAAGCTAGAACGGGGATACCGCTTACTGTGGCTTTCTACATGAAAGACAGAACGTGCTGACGACAAACACTAGGAATGTGGTACCGAAGACGAGACGTCACCATGGACTAGACAGCTAGCATTCGACGGCGAGTAGGTAATGTGGAATAGAGGCGGGCGGAGTATTGCAAGCCACGAGAGAGCGGAGACTTCAACTGGCGCCCTCCAGAACCCGCATCCGCAGGATTTCGCGCATCGCGAAGGCGGATCACACATACGTGTGATGCGGTGAGGTTATTCGTTGTTGAGATAGACGAGACCGGGGGTGGCCCCTGCTGGCAGGCGGGCGATCCGAGGCGCGCTTCGCCACGACAGGCAAATCTCAACGCTGGACCCTTTGATTCTTCATCGACGACACGCGACAATCGCGCTATCGTGGGAAAAATAGCATTATGGCTTGACAGAATGCGGTAATCTAGATGACGCCGCTGTTATCCCAAAGTATCGGCTCATTTTCCGGCCTCCAAATCAAGTTGAGCTGCGGCAAAACGTCCAGACGCCGGCTCCGGTACTACTTTCCAGCTACCCCGGCATGGACAAAGCGATTGGCTAAGCGTGGAATCTCGCTCTATCCACTGATGAGCCGCAGCAACAAGTTGCCTGAACCCGGTCACATCAACGCTCCACAGTCAGCTCCTGGCTACTGGTCAGTTATCCACACTTCACTTGTCTTTTGTACCAGTCACGGTGCGAGCTGAAGGACTACGGATGTCGCTGGTACCTGGACCCCTGCGGGCGAAACCGACACTATTCCGTACCCGCAACGGAGCTCCCGTGAAGCGCTCCCAATGGTACTGCGCAGATGAGCTTTGTGTACTCTGGCATACCATGCTTCCCAACGATGGCCAAGTCCCACTTGTATTCGAGCCTTCGTGCACGGCGCAGCTGGAGCATATGGGTGGAGATCTGGCTCGCCCTGAGTTGATGGTTATATTCCTGTCCATTCCCAGTCCCGTGCTCTTTGAACGCTGGTGACGCTCGTTCCTCAGTGTTATACACCTACCGATTAACATACGTTGACGGCTTCCGAAACACATACGCCATCACGATGAGGTCCCCGCCGCCCGAGGTCCTTGCGACATGGCCCAAGCCGAACTACGTCGACCCGGCCACGAGGGGTTCGGGTTTGATGATAGTCGAGTTGACACTATTACCGATTGCTATGATTGTTGTGTTTCTCCGACTTTGGGTACGGATAGCATGGTTGAAGAAGAGCTGGTACGATGACTACCTCATGATTGTGGCAATGGTCTTCAGCATCGGTACGCAAGTCGATCTCGTTCCGAAAGTTCATCACCTAATATTCGATACAGGCACAACAGTCATTGTCATTATGGCATCCCAACTCTATGGTTGGGATCGCCACGTTTGGGATCTTACACCGCACGAGATGATGGTTGGTAGACAGGTACGACAGTGTGCAACCGTACCAACACAAGCTGATGTTGACGGTTCTAGGCATCCATGGCAGGTCAGACATTATTCGTCCTTGCTTCTTCCACGGTCAAGATGTCTATACTCGTATCGTACTTTCGCATCGCACCAGAAAAGTCACTGTTCCGCAAGCTCGTCTGGGCAACCTTTGCGCTCGTATTCGCCGCCTTTGTTGTCTTCCTAGTTGCACTCTGGGTGCAATGCATGTATGTATACGCACGTGTTCAAGCCATTCTAGTGCTGACAAGTTTAGTCCAATCTCCAGCTACTGGGAGCTCAAAGCCGACCACCGTGACTGCATTCCCGAGGGACCACCACTAGTTGTCCAAAGTGTACTCAACGTGGTGACCGACTTCATGATCTACGCACTTCCGATCCCTACGCTATTCACACTCTCGCTACCATGGACTCAACGCATCGGCCTTGTCGTTCTCTTTTCCGTCGGTGGCGTCATTGTCGTTGCGAGCAGCTTCCGAGCCTACTGGGTCCACTACACACTCTTCGAGACATACGACTCCACTTGGGAAGGGTACCAGATCTGGCTTTGGACCGCCGTTGAAACAAACGTCGGTGTCATCTGCGGGTGTATCCCAGCGCTCAAGCCATTACTCTTCCCCCACCGGGCAAGAGCGCAGGGTTCCAAGTACGGCAACAACTCGCAGAGCAGCAAAAGGAAGGAAAAGATCACCCCTGTCATCGACCAAGTCGAGATGGATACCCGAAAACTCACGGACAACGATGAGACGCGGCCCGGGACCGCCATTGCTCCGGTGCATTACCGTCCCCTCTCGGAACGACCGATGAGCGGCGATACCGATAAGAGTCGGTTTGATATCGATATAGAGCAGCAAAAAGCTTTCATGTACTGATCGCGTGGCGCAGTACTTTCCATTATTTCTTAGTCTAATATGCACATCCGTTCAACGAGCGATGTTTCAACGTCCAGTAGCTGGTAGACCCACAAAGGGCACTTTCTACCCAACTCACCTCAGCTCACCGTAGCACTTTCTTTTCTCTTTCTTGTCAATACCCGTCGGATACGACAACTGGGCGGATTTCTCAGGTTTAGCGAGTCGCGCTCTTAGCAGCAGCTTCTTTTTCTCTTTGTTCAAAAAGCGTCGAGCACGATAGGAATAACACGATTTCAAACATTCCTCTGGCTGTCCCTTCTTTTATGTTTGGACTACGATTGGCTCGTTGTTGAGGTGTTCCCACGCGACACGCAACAACCATGCCGCCTCTTCTTTTTGCGTCTCGCGTAGACTGCGCCACCGGCTGAAGGTGAAGGTGGGCTGACTGTCGCGTTTTCGCATTGTCTTCCTTCCAATATTCGGACCCGAAGCAAACCATTCGGAGGCCATTTGCCTCCTGCTGCTTTACTTTCGGGCAAATTCATTTCGTGGATGTATACTCCCGAAGCAGTCATCATGCGGTGAGATCATTTAATCGGGGGCTTCTTCGTCATGCCGCGCGCATCAAACATCGTCGAGATGAACAGACATTCTGGTGGTGTGGAGTGTCGAAGCATGGTGCGACGACAGCTCTTTGCTTTTGTTCTGTCTCAGCTGGACCCTGAACTCATCTCTTTGGTTTGCGAACTTTGGGTTGGCGGTCGGTCTGTGCAGCGCATATGATGTCACTCTGCCAACTTGCCTCGTTGTTCTACGAAACTTCTACTGCGGTCGCAATTTCGGTCTCCTCAAGGCTTAAAATGTCATCGCCCTGAGCGGGATGGTGAGCTGTCAGGCTCGCGGAGAGGCCAACGCAGAGACATGATCGCCTCAGTATGACGTCCACGCCGCAATGATATGGGCATATGGCGCAACGGCCTTGGATACCGAATCATGGCCCGGTCCTAATACCGGAACTGCGACGTCTCACACAGCGAGCGCACCTGCAATTGAGTCGGGCAGGAGAGCTTTTTCAAGAGTCAGGAACCACTCCCGATTGTGTGGGCGGCTGGGCCTCAAACGGTGGCTTGGAAACTAGTGGCAGGGCTGAAGGCCAAACCTCGGCACCAATTGAGCGGCACCAGAGACAGACCGCATACGCTCTGCAGCATGACATCTGCAGACAGCTGTTCACCGCTTCTAGCGCCTGCAGTGTGATTTTAGCGATTGCGAGTATCCGATGCGCTTCGAGACACGCATCTCAGCGGCACTGTGAAAGGCAGCCTTCAGATACGGCGGCGGTTACCTGGACTACGATTATGCCAGGGGTGAAAATTAATAAAAACCAACGCTTCAAGTTGCAGACCCTCGTCTAAAGCGTCACAGCGGGCGCCAGTGCTTCGCCGCACGACCGTTGCCCGTTCAAACTTACCTCATTGATGCTCTTTCGGGCCTGATGAGGCTTGCAAATCGCCCATCTGGCTTCAGTCGGGGTGCTAGCCTTGCTCTTTGCCGTTTAATGCCAACGCACCGTGCAGCGCCTGCCCAGCTCGCCCTCCTCATAGTTACTTGCAAACGAGAAAGTCATGGACCCGAAAGGATGCAGGGACCTGAAGACGCGTCGCAGCTATTATAAGCTGTAGCTACTTCGTCGCTTCCCTAAAGGATCTGCTGTGTCCATTCTTCGTTCATACAATCCCCATCCAAGTCTCCAAAAATGTGGTCGACGCTAGTACTACCACTGCTTGCCTTTTCATTGCGCACGGTATCAGCCCTTCCTCAGGGCCGTCGATGCAATTGTGAAGAGCACCCGGTATGCATCATTGGTGCAGGTCCTGCCGGTCTGGCTGCTGCCGGTCGTTTAGAAGAGAAGGGTGTCAAGGCAGTCATGTTCGACCGTCAAGCGGAGGTTGGTGGTAAATGCCAGGCTTGGTACGACGACCAGTAAGTGTTACACAGCATCCGCCTTCCCATGCACACTAGACGCGGCTGACCACCCTTCCAGAGGAATTTTCCATCCACTAGGCGCCGCCTTCTTCTCGAATGCGACATACACAGACACCATCAGCATCCTCAACCAGACGAATGTCTCCATCGAGCCCTTCGCGCTTGCTGGTGCGCGCGAAATGTACCGCTACAACTATACCACCGGCGACATTTCCATGAACCCCACCCTAACCCCGCAGTTTACTGCGCAGGTATCCGCCGAAATCCCGAGGTACATTCAGCTGTGGAATCAGCGCTTCCGACCGATTAGTGTTGTGAACTACAAGGTACGACACCCGTGGCAATGCGCCGTTACACAAAGCGCGGTAGGCTAATGCAGGAACAGAATGGTGTACCAGACGAATTCACCGTGTCGGGCGCAGAATGGTTCCGCCAGAATAACTTCACAGCGCTTCCTATTCTCCTTGTCAATCCCGTTGCGCTTTATGGTTATGGCGACATCAACATTGTTCCAGCAGTACGTCATTCTCAGAAAATCTTGCAGGGATTGCGCATGCAGGGCGCTAACGTGTGATTAGCTGTACATCCTGCAGTACTTCGCCCCGGATATCCTCACGGCCTTTGTCGGCCTACACAGTGTCTACTACATGGATTTCCACAAGATGTTCGTCGAGTATGCCAAAAACCAGCTGTGTAAGACGCCCATTCACACCTCGTCCGAGGTCCGGTGCGTTGATCGGTCTGGCGACCACCCCATCTTGACATACACCACCCCTGCACCCAATGGCAGCTATGTCACCTGGGAGAAGCAGGAATGCTCCTCTGTCATCTTCGCCTTCCCACCAAACATGGACAACTTGGAGCGTATTGGCGTAGATTTGACTGAGCAGGAGCATGACACTTTCGCTAACATCACGACCCACCAATACTACTCTTCCGCGGTAGAGTTGGAGCTTCCCTTCGGAGTCTCCTATATTGCTGAAAGCGCCAACGATACGGTTCCGCCGCCAAACGACGGCGAGCCAGTAGCTGTTCTTCACCTGAGTCGCGAATCTAATGTCTCCGTTGCCTGGTCCTGGGGTCCTTACGAGTTCCAAACCGAGGACGCTGCACGGAACTTGCTCGTTGAGAGCTTGTCTGAGCTCAACAAGGATCCGCGCAATGCCACAGAGCCATCCCAGCCCTTTTGCGAGGACGACGTCAAAGCTTTCAAGAAGTGGGATTACTTCCCGCATTTCGAAGGCAACGCGCTTTCTAGCGGCGCATACAGTAAGCTTAACAAGCTTCAAGGCCAGAAGAAGACGTACTACGCCAGTGGACTCAGCGGCATGGAAATTGTCGAATGGGCCATTCGTGGTGGACGTGACGTTGCCGACACATACTTCTAGGCTGAACTTGATCACGAATTCCTTTATGTTGTTCATTAGATCACGATCGTAAGGCTCAGTCTTTGGATGATCACTGAGCCGAGGAGAAACTTGTGCATATTGCGACATGCACGTGTACATTTGGAGGATGCCTTTTTTTTTCTGTTATATTGTTATGATATCACGGCAGAGGTTTTGTTTTCGCGCGCTTTAGACGATGATACCTACTACACGCCTTCGATGAGCGTCATGATCACGGTTCCTGGAGGGTTTGCGACCTTGGAAATGGTTGCTTAGCGGAGGAACTTTATGATTATGACCTGTTGTTTGCCCTCTGGGGCTCTTTAATGGTAATGAGATTAGATATGTAGATATGTAGATACGTAGATATAAGAATTTGCACTAAAGTGCATTTGTCTCACCTTCTTTCTTTGGCACTGTAATGACAAAGTATTTACGCCTGACTCCCCTAGGCGCGGGCTCCTGGTCTTTCGATCTAGATTGAATCCTGGTCGCCTCGGTTTACGGCGGGTTCGATGCTTCTGGAGCTCACGATTAGGATTCGATTGTAAGAGATTGTGTTGTCGTCTCATATCATACTCATGCTATTGTTCCCTCCTAACCCTGTGTAACTTGTTCCTGAGAGAGGATATGAGATTATTTGGTTATGTCTCTTGCAGTTCATGTTTTTAGTGAGACGTCGATGACACTGTAAAATCCATGTTGCGTACACTCTATACATAACATCTAAATGACTATAACCGTATCAACTATCAGTTAAGGGCATGTGGCTGAATGGTAATGCATCCATATCATACGATAAACCCAGAAGGTCGTTAGCTGCAGCTTTCGGTTTATGGGAGTCGGAGGTCTGACTCGAGACGCGACGTCGCCTCATTGGCGTGGGAGATTGTACGTTCGACTCGTACCATGTCCATGATATTGTTTCTTTTTGGAAGATGTGAGAGAAACCTTTGGGAAGTTGGGATACGTCCCAACATCCTTTTGCACAGTACGTTTTGGCTGTGTATAACATATGCGAGACAGTACATCCGAATTAGACAATCGCATTGTGAGGGTCAGAACGATATTCCTGATCCGAGTTGATCTGTATCTCTCATGCTGAACTGTCTATCGAGATGTATGCTGCCTATCTTATACACTGACATGCTATTATGCGCTCCATGGGCAGGCAAAGACTGCGGTACTTGATAGAGACCGTCTAGTGCATAGTAAACTCTTTGCATAGTAGGCCGCTTCCTAGTAAGATAAGTACATTATGCTACACTTACGTAGGCATAGAATCTTTAGGGTGCTATCTAGTATAAGGTTAATAGCGTAAGATGTAACTAGCTTATCCTTTATATGCTTAAGTTATATATGTAAAGTAAGATTCTCGAACTTTAGAAAGTAGCGATTTGGGTAGCTACAGCGTCTAATTGCTTTATACAGGTATACCTATGTTGCTCGTTCTTTGAATAGCTGGATCGCCACCCTCTTTGGGTTTTATGTGTTTCCAGCGCTCGGGCTAGGGGAGAGTGGTTTTGCGGTTAGGAGGGCGCTTTGCGTGGCTACAACTTCGCTCAGAGTGCCCTCCTCTTCTCTTGTTGTATATGCTTCATCATCCTGCCGCTGCTCTTCCAGGCGCTGCTGAAGCTCGCTTCGTAAGCTCTCGTACACGAGCCTGTCCCCATCAGCCCTTAGAGTGGGGAGGATGTTGGTGATATCCTGGATGTGCTTCTGGATAGTGAGGTGTGCATCGGTAGCATTGGTGATTTCCTTGACCTTCGTTTCGTCTGCGCATTCAGTCGTTGGTGTCACTGTCTGCAAGTCTGGTTTCGGGCGCTTCGAACTGGTATCATCCTGTGCGGCGTTAAGAGATAGACGCTCCAAGAAGAAGTTCTTGATTGTGGTCTGCTTCTTCATTTCGAGGCGATACTGTATGAGATAGATGCATGGATGAGGCTTGCGGTGCCGTGAAGCTTAGGGTCACTCGAGTCTCGCAGCGCGTGGAGAGCGTGACAACGCGACGAGACGCGTCGAACCTCGTCACCGCAGCCATTACCGCGTCTAGCTCAGGTTTCACAGCTATTGAACATCTTTTCGGGATTTTATGGGAAAGATGCTCACTAACAGTACACCTCTTCCTTCAGAGCACCCATCCTCTGCTTCAGCGGGCGTCGCCAGTCGAGCCTCGCTAACCATACACCTATACCTAGCTACGACATGGTCTTACGCATTGGAGCCTGCAATACGCTTCTCTGCCCTTTTTTTTTCTACTGTCAAGACTGTTTCTGCCGTCAAGCGAGCCTCACTGAACGAGCCTCACTAGGCATGAACCTGTGTGTAGCTAGATTTGTGTGTCTTACACTCGCGGTATGCCTTCTAGGCTCTAGAGTTAATTCTCGAGATTGTTTCTATCTCTTTGTGAGGCTCACTATACAAGCCTCACTTAACGAGCCACCCTGGTTGTACGCCTATGTGTGGCTGTAGCTGAGTAGTGCACGCTCGCAATGCGCCTCTCAACTTTCAAGGCTTGTAATTCTATATCAAGAAATATAATTAGAGAGGTGGATTTTTAAGAGACATAGCTTTACTAGCTAGGCCCTTAGGGATTTCGAGGCTCTTTCTGTGAGCCTCTGTCAGACAAGAGGCTTTTAGAGACGCAGATTAATGCTACGTTAAGAAAGAGAGGCACACTACATTGCGACTATTATATTACAAGGGAAAAGAGTTCATATTGTTTGACGTGGGATGTAGAGTTGGAGGATGCAGACAAACGACGTTACCTACCTAGGTAAGTTCTGGTTCTGGTGAATAAGCATGCAGGTGGCGCGTTACGGTACCTAGTCGCGCTTCACCATCCTATTGGGCTGGCCCGCCAACCTCGCGCCACGAGAGTGTAACGTCGCTTTTTCGGCGGTAAAGGCCTACTGTATCGCGATAGTCATTGGTTTTGAGCTCTGGGGAACGGCTGATTGTATGGCATTCATCTAAATCGCCAATCACTAGTGATAATTACTCAGAGACATATAACTTAGTGAAATAGCGTTCACCTTTGCCCACAAGTTCTTCACTGTATCAGCATAATGAACTATGAGAGATTGATGTTTGAATTGTTGTATGTCAAGCTATCTATTTCTTTCTGTATGGATGAGCGATAGATGTAACAGGAACTTAGGTGGTTGGTTGCACAGTCGTGCCCCGAAACAGCGAGAGAAGGATTTTTTATGGCGTTTCAAATCACATCAATCACCATTGTGATTCTTGCAATTGAGCTGACTATATCGTGGAACAGATTTCAGGACGTGGACTGTGCTAAAACCATCGGCCAGTTTATTCCACTAGCGATTAGCGTCGCTGGCGTTATACAGCTTCTTCTACAGTTCCTTCCTGCGGAATACAGAGCAAACAGATTTCTCGAAGTATATCGGGCATTGCGACAGGGAGCAAACATCTATGCTAAGCTTGTTACAAGTATAGTTCGCAGACCAACACAGGACGACGATGAGGTGCAGAGTACGGCCGAACAAGCGAGTGAAAAAGGACTGCAGGTTATTATCATATCCTCGACTGAAGACGTGTAAAAGTTCTCATCGTAAGGAGGGATATCAGATAGCTTATAAGTAGAATTACCATCGCAAGAAGTGGTGTCATCATACTGTGCCCGTCTGGTGTCATTGTCTTGGAAGGTTTCTGTCGGGAAAGTCTGCGCATTATATGCCACACGTCCTTCTTGTCATTGATGAAACATAGCAGGCTTGCAGTGTACCATGGGTAGATTGAGACACGATTGGAGGTAAGTGAGATTAGAAAATGTTGAGACATTGACAGGTAATAAACAGTATGACTCAATATAGAAAAGACAGCTACAGGAACCGAGTATCTTAGTGAGCTTATTACGTTGGTGATATACAGCAGAAAGAGGCTTGCCAATGTAACACCTGTTCATGTGGAAGTTTTAGTAAGGATCATACACTTTGAGACTCGGTCTTGCCAAATGTAGCGTTCTCAAAATCTAGTCATTGTTGAATGAACGTTAAAAAAGGTCTGGAACATGTCTTGTCTTCCGGAGAGATGTTTCTATTTTCGGAGCTTGTTGACGTCGGTTCACTCAACACAGTCCTGTTGTGGGTCAGTGGAAGGGATCCGGCGTGGGTCTAGGTTCAGCTCAACACGAGCAGGACGCGTGTTGCTTACGCCTCCTCACGGACCTGGGAGAACGTTATTTAAGTACAGTGTTTCAGCCATCACTTCGTCACGTTCATTCCTGGCTACCAACACCGTTGTTTACTGCGTCGACTGATTAAATATTAAGCTATTTACAACTATCTACCAACACCAACACCAAACTCGCTCGCTCGAACGAAAAACCAGCAAACCAGGATGCAGAAGCATTACAGCCAGAGCCATCACATGGAGATCCATCAATCCGCCCGTTCAGTGTTTCCTCCCCTCATCAAATCCAAAAAAAGTCAAAAAGGTATATTGCGAATCGTTGCCCAGAAGAATAACAGCATCGCGTCGTAAAGAAACGTTATAGTGAAGACGAGCAACAGGCTACTGCAAGATGCATGACTTCAGATAAACTCATGACATCTTGGTGCAGCCTGATGCTACGAACGTAGAAAGCAGGAGTAGACAAAAGTATGTCTACAAAGCGAGCATACCAAGAACGAGAGCAGCACCAAGACCGGCGCCGACAGAGAGCCTGGAAGCGGCGCCTTCGAAGGGAGGTGGGATGGAAGAAGCAGTGTCGCTGGGACTCAGTGTTACACTGATGCTAGCACCTCCAGTAGCGCTCATGGTAGGCTTGACCATGGTGCTGTTCATTCCAGTTGGGTATGGCGTAATTTTAGCGCTAGAGCTCTCTACAACACTGCTGCTCTTCACGACGTACGCGCTAGAAGATGGCGTAGGAGTCGGTGTTGGCGTAGCTTGAACGGCAGCAGGGTAGATTTGAGGCAAGAGGCTCTGAACGTCCGTTGGGAGCGCTTGGTACCAAGTTGGTGTGTTGCCAGCTGAGAGAGACGATGCCATCTCAGCCGCGAATGCAGAGGACGATGCGAGCGCGTATGCTACGCTATCCGATGGGATCGCCTGAGCGAGGACCATGAGAACGGATTGCTGAACTTCGGGTCTGCGTTACCAGCATGTTAGCAAGGATCTAGAGGTGATTATCGCGGGTGAGCCGCGTCGTAGTCGCGTTGCGGATGAGATCAGGCAGATGGGGATGTGGATTGTGGAGATGTCTTACGCAACAGCATCCTGAGCCCTCGCGCCCATGGCAAGCGCACCCAACGCCATCATCATAGTGTTTGCCTTCATCTTGACTGTTGTTTCGTGTTGAATATCGTAATTACAATGAGTGTGATAGTCCCGCGTGTGACGTGTGGCTTAGAACAACGGACCGACGTTTATTAAAGAATGTGGAGAAAGCTGACGATGACGGGCAGCAACAGCAAACGCAGGGTCGCAAAAAAGTAATGAGCGTAGAGGTTTGGAGAGCGATGCGGCGAGAAGAGATGAGAAGGGAGGATCCCCGGCAGTATTTGAAACTGGGGCCCGACTCAGGAACTCACGATGGTTTGCTCGCCTCAGGCCCTTTGAGGGGGGCATGGCGGCTAACGGAAGGTGGAAAAATAAGATTACAACACCAATCTTGTGACAAGGCTGCGGGCGAACAAATAGCCATTGGAATTGGAATTGGCGCGCAAGCGAAAGTGATTCGTCGATCGGGTTTGCTCCTTTATGCTGTAATGTTTCTGGTTGGATGGGCGTTTAGATGCGCGACGTTTGATTGTTCGTTCTTCTGCCCGTTTGTCACCACTCCACAACTTCAAACACTCAACATAGTCGGCCATCGTGATGCGCGATATCCTCACCGCAATGCGATAGCGGATAGCGGCGCTCAGAGCCATGGGCCTCATCTCCTTGAAGCGCGGAGAAGCTCCTTTAGCAGGCCAATGAGGACTATGAGCCATGTCGCTAGCGGCAGGGTCAAATTTCCACTTTTTAAACAAGACAGGGGGTTCTGCGAGCCGTCTCCAGGGCAGCCCACATGGCCTCAACCCGAATGATGCAGGGACAGATGAGCTGCATATGTTATACTTTGCAGCCTCGTTTTGTCACTTGAGTAGCTTGAGCTGCGTCATAAGTGCGCTCGCGATGCTACAACGCGTGAGTGCCTTCTATCGTACTGTGGCCCCAGATCCAGTGGGTAGAGATGATGCTCCACAAAGTCAATAGCTCCCTCGCGATATTCCATGGTAGATGATTGGCGAACTGAAAACCAACAAGCGACACTGCACATCGCAATTACCCCGGCAACTCGGCAGTGTTGCCCAGATAGAAGAATACCAAGTGCCTTCTGCTCTTGCTCCATCAAGACATCGCGAACTTGGCCATCGCGTTGATCAGCATGCGAAATCTCGTTTATAACGGCGCGTGTTCTTTTGGGTGATTACACCGTCGAACAACGGCAAATGGCCAGGAAGAAGACGAGAAGACATGTCGGCGGTGTGGGTGATAAAGGAGCGGGCCTCGCTATCTCACATTATTACGTACTATTGTTGCTTATCCAAAAACCTTCTGGCGAACCTGACATGTGCTGCGACGACAATACAGCCATCCACGAGAGAACTGCGAGACGAGAGTAGAGTCCACAGCAAGCTGGTTCATTCGAGGTAACTACATCGCATCAGATGACATTGCCAAAAGAGCTTGGGCAAGCGTGATTGAGATCTACAGCATCCATCTACACAGTAAGCCTCACGATTGAGGCTGACGTGATTCACAAAAGCGCCAAATGGTTCCATCTCAAATCTCCATCTCCATTGCCCGCGACACTCCCGCGACAGCGGTATGGCTCTGACCACCGACACGCTCGCCACACTCGGGACAACGCGCCACCTCCATAGGCATGCCGCACTCTCCGATCGCGAACTGCATTGCGTTAGAATATACTTTGTGAGAGTGAAGAGCAGTAACTTACCGGATGTCCGTTGACACATTTGTACCAGTGTCCAGAGTGAGTTGCGATGCCGCCGCGCCCGCTGACCATAGCCTGTTTGATAGACTCCAGCTCCTCCTTCGATACCGCCTCATAAAACTCTTTGCTCAGCATCTCTGATGCAGCAGTAATGGCCTGGCGGAAATTATCTCTACCACCGAAAGGATGCCCACAGAGCTTATCAGCCGTCATCAAGAGAACCCTGGCGAGTTTGCGGTAGTCGATAGCTTTCGCGCGGTCGTTGTCTTGACCAGACTGAGCACTACCGAAGGACTGAGCGATCTGGGCGTAGTGTAGTATAGCCTCAACTGCGAGTTTGGGCAGACTCTCATGGATACAATCACCGATAAGCTTTTCAGTGTCTTTCATAAACTGATGCGTCTTGACGAGCGGCAAACCCCCGGAAAAACTAAGGGGCAATTTACTCAGGAGATTTTTCCGGACTACGACACGCATGATCTCAAAGTTGTCTTCGAGCACCAAGCAACGAACCTTGATCTCGAGCAGTCTACCCCCAAGAGTAATACGTTGGTCGCGATCGCGCTTGTTGGACGTTTCCGAAGAATCAATCGTCAACTTTGCAAAATCGGCGTTCAATGAATCGTCTCGCGATATACTATGAAGAGTTGCTTGGTGCAGCTTGTAGGTCGGCTGATGTCGAATGTCCATCCGGCGTTGGAATGCTTTGACTGCATTCAATAGCTTGGTAGTGTCCCCAGAGCGGTTCCTGATCTCGTCGTTGATGGATTGCATGGTGAACTCGTGAGCCGCCTCGCCACGTAGCTTGACGATTTCAGCCGGGACAACACCCTTTTGCGATGCCTCAAGCTCTTTTCGAACTTCTTCAAGCTGGCCTTGTAGTTGCTGCAGTTCCTGTTGACCGTTTACGATGAACCGTTTAGACATCTCGTCGATGACAGCCCGGTTAATGAGTCGATTATAGCGCTGAGTAACATATTGTTTGATAGGCTCTCGACAGTTCGGACATTGTGGAATTGATGCGGAAAGCTCAGCATTCTCAATCAGCCCGGTAAAAAGGCCCGTGGATGCGTCGAGACTGTACACGTCTTTGAGACCGACAAGTCCATCCAGTGTTTCAATCGTGAAGAAATGCCCGCAACTGAGAACGACTATAGGCGAGTCATTCAAGTCAATGTCAGCATACGGCAACATCATGATCATGTCTGGCTGCTCTTCAGGTTTCATGCCACACTCTTGACAGTAGTCCTCAGGGCATACTTCACCGCAGATGCTCGGACATTGGTGACCGCATAGAAGGAGCTTCGTACAACGTTCGTCGCAGGGCAAGCGACTGCACGGAGCCGAACAGGGCATCTTGCAGTCGCCTTGGTGCTCGCATGACCAAACACATGGCTCAATGCACGGCGCACAAGGCTCATGACACCTCTGCGGGCATCTAGTGTGCTTGCAACGTACCTAGATGGAGTCAGAATACAATTTGAGGATAGATAGATAAATAGATGTCACTCACTTCACATGGCGCTTGACACAGACCGCAATCTGTACCATCGTGGCATAGGCGATTGCAATCGTGGTTGCAAGTTCCATGTTTTCTCCCGCATGTCTTCGTGCAAGCTGCGTGCTTGACAACCGGTTGGTTATACATATCTTTAGTGTTGCACTGACCGCAAGTTCCAGGGCATGGATGGCCGCAAGACAGAGGCGCACTGCATGGAGTAGGGCACTTGAAATCTTTTCCCGAAACATCTTTTGAGCATTTCACGATTACATCATGTCCACAGCCAGGTACGGGCTTTGAGACCTTGACGTCGCATGGTATGCTGGACATGTTTCGGGTACGATGACAGGCGACACCATGCTTGACATGACCGCATGGAAGTTGTACGTTATCGAGTAGGATCATGCATTTTCCACAAGGCTCTCCGCACGTGGCTTTCTGGCATGCGTGACCACAAGGCTGATGTCGGCGCTGGCATGGCTGCTCGCACAGGAAGACTGCATGCATCGCTTCCGAATGGCATCGGGCCCCGCATTGATGACCACACTCGAGACGATCGGCGCATGCTTCTCTGCAACCCCCTTCAGGACTTAGCCTATGGAAGTCCTCAGGTTGCTGTACTTCAGCGTCCGTATCGGGATGCCGAGGGCAGGACAGAGCCAGGGCCTTACCAACTGAGTCGGTCGCACGTAGCATGCCAATGACCTTCTGCCACATCTCGACGCTAGAGTATGTGTCTGCGTTACCAATGAGATACATGCCATGCTGAGCGCGACTCAACAAGACATTGATACGGTTTGTTGTCTTGAGAAATCCGACATTTTGCCTCTCGTTGCTTCGAACAAGCGAGACGATGATAATTTTGGCCTCTTCACCTTGGAAGTTGTCAACCGTAGCGATTCTTAATAGCTCCGAGAGCTGCTTCTTTTCCAACGGCTTGCCTTGATGGCTCTCATGATCGGTTGTCGCAACGTCCGGACTGCTGTCGCTGTCCACTGCAAAACCATCCCTCTCGAGCGCTTCTTTGTCGCGATCGCTGAGACAAATCTCAAAATCGCTGCGCATAGCAGCTCGGAGTTTCTGAAGCTGGCCAGTATATGGTGTTAATACCGCGATATCATCTGACTTGTAAACACCTTGTCGAACGACATGCCGGACTAGTGCATGCACCATCTTGACTTCCCACAAATTGGATTTGGATTTGGTGTTGTGTATTTCGCTATCCTTCTCGTTCTCGAGGTTGGTGTGATCAAGCCAGAAGACGTTGTGGCGCAATCCGACAACGTCAGGCAGCTCTGTGGTAGATACATGATCCTTCAGTCTATCGTATATGGTCTTGCGAATCAGCGAGGATATCTGCGGGCGCATACGACGTTGTACGTTCAGCTGAGCAACGGGCATAAGAGGCCGCTCAGGCTCACCAATTGAGAGGCGTTCGAACTGACTCCTGTCAAGCGCATGGAGCTTTCCTCGATCGCTTTCGAGCGACAAGTCGCGGAAATTGCTGACTGAAGGCCGGAGTTGCTCGTGATCACCAATCTGGATCAAATGCTCAACATCAGGAAGTAGCGCAGAAATCATGTGGCTTTCCATGACCTCTCCCGCTTCCTCGCAGATGATAACCTTACACTTCACCTGCTGGAGCAATGAGATACGTTTTGCCAACCCAGAGGTCGTGACACCGATGACATCTGAATTCTCTAGCAGTCGACGATTGCGCTCTTCGTGGATGTTGCTCAGTTCGCGTTGAGTCTTGGTAGCGTTGTTTACAATCTCAAAAAGCTCACTTGTCTTATTGTTTTGAGCCTCAGAAACCCAATGAGCGATCAGTGCGCTCCTCTCGTGAACTGACAGGGAGAACACATTTTCAGTAGCCCTCTGTACGACTTGTCGTAAGATCTCCGGGGATAGTACTGGACGATGGTGTGTTTCACTACCTGCAATCCATACGTCGAATGGATGACGGCCAGCCGTCTGGAAGCCTTGATCATCAACACGACGGAACTGGTTGTAGATTCTTGGGTATTCCTCGTGGATATGGGCTTTGAGATTTTGCCACTGCGCACGCTTTGACAAGCCGTGAAGACCAGAAAAGGTCTTTACAGCCTCACTCTCATTCTCGTCCAGGTTCCTGTACCTCACAGCCGCCATGTACTTCTCGGATTTGGTTTTGGTCTCCTGGTCGCCGATGGTACGAAGGTTGTGGTTGAAGAGCTTTTTCGACTTACTCATGCCTCCGATACGAATGAGCTTTTTCACGCCGATGTCTAGTAGATGTTCCAGAAACTGGTCCAAGGCATGGTTCGTATAGCATACGATAAGTATGGGCCCAAGGTCCTTCTTCTTCTTCTTGATATCCAGCAGTATTCTCATGATCTGGAGACCCAAATAGCTCTTTCCAGTACCTGGAGGTCCTTGAATGAACGCAAATTCGCGGGTCAACGCAGCAACTAATGCGCGACACTGTCCGCGATCAAGCTGTGTCTTGTTCTCAAGCTTGTCAAGGAGCGCCTCGTCGTCGCATGATGACGTCGGTTCGATCGAAAATGGCTCGCCATTCTTGTCCTTCATGAGCGTTGTGGCTGGGAACCGGAAGCCAGAAGTGCGCGCGTAGAGGGGTGGAGGAATCTTCTGAACTCCACGTGCCCCTGGGGTACCACTGTGTTTGTCTGGAACAATCCATTGCCGGAAGGGCAGACGGTTCAGCCGATGCATAGCCTGTAGACTCTCTAAAGTGGGTGCAAATGTCGCTGGCATGACCTTAGGAAACTCCAGCAAGAGGCCGCGGGTCACTCCAATGTTTGCGCGCATGAGCATCTTGACTGTTGCTCGGTCTTCAGTCACCAAACTCGTCATGACGTAAGCCATCTGGTGGTTGTGTGTGAGACTATACTCCTTCTTGGGATCTGTGGTCTTGTCTGAGACAGTGAGGAAGATGTGTTGAACAACGTTTTCTTGGATCCAGATGAATGAGAGGAGCGACCCGTTATCGAATCGCCGGGACTCCTCCCACCACTTCACCTTCTGATCAGCATTTTTCTTTCGAACGGTTGCAGGCTGTAAGAATTCCATCTGAGCCTGTAGGCCCTTTCGCTTGTCGAGTGTGACATAGGAGACACGAGCGTTGGCGTACTGGTTGGCGCGCATGTCTCCAAGATTGGCATAGGACAGCGCATTGGGATCTTGAGATACCGCATGCATGATACCAGCCAAAGAACCCTTCAGTTCTCCGAAGATGTCGTGGCGCATGAGCCGAAAATAAGTGTCGATGTGGCGTTGTACAGGGTCTTCCAGGAAATGGGGCTGATCTGGATCCGTATATGGCAGGAATTCTTTCTCATCGGTCATAATCTCATCACGAGTCGGAAAGAGTATTAGGTCACCGATGTCCTTTTTGTCGTTGTCGAAGCGGCCTGAAGGAACTACCAAGTCTCTTGGATAGAAAGACTTCTGGTCTCTAGCATCGTCGTGATCGCCAGTGTCATCGTCGCCTACACCGTCAGCAAGCATTCCTTGCGCACGTGCTACCAGGGCTCGAATGTCGTTGAGACGATTGGTGGTTCTTGCCGAAGTATCGGGGGAGTCCTTGTAAGCATCGTTTGCAGCCTGGATTGAGTCCACCAGCGGTATGACATCGTCATTGAATCTTGCTCTTCGCTCCCGGTTCAACAGCTCAAGTAGCGCCATCGCCATCGCCAGGAGTGTTGTTTGATGGTCCTCAGTAGAGAATGTAGAGGATCTAGTTGTTCGAGCTGCTGAGAGAGCATTGGAGACCCGCTGCAGATATTGAACTGCCGTACGTCCAGCGACCCCGCCGAAGAGGTTATAGATCGATCCGACATGTGTGTCGACCGCAAGACAACGTAGGAGCGATGAGTGCGTAATCGTGAGGAGGAAATTACGAGCATTGCCAAGGAAGGTACCGTAGTCTGAGCCAGCAACCGTCGTGCGTAGAATGGCGAGAATGTGGCGATGACCGCTCTCGTCATCCGAATCATCGAGATCTTGCGGGAACTGTTGGCGCCAGTCTCTGTCTCCGTTTTCGAGTATGCCCAATGCACCTTCCCTAAGGTTTTGGTGTAGCAAGTCAGTGCGTGTCTCATGTGCGATTCGTAAAATGAAGCACTTACCAAAGGCGCCGCATAGTTGTCGGATCAGTCTCCGCCTCACCAAGATGGCGCTTCCAGGAGCTGTATGACTTTCTGGCCTCTTTCTGCTCGTCTGTCTCTTTGGCTCTCATAGGCTTTGACTCATGCTGTGGGTGGCCATTGTGACCGCTGAACGAGTTGCCGCCACGACCGCGACCGCGACCGCGACCAGGACCTCTACCTCCTCGCCAGCCTCGTTCGCCTCGTCCGCCACGTGAACCGCGTCCGCCGCCACGTCCAGACATATTGAATCTTTTCAAGCGGAAGTTCGAGTGTATGTTGCGAAACAATGTGTTGCTGCAAAGATTGTGTTGTTGGCGACTCTTGCTGGGAAGGAGCGACTCTTCAGCGTTTGTGTTGACGCTAGCCGGAAAGCCTTTCGTGCTGTGATGAGAGGTGAAGGTGAGGTATCGAATTCCTTTTATCTGCGGTGGAATAGCGGGCACCAGTCAATGGCGGACAAAAATGCGTGCATACGGCGTATGCATGCGGGCGCGTACACCACCCAATTCTGGTGTTCCAGCTTTTCAGCCTCGCCAGCGCGTACATGTATCGATTCCAGGATTCCAGCTCTTCAGCCTCGCAACATATCTAGGCAGAAGCTCTACGCATGATAAACAGAACTGCTTTGGGCAACATCTTATCTGCCTTTGTGCCTATCTTCATGCCTGAGGTATCCCTATTCTGGGAGGCCGCCACTATGACGTAACGAAAGCAAGAAGGAGACAGAGCGAGTGGTCGTACTTTCCAGTAGAGGATGAGAACTAGCATGAAAATAGAGATGTGGATTTGAGACAAAACATAAACATGATACGGATAGATCCAAGACTTCACAGTAATACCCCACTGTGACGCCTACGCAGAACGCCAGCTATGCAACACTACCTTATGCATATCCCTGAACATTACTTCGTGCTGACATCCGGAAACAAAACCTGAATCATCTCGTCTAGCAGTGTGAAAGCAATATGCGTACTGTATCTTGTTAGCTCTACTCAATACCCTGAACTCACTTGTAAACTTACTTCAGTCTCGTATTATTAATAGTCCCCTCAATCTTCTTCGCCGCTAACTGCGCATTCTGCCTCCCCACCACACTACTCGCCAACTCAGGCACAAGTGTACTGAGGACCTCGCTCGCCGCTTTCCTACTCCCCTCTTTGTCCTTGCCAGTCCTCTCAACGCCTGCCTTCATCCTGCCGTTGGGCCACATGCTATCCTTCAACGTATCAATGTACTTGACGATGTTGTTTTCAGACAGCAGGTTGTCAAAAGATTCGCGGACTTTGCGTTCGATGGTGCCACCAAGAAGTTGGTGGAGGACTACAACGACGGCACGACCTCGAAGCCAGTTGTTCTCGCGGTTTAGCTCAAAGGTCTCAAGGAAAATGTCGCAGATTGGTTTTACGAAAGGCTCGAGCTCTTTGTTTTCGAAGGCGAGGAGCTCAGCCTCTGCCTCTGCGTCGTTATTGGGTTCGCCGGCGACGAGAACACCGGACGAAGAGAGGTTGCCAGGTTGGGCTGTTGAGCCGTTTGTATTCGCGAGCTGGGTGGTAGCGGCTGATATGAGGTTTTGACCTGCGACAGATAGTTGATCGAGTACAGGTATGTTGCCCAGGAATTCTTCCATGCCATCTGCGACCGAGTTGTAGATGCGAGTCACAAAGTCGTTGGAGTTAGGATTCTGGTTTCTTAACGCATCGGCAGGACTGATCGCCGCCTGAGAAAGGAAGGCGCGTAGTTCACGACTGCGGCACACAGCTGGGATGAGTAGAAGCTCCCTCAGGTACTTCTCAAGACCAAGCCGTCTCTTGTGTAGGAAATCTTTTTGAAGCTTAAGCATCATCTGCCGTCGCGGGAACTCTAGATTTCGAACTTGGGGAAATTTTACTCGAAGCCTTTTGTTCAGTTCGTGGAACTCGCTATACCGCCGTGAGACGACCCAAGTAGCGGCAGGCATCTGATCACCAGCACGTCGTCGGACTTCGATGACATACATAGCGTACTCCTTACCATCTTCCTCGGTACCGACCATGATAGATTGAATGAATACAGTGGCTCGTCCATACAAGCTGTTATCGCTCTCCTGGACAATGTACTGCTGACGTTGTAGCTCCTTCCTCTGTATCTCTCGCTGGAGACTGGCTTTCGATTTTCGTAAGATCCTCAGTTCGGCAGCGTTATTTGTCAACTCCGCCTTCGATGTAAGAGAGTCAACGATAGACTCTTGCGATACAAGACGCTCGATATCTGCAGTAAGTGCATCGATAGCTTCAGCAAGACCCAGATCTCCAGGTGCTGCCTCATGTATCTCTTCCTCATCGGCTTTGCTTCTTGGTAAGGGGTCATCGATCTCATCTTCCAGAAATCTTTCCTCATCGCCAAAAATATCATCATCAAAGACTCCACGTGTTCTGGGCTCTCCAACTAGACCCAGTGATGCTATACTTGGCTTGAGGTCTTCCTTGCTTTGATGTGATTGTCCTTGAGGACGCGGGGACGACACTCGTTGTATATCAGCGGATCCATGCATTGAGACATTGTCTATTGGCGATTTTAGACTTGGCTCGTAGAAGATAGACCCTTCAGGCTCATCCATGATGTCAATAATAGCAGCTTGCATGGCGTCGACCACCTGCGTGTTGTTACCATTGGTGCGGCCATGGCCAAAGTCGGAGTTGAGGCTTGCGGTCGAGTGTGCAAGAGGGTCGGAGTCGTAGTCGTCGTCAAACAGAGGCGTGCGTGCAGATGATGGCGTCTGTACATCTAGAGAGCGTCGTGCGGGCGGTTCGACGTTCTTGACATTTCCTTGGCTCTTCAGATCTGACGATGATGCAACGGCTCGACGCAGGTCTCCATGCGGGATCTGCAACGCACTCTTCTGCCGTGACTGGGTCCGGACCATAGCAGGCGCCGCCGTGGACGAGTTGTCAAGGGTTTGCGCTACAGTCCTGGTATTAACGGTGCTATTCTGAGCGTTTGCTGCCTCGTCCATGGCTAGCCACTTGTAGTACAGATTAGATTTTTTGAACCTCCGAAAATAGGGTTCCTGTAACTGGTCGTATGCTGCCGTCTGCGCACGCAATAACGAACGCCTCGCATTATGATATTGCTGCGGTGTTGCCTTTCGTCCAGCTTTGAGAAACTCTGAAACCGCCTGCCGTGCCTCAGGTAGTATCTTCAGCTCCGGTTTTGACAGGTAACCATCGTGAATCTGCGCAAGATCTGCACGATCAGACTCTGTCCAGGCAGGAAGCGCGCCTATATAGTCTGGCGCTTCTTCAGTCTCTACTTCCAGTGGATTGCGGAAGCCATCCACCACAATCCAGAATTGTACCAGCCTCATCAGGTCTGCCTGATCCATGAACTCCATAAAGCAAGACAGGCCCGAGGCATCGTACAGCACTTCGCGCAGAGACGCGTTTGCGAACTTGGACGAGGTACGTTTGTGCTTGGGCTTCTCCTGTTCGGCAACTTTTGCCCGAACCGAGCCACCAGCGCTGAGGTTGGCGACCTTTGTATCCAGGATTTGCCGCGCTGTTTCTAGGCGCCGGAGGTACACAGGGTCTTGACCCTCTACCATTGAGTCCTTCCGTAGTTGGCTTGACACCTCGCTACGAAATCGTCTGGCATCTGCAAGGGTATTGGTTTGCCGGATGGCTCGTATGAAACGTTCGAATCGTCGCTCATTATCACCGGGCGCAAGCTTCGGGAATTGAACATTCTTGAGGTTTTTCGGTGACGGCGGAGCGTGCTCGTCGAGGGCAGCTCGAATCTTGCGAACAGTCTTCCTTTCTTGGATCAAAGATTTTCCCTACCATGTTAGCTACGTCCTACTACGAGCGGGTAGACTCTTACATAGCCCTCCATAAGCTGATTCCACATGTCTGGGTCAGCAAGCATCTGCATCACAGGAAATAAGACTGCGCAGGCTACAAGCTCTTTGATCAGTACATTGACGGCAGGACTGGTGGACATGTTCGCAGGTATGATCGTGGGCAGTAATCGCGCGACGATGCTTCGTAGATGTTGCTGCTGTATAGGCTTGGTATTCGAATATGCCAGCGAAGCCGCCGGATGCAATCGACCCTCCTTGTATTTGGCTGCAATGGCCAGGTCAAGCTCCTCAGAATCCGTGATATCCCGTGACAGCTTGCGTCCACGAACTATGCGTTCTGCCTCGTACGATGCTCGCAAGTGGTCCGTGATAAGAGGTATCATGCGCGATACAACTGTCTCCACCATATCCACTGCCAGTATGCGTTCTCGCACTTCGCCCATTGAAGCCCGTATTGCCCGGTCCACCTCGTTGACGAATGTTGGGCTTTTGCTTATACTGCCATACCAGCTCTTCACAAAGTCGCGCAGTATCAGCCCAATCAGCACGTCAATGCTGTCCGATATCATGAAGGACGCGGGGTATAGTGGCTCCATCATGTACGTGTTCCTCAGGTTCATGGCCTCCCTCTCAGCCTTCCACCTGTCTGGCGCAACGAAGGCGACATGGCGCGGCCCGTAGTCGACCTTCCCGCCGCTTCGCACGTCTCTGTCCCAGGCAATCGTAAAGGTGAGCCATGCTAGCAGCGCAAGCGTCGCGAGCACTCCGGCGATAAAGGCGTAGGGTAGGTAGTGTAGCTTCGGCTGCCAATGAGTCAGGTACCCCCAGGCGATGAAGATGGCGATAGCGGCGAAGACCAGATCTCTGCGCTTCACGGGGGCCATAATCGTGCGGGTGCCGCCCGTTTCTGCATCTTGAGCGGGATGGTTGGGAGTGCGGGAGGCTTGGTGTTCTTTGGACAACCCACTTTCAAGCTTAGACCACTGACGTATCCCGCGTATTCCGTATTCACATGCATCAGGCTGGGCACACTTGCTATTGCACAGCTTCATATTGGCCTGGACAAGCCTGAGGTGAAAGTTACTTGTTGAACTATCTGTATCATGCTGAGTCTTTATATGCGCTATCGATGACCGAGGAAATGATTGCGCTCTCCGTGCTTGGTATAACCTCCTATGCAAACAATGCCATGATCCCAATAATGTTACATTCTTGACGCCAATCCAACTCCGAACACTATGCACAGGCTGCTTCGTCTCTTCAAGGCAATCTAGAACTTCCGCCTTCCGAGTGTCGGCTTCCAGTCGAGTGGATGTGTCTCTTCAGTCGCGTTCTCGTCCTGCTTCCAAATCTTGATTGACTTGTCCGACTCTCCAGTGATGAGACGCAGACCAGTCTTGTCAAACGTCGAACACATGACGCCTGCTTCCGCTTCAAGAGAACCCGGTTGCGCGATGCTTTCTGTGTGCTGGAAGCGGTGACCTGTCTTCCAGTCGTAGAATGAGGCCTCGCCATTGTCGCTACCAGCGAACATGATGTTGTCCTCGTTGACAGAGAGCGTGTTGATGATGCTGTTGACAGGCGAGAAGTTCTGCATAAAGTTGCCTTCTGGACACAGCCATTGCTTCGCCGATTGCGCAGATCCAGAGGCGAATGTGAATTCTGTTGGATGTGTGGCAAGAGACCGAACAGACTTTTTGTGGTGGGTAAGTACCGTACGCGTCTTTCCCGCGACAAGATCCCAGAGTCGTATTGTGCTGTCCATGCTTCCGGAAATAACCTGAGGTTCGGCTTCTTGGCATTGGATTGAGGAAATGGTTCCCTTGTGGCCTCCGAGGACATGGATGTTGCTGCGCGATCGCATGTCCCAAACGCGGACTACACCGTCTCGTCCTCCTGTGCAGAGCACATCTACGGTCGGATGGAGCGAAAGCGAGTAGACTCCGCTCAAGTGGCCGTGGTAATGTCTGATGACCTTGTTGGTCTCGAGATCCCAGCACTTGACCATCTTGTCTTCTCCGCAAGAGAAAAGGTATGGGTGTCTTGGGCTCACTGCGAGCCCTCTAACTGCCGAAATGTGTCCTGTCAATGTAATCTTCAGTTGACCAGTGGCCAGATCCCAAAGTTTGATCGTCCTATCTGCGGCACCCGTAGCGAACCATTGGTTTCCAGGCTCCATTGCCACTGATCGCACCTATACAAAGTCAGTTGCTGCCGCTGTTGCGCACGATCTTATTGTGTTACTTACCCATCCCATATGTCCGCTAATGACCGTCTTGACCTTCCAGGGCGCATGCCAGTCAGGCTTCGCTTGACGAACCACGTCCTTCCTCACCAGCGCGCTAGACGTCTGGTCTCTATTTGGCGTAGGTCCTTGGGCATTTGGCGCGGCGCCCTTTCCTCCGGCCCTCACTGCTAGCTGCATCGACTGCGCGTCGCGTGCTTTGTCCGCCTTCTCTGCGACACCATCTATCATCCTCTGCATCTTAGGATCTGATGCCTTCTCTTCGGCATTCTGCGCCTTGATCTTTTTGCGTCGTTCGGCCGCCGTGGATGCTGCGCTGGCCATTTTCGCGGCCAGTGCAGGTGGGAGCTCGCGTACATGCTCATATTCGTTGCGAATGCGCGATGCGACGCTGGCCTGGTCTGCCGCGGCTAAGGGTGCTGGTGTTGTCGGGTGGATCGAAAAACTGCCATTAGAGGCGTGGTCTAGTGCGGCGGGAGACGCAAAGTCGGCGGCAAATATCTCTCGTGTGCGCTTCGAAGAGGTTCTAACAAGCTGCTCCGCCGTGCTTTGGGGTCGCGAAGCTGCGGTCTCGGCCATGATGACGACGTGACGTGGAGGTGGGAGGTTTACTGGGCTAACGTAAGCTATGGTGGTTCGCGACTGCAGTGACGTTCATAAGAGAAACTTACGTTTTGATGTGTTGGGTGATACCAGAGGCCAACAGCTGGTCGTCGACTCTCCATCGCGAACATTGACGATGGAAGTTTCACTAGCGCGCCTGCCTCACCCAGCCGAGCTAACACCGAGGAATATCTTATCTGATCTCCAGGCTGCTATCTTCCAAGGCTGCTCAGCCTCGCAGTCGACTTGAGCACGACATATCTTGCTATCTTCACATCATCCCTGAATTTTTTATATAACGCGACGTGATCTTCTTGCAATCTTCACTTCATGGAATTGCTTACATATCCTCTAGTCTTGCGGCCACCATCGATCTACTTCGCTGCTTGTTGCATGGTCCAGCTTTATCCCGCCTGAGACTCTCAAATCCGGAATACATGTATATTTGGTTCTTCCTCGAAAGATGGCGTTCAAATTGGTTACATTCATGCCAAAACGCCCAGTGTCAGTTACTGCGCGAATTGGCAATGAGACCATAATCCAATCCACGAAATAGGATGGACATACATGTCTTGTGCGGATCCACCGTCGCAAAAGCCTCTGCTGGTGAACGCATCAAACCACAGGTCTGTTGCATTCTTTGAAGCGCAAACTTAAAAAAACGACAATTTGCGGAAATGGTTGCGTACAGTGTCTGCGTATCACACAATAGCATCACTCTCAACCATACCCTTTGCTCATAGTCACAGCTTAGTCTTCAACTAACTCTAACCTCTGGAAATGCAAGGATCGAAAGGTAGCATTCCATGATGTCCGAAAAATCGGGGCGCAGGATCCGTACGATACACGTCTCGACCAGAGGAAGAGCCTGGAATGTTGGGAGCTCGATGAGGTTACATGGCCGGTAACCTTGTACGTAAGAGAGCTGTTGAGCGATCTCACATGGGTGCCAACATCGGATCTCCCAATATCTGCGGTGGTTAAACGGTCCAATGCACGGCGCTCGCATGTACACACCACAATTCAAGACCTGCAGGGGGATACGAGGCTCCGCGCCGCAATATCGCAGAGCCACGGCGCGGAGCTCACATGTCAGATGCTGTTAACGGCATGCGTGGCATTCATCGAAAAATGTTTACACAAACATCACCGTGATCACGCTATACATCGCGAGTGCATCAACACGACCCGTTTACGTCCGTTGCTACTACGATGCTTGTTTCCCCAGATCTCCCGGGTTCTCCGCTTTGCAGCTCATGGCCCCAACTCCCCAGGCTTGCGCAAAAGCAGTGGATGGGCGCAAATACAAGCACATGCTGCCGAGGAACTTGAAGCCAGAGCCAGACCGAGCCACCAGATCCTTCCAGAGGAGGAAGCTGCCTCCGCGTAATATGACGCAGGAACGGCCAAACCCTTGCTCTTCAACAACAAGGCCGTAATGGTCGCATGACAGTACTGTACGCGTAGAGAGACACACACACACTACACCTGGAGATATACAAGACGACTGCTTCGGAGAACGGATTCTGTAAACACATGCAGGCACAGCAAGGCCGCCAGCGTCTCGCCACCCGACCTTGACTCTCCGAGAATTTTGCAGCGATGGGTGCTCGGATGGCACATCCGTTCAACAAGTGGGCCAGGTTCCTGGCGACTTTGCGCGACTAAATGGGGGAGCTTAGCCAGAAAGCCGTGCATGGATTGTCCCGGATGTATGGCCGAGAAGGGTCGAAGTTTTGCGGGGTTGTAACAACGGATTCAGCGCCAGCTATCGATTTTGTGTCGCCTTTTGCCTGCCGCCACCCATTGATCACAGTGCCCATATTCGAGGGTGAACACGCTGGCAAACATCTGCTCAAGCCAGTCAAATACGTTCTCGTTCGTTCTGCGTTCTGACATGTGTACCTTCCAAGACTGCCCCGGATTTTTGCGCTTCGCACCAACTCCGAAAGCGGTTAAATGGGAACGGCCAGCTCCGTCACTGGCTGCAAGTTGCCCAATGAGCAAAAGCTTCTAGTGTCTTGGCGCCTTAACAGGTTCTTCCCCCGTCCCTTGCCTGGAGTCGCCGTCGCACCAGTGCCAATGCTCACCAATGACATCAAATCGACATACCAATGGCTTTTTACATGGGGCATCTGCACTACAAACTCCTTGCAATTTCTATTCAATACGTCAAAAAACTTTATACTTGAGCTACGCGGATAATATCTCCTTTGTTTCAACCTTCATGAATCAAGACCACTTGTTCGGCGAGACGCGGCGCGCTTCGTTCCGTGGCAATGGCAAGCAATAGACTTTCCCATCGTCAGTCCAGTCTCGATCAGCCGCAGCTAGCAGTTGGTAGTCTGGGGTAGCGTCATCAAGCTCTACCACATTGAGCAATACCTCCAGGGGCTGCACGCAGATCTCGAATGGGGCGAACAAGATGCCCTTTGCGGTATCCACTTGGGTGCTACAGTGCTAGCTTGTTTCCCACCGGGACATGGGAGGCCTCGAGACGCGGTTGATATAAAGAGCTTGCGACAGTTCGCTCTTCGTTTTTCTGCAAGCTTCACTGTCGTTATACACATACCAAAGAACTCTCACTACACCGATCACTGTATCAACACCAGAACTTCCGTCAAAATGAAGACCTTCACCATCGCTACCATCGTCGCTCTGGCCTCCGTCGGTGCCGCTCAGCTTGACAACATCCCGTCTTGCGCTGTATGTTGTCAGAAACTTTTCATGGGTGTCATGTAAACTAACAGTGCACAGCTCAACTGCTTCGTCGGTCCCCTCACCAGCGACGGCTGCTCCTCTCTCACCGACTTCGCATGCCACTGCAAGAAGGGCGCTCAGCTCCTCTCCCAGGTCCAGCCCTGTGTTCAGGGTGCCTGCGGTCCTTCCGACCAGGCCGCCGCCATCTCCGCTGTTGAGTCCACCTGCTCTGCCGCTGGTGCTCCCATCAGCATCCCTGATGCCAGCGCTCCCGCTGCCAGCTCTGCTGTAGCCTCCGCTACATCTGCTGCTGCCTCAGCCGCCACCTCCATGGCTTCCTCCATGGCCTCCGAGGCATCCTCTGTCCTCTCCGAGGCCTCTTCTGCTGTCGCATCGGCTGCCTCTTCCATGTCATCCGAGATGTCCATGTCCGAGTCCATGTCCATGACCGCCACCCCTACCGGCACCGGCAGCATGAGCATGACCCCCTCTGCCTCCATGTCTGAGTTCACCGGTGGTGCTGCTCAGGCTACCCAGGCTGTCGGTATCCTCGGTGCCGCCGCCCTTGCCATGTTCGCTTTGTAGATACCCTTACGCTCTGGATGGTTGCATGAACCATCGACTGGTTAATCATGGTTGGGATTTAATGGCATGATGTTGGGACGGAATGATGGGAACTTTGTAACATTACCCCAAAAACGATAATGCGATATCTAATACCCTCAACTTCGCTGTTACTTTCATTTCCTCCGAATATCTTCACTCATCAATCGTCTGGCTCAAGGCATCGGCTGCACCCTTGCTGATATGTCGCAACTAATTTGACGGCCTAGTGACGTCAGGTGAAACGGATATGATGTTGCACAGATGAGCAGGCATGGATGATCATTGTTTCACTTGAATGGATGTTTCTTTCGGCATGTCATTGCGACAACATGATCCAATGCGTAACCCGTGTTAGTGCGCATGTTCCAGAAATCCGGGATCGGATAAGTATCTAGGGGCGTGACAGCTGCAGCTGTAAAAGCAAAGGGTTCGTTCAGTTGCTGTAGCTGTGAACTCATCCGTACGTCTGACGTTTCCTAGTCGAACATACTTCCACAGATGTACCGCTTGGATACAATGGATCGATAGACTAGGCGTCAGTCAAGAAGTGTCGATGATTCGACGGGTTGACGCTTGGAGTAGGAGTTATTGTCTGTTCGAGTTGATAGAAATTTGGCAGTCGACTATAACCCTGTAAACTTGCTGCTTTTCTACGCTGACGCATGCTCATCCCTTGAACCTTTTTAGCCTCCTTGCAAAGCGTATTAAGCATGAACAAGAAGTTGGTCTTGCATTCATCCGCAGGTTTCCCTTGGCGAGTTAGTTGGACATGATTGCCTCTGGAATCGTGGTGCTCACCATAAGCGTTGTAGAATGTGAGAGTGAGAATCTCTTCTGTCGTCGATTCATAACCATTCTCGGACACTGGCCAACGGAAGGTGGCACTGTTGTTGGTTATGATATCCATTCCGGGGTTCTGTGGGTTTACTATCCCCCTTCGTCAGTGGTATACAATGTCACTATCTCACGAAGCTCCACGTACGCTGACATTCATATGGTACTGAAGTTGAGATAACAGAATAGTATACACGAATTCTGCTACCGTCTTGGGTGATTGCGAGAGTGAGAGAGCCCTGGCCTAGTTCTCGAGGCTCAGTAGCCTGCGATCCCCGTCGACGAAACCGAAGACTGGAAAGTTCACTCCAAATACGTTAGTGAAGCTTTGCAGATATACGTAAGGAACAATCTCACATGGATGCTTCGTAGGTGTTCAAGTATACCGGCGGTGTCCACGAACTTTCCGAGATTGTGAAGGGAGGCTTTGCTTTCTGTAGGCGTTTCTGCTCCCCTGATCGTTCGCTGAGTTTTCTATTATCAGCGAATGTTACTAGTGAACAGATTGGTTGTTGTACACACCGTGCATTGCCGCGCTGACACCATATACCAACTGCTTTTTCAACCAGACTACTCTTTGTCTCTGATGATTGCACGCTTATCTGGGAGACCGAATCCCAAGGTGTAATCGTCTTCGCGTTCGACCGGACCATCGTTGAGGGGTGTCGATTTCCGACCTGTGTCAACATGTCATCGATCTCTCGTGCCGACTTCTGAACAGTTTGCGCATTGCCACTGCGGATCGTCAGTCATATCTGGATCATATTCAACGATATTGCATACCTAGTCAAAGACGTTTGAGCTATTGATATCATATGCCAGTATGCTTTCAGATTCTATAGCAAAGCCGCTGAATCTTCCTTGTCAAATGGCCACATTACCTTTTTTCTGAAGCTCAATCTGACCACACCGCGCTGGGAAGAAAGCTTCGTATTTAGGTTATCGATGATGGATCGGACTTTTCCAAGGACGAGGTTCATCGAATCAGCCCAAGCAGCGTATGAGCTGGAAGAGGGTGGTGAGACTTCGAGACTAGTCTTGAGAGCTTTGAGAATGGCTTCTGTCGCATGTAATTGATCAGCTATGAGTTGCGCCTCTTTCGACGCGTTCGAGACACTCCTGAGGTATACCCCAGTCGATCCAAAGGCTTTCAGTATCGATCCGATACCTGCTATCATAGAAATAACGTCCGCCATGATGCAAGCTACGGAGAGTAGAGTTAAGTGGTGTTCAAAATATGTGTACAAGAAGCAATTCAGTTCTCGTCAGATTGCGGCGAAGTATTATACAGCATCGATGACTGCATTCCGCGTTCTTTCTTTTGCTGCTCTTTGCAAAGGCATCGCGAACGTACATGGGTTGAGACAATGGGCGCATTTGGTGGAGGCCTATTGGTTGCCATCAACTGCAGAGCCTCGCGCCGCCAAACTTTATGAAGCCCCCGAGGCAGTCATGCAGTTCTCTTCACCGGAATGAGACGGAGCTGACCAATAGATATCTTTGTCTATCTCAATCAGGTACAAGGCTGTATGGACTGTGCCGCTGCGGACGCCACAATCTTGAAATGAGGCGATGTGCTGGAAAAATGTGGGAAGTCCAGTAGATACGTTTTCTAGAGTCTCGGATGAAGCATGTGTGAGATTGAGAACATGCGACAAAGAAACTAATGACTTGGTAAAATAGACGACGTTTGCGAAGAGGAGGATGCCTGGGTAGCCAAAGAGGTAGGGACACACGGGCCCGATGCCCTGTGGCGCTTGCATCATCGGATGAGCCTTGAAGTCAGCCGCCCCGCATTTGCAGCCTCGAACAGCTCGGCACGACAAACCATAATGTGCGCAACCGCGATAGCTTGAGCAGGCTTGGTTGATCACACTTTCTCATTTCGAATTTTCAGATTCCTTACCTACATAGGTAAGTGAAAACAGGTGTATGCCTGCCACAGCTTCGAGCCCATACATCCATTGATCAATAAATCAGATCATTAGGTAGTATATCGATTGCCATTGAAAGCTTTCTAGTCTAGTCACTATACTAATTCATTGTTCTATAGAACTCCGTATACATTCCACCTTCATGACATTCAGCCAAGTCGCCATTCTCTCTTATGCGCACACCAATAGCAGGTCAGCTAGGTGATGGTTGAGACCTTGCCTCATCACACCACTTGTATGTTGCACAGCCCTATCTTCCGTATATGGTTAGCAATGGCTTAAAACGCCATACACGCAATGAGACTTGTCGGCTCTCAACAAAAGGTGGGCTAAACCTTTACTAAAACTTCAGCCTGACCAGAAGTTGCTGCCTACCCACCCAAACTACCTCCATTCCGCCTTTACAATCTCAACATCCACTCTCATGGCGTCGCATGATCCACAACCAAGTACCAGGCAGCATGATTTTGGTAATGATAATTTTAAACATACCCAATTGGATACAACGCGCAACTCAATACGCCTGTTGAGGATACTGCCTGATCTCTCCAGCACGGGTCTTATACAATGCAAGATATGGCACACCACTACCGACGCCGAATACACCTGCTTGTCGTATGTCTGGGGCACTGAGCAGAATCAACAAATAATTTGCATAAATGAAAAAAGATTCTCCTGCCGTAAAAACCTTTGGGACTTCCTCAATGTGGCTCGCATCAATCATGCCGGCGACTTGAAAGCCGTATGGATTGACGCATTCTGCATCGATCAAGACAACGTCACCGAGAGAAATCATCAAGTTAGCCTGATGGGTGACATTTATGCCCGGGCAACTAATGTCATTGCTTGGTTGGGACGCGATCAAGGAGCTGTCGAGTTCTTTATCTTCTTGAAACGCCTTGCAGCAGAACAACTTCATTCCGAGAAAGATGCCCGTCGAATATGGTTCCGTGAAGTAACCAAAAGTCTGCAACGCAGCTATCTGAGTTTTGAGTCAAATGAGTACTGGACACGGGCCTGGATTACACAGGAAATTCTTCAGCCACAAGAACTTTCGATTCTGGTTAACGATACACAAATTCGCCGATCAGAATTCAAAGCCTTGGTAATTCTGTTACCAACACTGCAATTGACCGTCTCCAGGCCTGAGAGCAGGGCGTTTGATGAATTCTTCAGAAAAGCGGGTCGATGTTTCGAGATCTACCTCCGTGCAATGGCTGGGCATGGGCTGTGTTACCGAAGGGAAGCTAGGTGTTTTGAACCACTTGAAAAGAGGCTTCTTGACCTGCTCTTCTACCTTGGATCCCGGAAATGTCAACACACACGCGATCGAGTGTACTCTCTTCTTGCAATCGCAGAAGACGCTGCTCATCTCCGAGTAAGCTATGGCATATCAGAGTATTCGTTTATCTTGTTACTTCTGCATTCTTACAACCCTTCCATGTGTCTATGCTCCCTCGCACGGCTTTCGGATGTGCTTGACTGCGTAGGGCCTTTCACCAGCTCCGCACCGCAGGCTTTTTGTGTTCAGTTGTCTCTGAAAGCTTCCGAGCCGTATGTTAGAGAAGCGTCTACGATCTCAGAGAGGCTAGTGCGATGCGAATGTTGGCATGAGATCCTCTTTGACGTTGACAAAGAGCTCGTGTTTTGTCTAACCGAAATATGTGGGTTTATTTTGAATGAAGGTCACCTCATCATTCCGAAGAATATGGAGACAAGTCGGAACAGAACAATATCTACAGTGAAACTCGTCACTCGAAATTGGAAGCCGAGTTCGAAGCATCGGTCACTCCATGTATACCCTGTGGATATATTGTATTTTGGGCCTGAGGTGAGAGCGGCAGATCATTCGAATTTGGGGCTCATAGAGCCACGTTCCTATCTGATTGTTCTTCCTTTCGAATCTTTGGTCGAAATATCCCAGAAAATGGTACACCCTACAAGACCTCAGTGCAATAAGCCTGAGGACTTGCAGGGCGGTTTCGCTTTTGAGCTCAAAAATGGGTTTGATGCGAGCAAGTTGGGTCGAAGGGTCTTGGCCAATTGAACCATATGAAGTTCAGAAGGTGTAGACCGCGGCAAGAGACCAGAATGCTGGGGGTCAAGTGCTAAGCGAGCAAGAAGAAACCATCCCAATGAAATTGGGCTACCTCGCCATTCTGTCCCATGCGCATGCCGATAGCAGTATACTGGTCCAAGTCTTCAGCAGGAAGAGACAATGATTTGTTGTCTAGAGGGTCATAATCGCCTCCTCCGTGGGGAAAATACATTCGACTGTACAGCATCTTGGTGAATTGCCCAAAATTCCCCTTAATGACTGCCGAAAAACCATCGTTCCAACGTTCTTCGGAAGATTCATGCGTGATATTCCAGTCTTCGTCCGACGTTCTGGTCACTCGCTTGACAGACTCAAACATCTCCATCTGGCTCAGTCAAAAACTCGAGATGTAGACGGGGCGATTACTGCACTGTGATACAGTAGGCGACTTGTCCGATTCGTCTTCAGGAAGTTGTTTGAGGCTGAATAAGTTCGCAACTGCCCGAGCACACTGAGCCCAGGTGCTGACGTTGAAAGAAACATCGCCCTCGTCGAACACGATAAAAGATCGCTTCGTGAAGTCAAAGCCGAAACGATCTGGACCGCCGCCAAGACTCAATTCGTACCAGAAGTTGCACACGAGTCGGATGTTTGCGCTCACACCGAGATTCTCGATCTCAGCGTGGATGGCTTCACCAGAAGGTGAGAGCATAGAGTCATCGCAGAGCTTCTTGTTGGCTGCGTCGTGACCAAACCAGTTAGGCATGACCTACGCAACGCCGGCCTTGGCCGCGGCACGCACAAGCTTGCTTACAGCGTCTCGTGGTGTCATAATTGCCATGGTGACGATCAGTACTTGCTGGCCGCGGAGGACATCAACAAGGGCGTCCAAGTTCTCTCCACTGTAATCCACACGCTCAATACGCACGCCTTTCCGTAAGCTGTTGGTACTGTTGGTGCGCGTCATAGCTGTCACTGTGTGTTTACCCGTCTTCAACAACGCTTCCGTCAAGTGCTTTCCAAATTGTCCTCCGGCCTGACAAATCAATAAGAGAAACACGGCAGTTATGCAGGAGGACTTACCCCTACGATAGCCACCTTCTCAATGCGATTGGTGAAACCTTGCGGATGATCTCTGGCGTATGATATCGCCATATTGGACAGGACTTGATATTGTAAGTCACCTGTGTTCGGTTGCAGGACCAGATGCTCGTGCTCCTTGATCCTCAAGCTTCGTGACGATAGTTCGGGCGGAGTAACAAGTAATTGGCGCGTACAGCTTCCGGATACTGAACTCCAAACTGAGAACTTAGCGAAGTGATAGTGTAAGTGCTGGCTAGTTACACAGCACACTGCTTAGCTTTAGATGATACCATGATGGATATTGCGGACGTTGGCTTGATGTTAAAGCCACTGAGGCGGCGACGCGATGCGGAGTTAACAGGCTTACTGGTACCTTGACTATGCCGCTCAAGTGCGCGAGTGGCCTCATCAACACTCAGAGCATATGCTCGCAAGTCACTTCAAGAGTGATACCTGTGTTAAGATATCTAATTTTCAATGGATGGCCTGAAGATCTATTCACAAATAAATGTAGCAGAATGGCCCTCCAAGCGTGCTCATCGCATCCTTGTTCGTGATATTTTTAAACGCATCCAACATCGGACCCAAGGTCAGCGTGTCATTGAGTGTGCCGTTACGACTCGGCGGCGAGTTCAGGAAAGTGATGGTGCCATCGATCGCATTCCTCCTGTTCTCGAGATCTTGGTTTTGCCAGATCCACCATGTGCGGTCGATCTGAGCGTGGTGGAAGTAGAAAGCCTGTTGGGGTTAACAATCATTTTAGATGACTATGAATTGTGATAAAAAAGACTTACGGGGTCGGATGGCGAGTTGAAAAAGTCGGAGCCTTGATCTCCTCCCACTGTGTAGTGACCAGCGCTGTGGACGCCAAGGTAACCGGTCGGGAAATCGCCTTGCATGCGGTTCTGGAAGCTAAGGATGTCCTTGCTGTTCTTGATGAGTTCGGTAATAACCTCATCCCTCGACCTGTAAGCAGCGTGCTTGTTGACGTCCCGACTTAAGCATCTCGGGTTGTAACCCAAACCGTCAGCTTGTGGATTCGGCTTGATTCCTTTGGCCTTGGTTTGAATAGGCCCAATACTTGAAGTCCAGTTTGCCAAAGGACCGGAAATACAGCCACCACCACTTCCAGGCTCAAGCTTGATTGGGCATCCCGCCGCTTCGGAAGGTAGACAAGTATAGTTCCTTCCAGGAACGTAGGCACCAGCATCACCGATACTGGTATCACTGCCGTCGAAGAGGGGAGATGAAGCGGGGTCTTCATGCCACCATGCCCAGTTGTAGTATGGTAAGTATCCTTTGTAGCCACACTCGTCACGCAGTAGCTGCTCATAGGCCCAGATGTAGTATCTGTGCCAAGCTAGGAAGTTGGCCTGATAAAGTCAGCACACCATGTCACCCCTTCAACTGCCACAGATCAATCGAGTAACCTGAGTAGTTTGATTCAAAGAGACATTGCATATTTAGACATACAGTTCCGTGGACAGAGTACGTCTGTTGGACGTGAGTCACGACAAAGTCGTCGAAGCGGCTCCTTGCACCAGGTGCGACCCCAGCTGGCGTGAGACCAGGCTTGGAGTGAAGACACTTGATGGCGTCGATGTAGTTACGCCTCTCAGGCTTCGTGAGCGTCGACCTGGTAAGATATCAGTCGATTGGGTGTGCTCTGTAATGGGGATTTGAATACACACCACTCGCGTCGAACTTTCACGTTCTTCAGAGTGCACTGGCCAGGGTTCGGATAGCCATTCTTTGCGACATCAATTCCGACGTTTGCTAGGCCAAGAGCAGCCAATTTATCGTGCTCCGTAACTTTGAAAGCACCGGCACCGCCCACAAGCGCCAAAGTCGCAAGATCGAAAAAGCGCATAGCAGCAAAGATACTGGTGTTGATAGCTCAACGTTGCTTCTTTGGATGAAAGGAGGATCAATTAGTGAGAGATCTAAGAATGGGACTGCTCTGGTGCGCCCGAAAACTCATTGACGATGCTGCTCTCCATATATACCTGCCGCTTGCTGCACACTGGTGCTCTTGGCTTCAACCTCCCCTGCAGAACAGCGTGTGTGCGAAGCGAGGAACATGCGATGCCGACTCAGGGCCTGGCATGAAGGATCTACTTTGCCATACTCCATGGCAATCTAGATGCTTAGATGAATCCTCGTAGGATCTGTGGCGCGGAATTAAAAAGATGGCTGGACGCGACGTCGGTACATCAAATCAACGAGATGCAGATCGATATTCCCGGCGTTAGGCGAATCTGTTGGGTAACGTAGGCATCTCTTCGTGAACCCTTTGCGTAGGATTGGATCTAAATATCAGTGGGTGTCGCTGCTCCGCTGCGGTTAGCTTGATGTACATACGAGTGCCATGACCATGGGTACAACGCCTCAATCCCACGGGCGATCCATTTTTTCCAAACGCAGTCAAGAAGCCCGCTATCTCATGTGCTTGGGAGATGATTTGAGACGGGACCTTAGTTCACGCATATTATGAATGATGATGGGAATTCGAAGATTAGTGATGGTCAGAACAGGTAGTCTGCGGGGGCGGTAACCTCGACCCGCACCCGCGCCGCAATGCCAAGCACGTCGGAGGCGGCTCGGGGCATCAAGCCGCTGCATCTTCATCTCGGTCTCTTGACCTCCTTACGTCTCCTCACCGCGCATCCTTCAATCACTTCGCTTCCATCCCCACTTGACCAGAAAATTGTGGCGAAAAGCCGCCTCATTTATGTTTCCCTAAATGCGATGAGGAAAGCACGAATGAGTATGATACCTCTCAAATGCCTTCTCAATTCGGCATCTGACACTGTGGCATGTACCAAACTCACCAAGATCTCCAAATTCCTTTTCGACACCCATCATTCTGTGAATATGGTACGTTTGCTACGTTACATCGACCATCCTGCAGCTTCGCTCAGCAACCGCGCCACAATCCTGCTGGACACGACAAAACATCTAGTTTGAATCCTGGAAGTCGGGCATAGTGGAAAATTTCACTCCGAACCGTGTCCATTATCTGAACCGAAGGATACTAACCATGCTTACCGAGTGCCTGGTTCACAGTCTTATTATCATCTAGGAAGAATCTGTTATATCGACAATGCTTGAGTCAAGACACTCGTCAGCCCATGCATTAGCACATTGGTCACTTCATCCAAACGGTGGTTCACCGGGTGTGAGAGGCAATCCTCTCCACACTCGTCTTTGCAACGGTCATGTCGCTCCGAGTTCCGCCAACCGAGCTGATCCTCGAAGCCAAGTCTACCAAACACTAGCCTATAGACGGGAGAACAGCAAGGGATTTATTCCAATATCAGGTTTCAGCAAGAGAAATTGATGACCTCGAGAGCCTTTCGATTCGTGCCGCGCGGTAATGGGACGGCGTATGGCAGTATGTGATAAGTACAGAACTCCTCGGGATGCCTCAAAGAATGCATAACTATCTCCTGATCTCTTCCCTACTATTTTTCAAGTGTCATCTTCGCAATCACCATGTCCGGTATCAACCCGGCTGATGCAAATCCGGACCTCTCGAATCCTGATTATATTGCCTACACCAACGAACCCCTGCTCTTAACACAGACCGGCGTCCTATTTGGAGTCACAGCCTTCATTGTCGTGCTAAGATGCTACGTCCGAGTCGTTATGCTGAGATGTTTCGGCAAGGACGACTGGACAATGCTACTTGCGTTTGGATTCGCCATGGCGACTTTCATCGTGTATGCCGAACAGACTAAACTGGGCTTAGGGAAACACCTCTCAGTGATACGGATGAACCCTGGAAATGAACGGCAGTTTCTAAAACTTCGACAAGTGCAGTCGATTCTTGTTGGTATTGGGGTTGGATTGGTCAAGATATCAATCGCTTTCTTCCTGCTGCGACTGGTCACGAGAAAAGCGTACATATGGTTCTTACGATGTTTTATCGTGTTCATGATCTTGTTCACTGCAGCTTGTATTGGAACATTGGGTATGTGACCGCGAAAACGTTACAAGTTGCTGCCGAACTAACAATGTGCCAGTGAGTTGGAAAATGGAGACGTTCGATGGCAACCTAAACTGATCTTATCCAGATCTGGCAGTGCATTCCTGTGGCAGCTACGTGGGATTTAAGACTTCGTCCACCACCCATCGGCACAGGCACTGCTGTGTGCTTCGACCGACCGACGTTTACCGCCATAGGAATGATGAACACGGGTGAGTAAACTCCCTCCTTTCAACGGCAAACACTTACGCTACACAGCCGTTACCATTAGCACGGACTTCCTCCTTGCCCTCCTACTAGTTCCCCTCGTATGGCAGCTCCAACTCAACGGCCGCACAAAGATAACTCTAGTCTGCATATTAGCTCTCGGGTTATTTGCGGGTATCGCCGCAATCATCAAGTCCGAGAAACAGAAGACCGCCCTCACCGATCCCGACCCATACGTGCACGACACTTTTACCATGTGGCGCTTCATCGAGTACGATGTTGGGATCATTGTTGCGTCGTTACCGTCGCTCAAACCCCTCTTTAAACACATCCTGAATAACGGTACGCGAGGTACGACGGCGAACTCAGGACACCAGGTTGTGAAAAAAGTAAGGTATTCGATACGGACTAAGATAGTGGATGACGATGAGATACCACTGGAGAATCATGCAGGGGTGGGCAACTCGTGCGAGGTGTCTTCAGGGATGCCTAGGACGCCAGTGGATGGCAGGAGCAGTGTGGAAAGCGCCAGACCGGTTCAGTCGAACGCTATTTTCGTCGACACAAAATGACACGTGAGCTGAAAAATGCTGTTCTCAGTATGTTGAGGGCTGGACACGGAATGACATGTTGACAAAGATGAATTTACGACACCTATGAAGGTGTACAAAGTCAATGGCATGGTTAGTCGAGCTAACCATCCTTGTATCTTGCCATTGTTCAACACGAATACTGCGGAATAAACATTCCAGCAAGTTACTATACCTCCTGTTCGTTTCATGTATGATCCTTTCGCCAAAGTTCAGTATAGTCAGATATCCCCTAGCTACCTAGTCCGAACCACCAACACCCATAACACCTCTACCGAACCATTCACTAATAACAGCTAGGGTCAATTATCATGGATCAAATTTTCACAGCCGAGTATCAAGGCGTATGTACAGAGTGCGGGATGGATTATAGCGTACGAGTGGATAGTATTGAGATAGTCACAGCATTGCGATCAGCGTTAAGTAGAATGTCGGCATTTATTTAAGTTTTTTTTTTCAATCCCTAATGTAGTGTAAAATTGTAACGCTCACCATTTATTATCAAATATCTTGCCGTCCACGAAGTTGACCATCTCCCTAACGGGTGATAACCGGTCATGACCGGCGCCAAATGCCATGCCCTTCTGCATCACATTACGGTAGTTGGTACCTGGCGACACCTTGCCTAGGACGTATTCGCGACGGGTCTCAACACGGGTAGGGACCGGAATTGAGCGGCCTATAACAGCCTCCATAGCTTGCCAAGCAAAGGTGATGCTCTCTTTTGCGCCTGCAGGTACACCGGCCGCATCCAGCATCATGATTTTGGTATTAGGATACGCTTGTTGGATGAAGCTGGTGATGTTGGGATTGTAGGCACCGCCGCCGCACATGAACAATTCCTCGATCTCCATATCAGCTGGAGCGTAACGCCGGTAATGGTCTACAATGGATTGTGCTGTGATGCGGGTGACGGTGGCGACGACATCGTCGGGAGTCATGTCCAATTTCTCGGCCTTGTCGATCAACTCGAAGGCGAGCGTGTCGCGAAAAACCTCACGGCCCGTCGTCTTGGGCGGGTCTAGGTTGAAGTACTCGTGCTGCAGGAATTCGTCTACAAGGGCCTGGTTAACAGTACCCCGGCTACCCATCTCACCATCCTTGTCGTATTCACGCTCGCCGCCAGTGTAATGGCGCACGACGGCGTCAATAAAGACATTGCCTGGGCCTGTGTCGAAGTCATATGTTTCTGACACGCCGCCTTTATTGTCCGAAGGAATGAAGCAAACATTAGCGATACCACCGATATTCTGGCAGGCGCGGAGCTTCGTAGGGTGATGGAGTAGAAGTGAGTCGAAGAAAGCAATTAACGGGGCTCCCTGACGACCAGCCGCCTGGTCAGAGACGCGGAAATCGGTCACGGTGGTGATTCCGGTGCGAGAAGCGATGAAGCAGCCCTCAGCCATGGTGAGCGCGGACTTGACCTGGTCAGGCTTGGGCATAGATAACAGCCAGATGGTCTGACCATGAGATCCTATAGCATCGATGGATGATTTGTCCACATTGTGTTTCTTGCAGAATTCTTCTACGGCATCGGCAAAGGTTTCCCCGAGAATGACGTTCACCTCAGATAGTCCGGATGCGGACGTTCGGTCGTGGAGGATGATGTCCATAACGCGCTTTTTGATAGGCTGTGGAAGCGGCACTTCATCATATTTGAGAAGCTCGAAATGCATGGGAGACTCGGGTGTCTCTTGACGGAAACGACACAGAGCGCAGTCAATGCCATCCTAATAAAGTCAACAACTATTCAGATCGAGAGTCTCTTGTGTTGACCATGAGGAAACATTGTAAGACGAGATATTATGATGTTCGTTCTAAAACAAGGTTCAGGGCAAGGTATGCCAAATCCATGCGTTGTGATTGAATTAAGTAGAAGAAATTGATGAGCAGTATTCGCTAAAGGTGGAGTTCCTCAATGCTCATAGAGACTTACCATTGAAGTACCAGAGTTCAAGCCCAGGACCGTAAGGTCAAGGGGTTTGCTGTCTTGAAGAGCCATTGTGGCGCAGACTATGATTAGAAAATGCTGATGTTGACTGCGAGAAGCATAAAAATAAGATTTGTGAGAAGTGAAGTGAGATGGCCTAAATCAAAAGGAAGGTTGACGAGAGAAAGTCATCTGGGTTATGTATTTAAACACTCTTACAAATGGCTGGCATTCACGCTATTATTAAGGTGGAACAAACAATACATACCCAAGTACGCGGATCGTTCGCCACTATGAAATGAGCGACTAAGAACATCCGAAGCATCGAATCAAATGGCACCCTTGGCGTTGCCCTGAGGCTGAGATCTTGGCCATTTGGACGGCAACAACCGGATAGTAGGCTTAGCTAATTGCCTAACAAGTGGCTTTCCGACAGGGTAAAGAGGGAATATTGAGGATGGTAATGGAGGGCGTTCTAGTCGCCGAATCGACCTATCGGTTACGCGCCTACACGGGTTGCTAAGCGGCTAAGCGGTCTCTTAAGCTGCAACGCGGCAAAACGGCAAACCGCTTCAGACTTCGCCGACTCAATCTGGATTTGTCACATCGGCATCATCTGGCTGTGTCTCTCTGTCTCCCGTTCAGCATTGCTTTCTCTCCGCACAGCAACCGACACCCCAGTTAAGTTGCGCATTGACCCTTACCGGCTTTCTCCGGAGATCGCCCATGGAGGCGTTTTGTGGAGATGCATACTGGAGAGTTATCCCCGGAATATGTGCGAACTAGTTGTATGTGTGGGTTAAGCTTGTTTGCATTCGAGAGTCTACAAGATTTTCGGTCTGGGGTCCCGTCTTTACTGGGCATTCCCAGTATATCCGTTGTAAGACCTTGGCTCTACGTGAGGTATATATAGCTTTCCAAACCCAGCCTGACAGACGACTATATCACAGCGTCTTCTTTCAACCCTTCCTATCGATTGATCAATATTTGGAGCGAGCACCAAAGCCCAGTAGTCGTCACTCGGATGCCTTAGCAGTCGCCAACCTTCACCATGGGCTACACAACTTATTGGAGGAAACTCTCAGCTTCACAGCTCAATATCGCTATTCAGGCTTTCTCCCTGATCTCCATTTTCTTTGAAGGCTATGACCAAGGTGTGATGGGCGGTGTCAACAGCTCGCCGCGCTACGTCGAGGAAGTGGGCATTGGTAACTCAGATGGCAAGATCACCGATACCTTACACGAAGGTGGTATCGTCTCTATCTACTACCTTGGCTGTATAGTGGGCAGTTTTGTAGGCGGGTGGTTAGCCGATCGCATTGGTCGCATTAATGGGTAAGTCGGCCTTGAACAATTTCTTGCGTCAACTGGTCATTAACATTCTTAGTCTTTGGATCGGTGCTGTCTTTGCTCTAGTCGGTGGTGCTCTTCAGGCTGCTACGCAATCCTCCGATTTCATTCTCGTTGCTCGCATAGTTACTGGCCTTGGAACTGGTGCACTTACCGGCATCACCCCTGTGCTCGTTTCTGAGACCTCTTCGGCTTCCCATCGCGGTGGTTTTCTTGGATACGTTTTCATCGCCAACTACTTGGGCATCTCGGTTGCCTACTGGCTCTCATTCGGCCTTGCTTTCATAAACAATGGCTACTCTGATATACGCTGGCGATTCCTACTGGCATTTCAGTGCATCCCAGCCCTACTCCTCCTTCTTGGAATAAAGGCGCTTCCAGACTCTCCCCGTTACCTTGCATCCGTTGGTCGTTATGACGATGCGCGCGAGGTTCTTACCCATGTTCGCGGCGGCTATACACCTGATGTTGAGCAAGAATTCCTCGAAATTGTCGCTGTGGCCAAAGAGAGTAAGCCCAGCTCCCCTGTGGAGTTCGCTAAAATTCTCATGGGTCGGAGTGGCAAGCCTGGCGCTCACTTGGGCCGCCGCGCCTGGCTCTGCTTGTTACTGCAGATTATGGCTTCTTGGAGCGGTATCACTGCTGTCACCGCATACTCTCCCACGTTGTTACGGGCTGCGGGCTACTCCACACTTACCCAGAATGGCTTGGCTGGTGGTCTCAACACCGTTGGCATTGTTGGAACAATCATCTCTGCTAATATTGTGGATCGCCTCGGACGCCGCAAGTGTCTGATGCTGGGCTCGTTTGGGCTTTTTGCTGTCAACCTGATCGCTGCCTCGCTATACGAAGCGTCTCGGTCCCAGCCTCAAAATGCAGGGTCATTTGCGCCTGCGGCCGTCGCCATGCTATTCCTTTTCAATCTAATTTACGCGTCAACCTGGGGCACCGTCGCTTTCTTGATCCCTACTGAGATCTGGAGCTCCGATATGCGCGCACAAGGAAACGGGTTCGGTATCACAGGCTGGGCTATCGGCGTTGGTATGACCGTCCTAGTCAACCCGGTCATGTTCGCGAAGCTAGAAAACCGCACGTACTTCCTTTTTGCTGGTCTTAACTTACTCTGGATCCCCGTCGTATACCTCTTTTACCCGGAAACCGCGGGTCGCTCCCTCGAATCTATTGGGGCCCTCTTCTCGACGGGTAGCCCTTTCAACTGGCACATGGAACAGGCCTACCGCAACCAAGGCGAGTTGCTGGAAAAGAAAGGCGTTCCTGATGTCGAACACTCGGATTATTTTGATAAAGACAAGGCTCTCGAGCTTGAATCTGTTTGAGTAGCCCCTTCAGACATGTATTGTAGATCAGTGAGCTGCATGTATTGCGTTCGCGATAGCACAAACGAACTCTGGCGCATAGAGATATATGTTTCAGATCAATTGGAAGTCGTACTTTGGTATTGATAGGGGTTGTTCTTGGGAAGGAGCTGCGCCTGTTTGTCGTTAGTGAGCATAATCGAACGTATCGTAGATGCTACTTTTGTAGCGTTTCGCTATACAATATTTCTTCTTATACCTTTCTCACCACTCGCTCCTTTGCTTTTTGTTCCCTTACAACCTCTTGCGTGCAGTCTGAATGTAAGCACCAATCAGAAATGGACAAAGTTTATACCGAGACAACTTCTTGATGAGCGGTCAAGCTCCGTGGAGAGCTAACGTATGTGCTCGCATGTGACTAGAGAGGGCTTTGTCTCCGGATGGACGATGATTCAGTCATCACGTCAACTAACCATCACCAAGGAGAGTTTTCGACCTGCACGGACTCTGTACACATAGCTAGCTAGCTAAGCATCAAAGGCTCAACCGTCAGTATGGAAAGTGTCAAACTGGATGGTAACGGGGCCACTTTTCGTGCCTTGGCACTTTTGATGAGTGGTAAGTGATTAACAATGGACGAATCGTGCTTGGCGTACCACGGGCTCTTGACGCTAGCAGGCATCACCGAGTGAACAGGTAGACCTCGGCATGCTAGCCCGCTAGCCCTTATTCCCATCCAAAACTTCAACAACCACGTTCTTCCATTACCTAATCAGTCACTGTCTTACTCATTGACTCGACCAGTCGTCCGTCATCAGTGTATAAGCTGAAGTCCGATAAGCCCCTTCAAGAAAGGTTTGATATCCATGTCGGCGGACAAGCATCGTCCGAAAAAACTCCTACGAGCAAGTAGAGCCTGTACGTGTTGAACTCTTGCACCGCGCATGTACACATATTCCTTCTAATCTTGTTGTCTGCGCGTAATGTGGTTGTTCTTCAACGTCGACGTCTTTGACGGTGGATGAGGGAATAATGATCCCAAGTTGTACCGGTCTTACTCTCTGCTCCCGAATCAGCGATAGAAGCATCTCGCAGACACCGGGGTCGCTATGGTCTCCAGTCGTTCATGCAATGTTTTACATCGACTTTTCGTCTGCGCCTCGATTCTGATCCCTTCCTCACCTGGAACCCACATAGCACCCTGTCGCAATGCATGCGCTCCTCACGCACCCCTCTATATGCTCTCGTACCTCGGCTAACGAGCGAACTTCCAAGGTGATTTCTGCCACAAGCGCAGCATCAGATGTCGCCCCAGTACAACCGGTTTCCAAAGCTGCCAGAACTGCTATGACTTCGACGTGGCCTGCACCTACAACCGCCCGCTGAGGCGCGGACGCGCAGCTGGCGACCTCCACTCCAGTGAACCTGGGTCATCTCTAGCTGTTGATATCGAACCTCGAGATCAACAGCAACACCAGGACCAAAACCATGACGAGCCTCAGCAACTGAGTTTAGCATTGCCACGACCTGTCGTGCAGCCAGCCGGTGCAGCGACTATAGCAGGTGCGTCCAGGAGCAACGAGATCGCATCATCAAGGAAGACAAATAGTGGGTTCACGACATTCAGGGGGCAGAATATGGTTGTTAGAGGCGAAGATCTATCCGAGGAGTGGCCAGAGACGGCGTGGAGAGCGTTCGCGGCTGCGAGCGCAGGAACGATTGAGTATCTGGTTGATGTGTACTTCCGGGTCGTTTATCCAATGTGAGTAGCATCCGCTTTCCGTTTCTTAGTAAGGGTGTTACACTTCCTTGCTACCTAAATGGCAGGATATCACCTCATAGTCCGTTTGAACTTCTTCATCTGACCTCTTGTTGTGCAAATTATGCTAAGTCGAACTTTGAGATTCCCGCTCTTTCACCAACCTACTTTGCTAAAGAAGGTACGCGACCAAGACTACCTGAAGAATCATGGCTTTTTCACCTCACTTATGGCAGTGTGTGCTTTGGCGTCGGCCCGAGGGAGAGATGGTGCGCTATTCGAGTCGGACAAGAACGCCTCATATATGGAAACTGTTTCGTCTGAGACGTTCTTCAAAGCAGTGAAAGACCATTTGCCTAAAGACCTTACAGCAGCTCGGGAGCTTGATTATATGCGGGCCTGCGCGCTGTTGTCCATTACCGGTATCCAATATGGGGATATTGAAGCCATGCAGCTATACTTGGGACATTATTTCACCCTGGTTGGAATTCATAAGTTCCATGACGAGGCGTATTGGCCGAAGAACATAACGAACATTGAAGTCGAGGAAAGGCGACGCTTGGTATATCCCATCGCTAACCCAAGCAGTTGAATCCGCTGACCTATATCGTAGTATTGGTCAACCTACACCCTTGACGTTTTCATCTCCATCGTGTGGAACGGCAGCGTCCACGCATACGGGGCCAACGCTCGAGTTCACTACCCGACCGAAGTCGAAGACGAACTCATTACACCCCTCGCCACGTTGCCATCCCCTAAACCCACCATCTCGTGGCTGCGCGGCTGGAATTTTACGACCGACCTTTATCTCACACTGGAGCATGCCTATAGTCAGCTACGCAAACCCGCCGCCCTCATCGACAATCGCATTGACGTCGCCACCATTTTCGGGTTACCTACATTGCTGTCCTCCCATTCCTCCACCGCCGTGCTAGCGTCTATAACCGAGCGATACCATGACCTGCCGTCCAATTTCAAGATATTTGCACCACCTACAGGAAATCGTCTCCGCGACATCTTTGGCTTCCAGGCTGCGAACATCCAGGCGACATTGTTGTTGTTACGTATGCTCTTTCTCAGCATTGACGACGACCGTCGGCAACCCCCGGACGTGCAGCTCAAATGCAACGTTGCGGCGGAACTCCTTGCTGTTTTCCAGACTATTCCCACCGCTTACCTTCGCGGCATTAGCACTCCTCTCATCTATCACCTCGCAGGCATAGGCACAATCCTCGGCTCCGTCATGGAAGCCCCGCTCTCTGAGGCTGCATATCACAGGGTCAGGAGCATGTTGCTGTCTATTGCAGATTTGCTCGAGAGCCTCGAAAGCGGATTGTCTCGTGCGACTGATATTAGCAAGGGCTTGCGCGCACAGGTAGAGCGTATCGACGAGTATATGCGTGCTCAGTGCTGGCCAGTGGGGAGATCTTACATGCCGCTGCAATCAAATCATAGTTCGTCTGTAGACCCCCTAGTTCAGCAGCAGCAACCGGCTTTAGACAGAAGTGCGGGCATAGATACAGGTCGGGCTGGTAGCCACGAAGGTGGCGCGCAATCAACGGAAGTGGAATCAGGAGGTAGGGTGGCTGAAGGCGAGTTCCTACACGGTTCGATGGGCGAGTTCCAGCTCCCATCTGAGCTACTCGAGGACTGGCCATTCAATTTGCAGCCAGAGAGCTGGTCATTCTTAGGATTAGAGTAGTGTAAAAACCAATTTACTATTTTAGTAAAATGTTTGTTACCTCCAGAGACTAGGTAATAAGCTGTTACTTACAAAGATCGTTTAACAGCTTGTAACTCCCGTGCTTCCCAGAATCGAACATTACCTTGCCGTTGCTTATATAAGCCATTCGGATACCGCTGTGGAGTTACAGGGGGGTTGAGAACTCGTGAGGTGTCTTCAGGAATGCCCAAGGCGCCAGTGGATGGAAGGATCTAAAGAGGAAACAAAGCATGATCTTTACGACTTCATCAAGTGAATTACCATATCTTCCATCCGTCTCATGTATAATCATCGTTCGCTATAGTTGCAAGTCGCCTAGTCCGAACCACCCACACCCATAACACCTCTACCAAACCACTCACTAATAACCGCAAAGCCGTCCTTGCCTCTCTTGAGCGCATCCTGGAAAAGATCGTGCCTCTCCGCGCTCTCAACCTGCGCCCTACGGATAGCCTTGACCGTCGCGTTGTTCGAGCTACAGATTGGACACTCGACCTCCGCATCATGCACATCCTCATCCGTACTCAGACAACTCTGATGATAGCTGTGCTTACACAAAAAGTGCACAACAGGTAACTCCAGACTCTTCATGCAGACCTGACAGCGCGAGTTCTGGAATACAGCAGGCTTGGTGTTCAGATTCTCGAGCTCGTGTTTTTTGGCAGTGGTGTCGGAGCGGAAGGTTTCGATGTTACGGCGATTGGCGGCGATTTCTGCGCGCTCGCGCTCGATGGTGGTGCTGAGGTAGGCTTTTATCATGCCCATTGTTGCGACGCCATTGGTGGAGAGGGTCTGGATCACCTGGAGGGGAGCCATAAGACCGTCTTCATCGATTTTCTTGAGGACTGCATCGAGTTCGTCGCCAGCTTCCGCAAGGATCTCAGGGGTGGAAGTAAAGTAGGCGAGAGCTGCAGGGTAAAGTGCTGGTTCCTCCGGGCCGTATTTGCGGAGAGCGCGGATAGCGCCTTGAGTGTCGTTTGCGGCGGTGTAGGATCGGAATATGTCAAAGTGTAGTCCTTGTTGTTCGCGGACGAGGATGGCGCCATCGCGGAAGTTGGAAAGATGAGATAATAGCAGGACGTTGGATGTATCTATTGGTATGTCCTTGCCTTCGACGAGCTTCTTGGCTTTGTTCTCCCACTCTTGTCGCTCACCATCCTTCTTCGACGATGCAGTGTGGAGGTACATCTCAAACAAGGTTGTGTAAAGATCGACTTTGTCGTCTTCGCGTAGATCATTGGATGCGATACACGCCTCGAGGAAGACTATAAACTCTTGAGGATGATCGACAAATGCGGAGAATGCAGTTCGCGGTTTCGGTACCTTGTATTCTGGCGCGGGCTCATCGGTAGTCGTTTCGATGATCTGAGCTTGGCTCATGGTGCTCTTTTGTTCACCACTGGGAGGCGATGCCAACGCGTTGGTGTTCATGTATGGCAAAGGAAGTAGTGCAGCGAGGTTTTGCACAGCGCTCGATGCAACTCCTAGGCCCATACTCATACCACCGCCTCCTCCTGATGCAGGCGCGTTCGGTATGAC